AACTTCTCTTGCCTGGTTAGTAAGGACAGCTTTTTGGTAGGAGGAGGAGGAGGAAGAAAGGGGGGAGGTTTTGGAATGTGACGGGGACGTGGGGAGGGATTGACACGGTATGAGGGGAGGCGGAGTCGAGTGGAAATGAAGGATGGTGACTACTGACTGTTGTCCTTTTCCCGTCAGCAGTTACTTCGCATGCAAGTAGCGAGTCGTTTCATTCACCCTCTTTTTCCCCTCACTAAATACCCCTTCCTCCCCACCTCCTACCTCTTCCAAAAACTCTCAAAGCCTCCCAGCACTTCGCGCAGCGCATTTTTAACAACCTCTTTCCCTTTCTCCTTTTCTTTTGCCTCTTCTCAGGGCTGGGCGTTTCCTCGGCGGTTTGACGCAGCCGTTCAGGCGTAAGGTCATGCTGGACCTGATTTTCCACAAGAAGAAGGGCGTCGGCTTTAATCTCGTCCGCTACGCTATACCCGGAGGCTACGCACCGCGATTCAGTCCTAAAATCTGGAAGCAGGATAAGTACCAGGGGTACAGCCCAAGAAAGGGGGTTTTCAACTGGGGCGCGGATTGGAAGCAATTGCTGGCGGTTAAGGAGGCCCGAATGCGCGGCAATATCGAGGTCGACGCGATCTGCTACTCACCTCCCTGGTGGATGACGCTGAGTAAAGACGCGTCTGGAAACTTGAAGGGCAAGCCGAATCTTATGGCGCGTCATTACCCGACCTACGCGGACTACCTCGCGACTGTTATCGCGCACTTTCAGAAGCAGTGGGGCATTCAGTTCGCTGGAATTTCGCCGTTTAACGAGGCGCTGGAGGGATGGTGGCACAAGGGAGGGTACCACGAAGGCTGCACGTTCAATGGCCTCGGAATGCACAAGTTGAATTTTATGCTTCGCCAAGGGTTGCAGAGGCAGAAGGCTACGAAAACGCGCATCGTGGGAGTGGACAGCTGGCCTGGTTACACTGTGAACGCGCTGCGCAAGACGGTGTGGCCATTGGGACAGGCTCCGGATGTCATCTCCGTGCATGGATACAGATCGCTCCGTATCATGTCGATCTCAGGAGACGAGAGCGAGTACAAGGCGATTCGGGACGAGGCGCGCAAGCACAACAATACCAAGATATGGCAAACGGAGTGGGGACCGTTGCACATCGGTGGAACTCCGTTGGAGATTGCTGTATACATGGCGCGTTCGATTGCGCAGCACATCAACATTATGGGTGTGGAGGCGTGGTATCACTGGCTGCCTGTACAGGCTGTGAATAGAGCGAATTGGGGTCCCATTCAGGTGAAGTGGAAGGTGTTCGGCCCAATCCGCCCGAAGCTGACGAAACAGTTTTTCGGCATGCTGCACTTCACGCGATGGGTTCACAGGGGGAGTTACCCGCTGTTTATTCGCAACGAGTGCAAGCATTCAATTGTTGCAGCGTATTCTCCCAAGGCTCGCCGGCTCTCAGTTACCATCGTGAACCAGCAATCCAAGGAATTCCGCGTGAATCTCAAGATCAGCGGGTTCGATCGCTGGAACCGTAAGAAGTCGACCCTTCGGCAAGTCAGGCGCACGTCACTTAAGGAGAACTACAAACGGATCTTTAGGGAGTACAGCTGGGACGCCATCACGTCAAGCCATGTGACCATCCAGGGCAACTCTATCACCACAGTCGGCTGGACGAATGTCGCCATGCTTGGAGACCCTCAATTCGTGTCATATTAGCAGCCACCCAGGCATAGAATGGCCAAAGCCGCAGCTGGGGAGAGGAGCAAGTGGCTGAATGCATAACTTGGCTGAGGAGTCACAGGGTGGTGCTTTGGCAGGGAACGAAGGGAATGGCACCGTAGAGCTTCTCTGTGATGGGAAAATAATGGAGGCAGAAAGGGGAGGGGAGGGGTGGGGAGGTGTGTGGAGAACTGCTGGTGAAGTTGGTGGATTTGCGGGCTGAGGAGGTGGTTGGTTGGCATTGAGGAAGGAAGAGAGGGGGGGTGTGGTTGGGGTTTTTGATTCTTTTGGTGTGGGTGCAATGCATATGCTTACAGTCCACAGCTAGTGGATCTGGAGCTCAATTAGAGTCACCACATGATAAATGTTAGTGCTGTGGGTCATCCTAGTGCTTTCTGTACTGTAATAATATGCTAACGTAATAATGTGGCTTTTGTTTTATTACTTCAAACGATCCAACCTCAAGAACTGCTGACGGATGGCATGGAGCTCTACTCAATCAAAGCTCTCCAGAAAGCTGATGGCAGATTGCACCACCATTGCTCTTCTTGAACTCTCCCCTCCCTCCCATCAACTGGGGTTTTTAGTTTTCCCGGAAGTCTTACTGTAGCTGTCTTTCTTTTGAGGGACTTTCATCTCAAATTGCGCACACTTTTCGCTGATCCGCTTCTGAGGCGGAAGAGTTATTGTGCTAAATAACACAGAACTCGGCTTCTCCGCACGTCACGCAAGCACTGTTTTCATCGGCTGTCTTCTGCCAGAAAGCACAAAACTAAACCCCTCTCGGATGGCAAGTTTTCAAGGGCATCAACCCTAAACACCACGCGACAAGGTGTTTGGGGTTGATGCCCTTCCTTAAAGCTGCGGTCTACATACGAAAATGTATTTTCGGGGGGTATTTTGGGTGCACACCCTAGGACGCATGCTGATTGGGGAACGAAATGACTCTTTTCCAGAAATGAGCGGGCAAATGTTTCAAACAGAACTGGCGAATCCCGCCAGTTTCGTGAAAGGTTCGGTTGGGGGGTAATTATTTCGGGAGGATTGGGTTGTGTTGGCAATTTCGCCAACACGTGCAACCAATCCGAGTTGGGGAGCAGAATGGCGCGAAAGTTAGAAGCCAATCCTGTTTCGCCCAATTTTCAGAGGAAAGGTTGTGCTGTCAGGGTGCAGTAACTCCACCTCGCCACTCAAGGTTGGAGCGAAGCTCAGTGCAACCGTGTTTTCAAGTGTTTAGGGTTGATGCCCCTTATCACTTGCCAAGAGGGATTTAATTTAGTGTGGATAATTTAATTCCAGCAGAAATGGCTTCCGAGATGATGACACGGGGGTAAATCTGGAGACGGGTTCTGTGTTAGCGCAATAAGTCTTCTGTCTGGGCCGTGAAACCTAGGAAATTGTGTGCAGTTAGAAAAGAAGGTCCCTAGAAAGGGCAGGTTCGGAAGTGCCTCTTCCGCCGTAACTAAAAACCCCATCAACTGCACCTTTCCTGGCCATCTGTCGGTTTCCTTCCCCAGCATCTCTGCTGGTCCTACTTGGGCGCCCACGTCAACGCCCCCTTCACGGTGTACACAACAGTTTCACACACGGCTGCCCGTTTCAACATGGTGTGATTGTGACCGTCGATTTCATCGTGCGACGGAGCCTTCACTGTTCGTAAGAACATCTCGTTGACCATCCGTTTCCTCCTCACCCTCACCCTGTATTTCACGCGGTGCTGCCGCGTACTGCTGTACAGTTGTGTACACCTTCTTCGCGCCATATAAATTCCTTTTTTAATCCTTAAATTTGTGTATCATGACATTGACGGTTGTTTGAGATGAACTTGGGATTGACAGTTACTGTACCCTTTGTTCCACAAGATCCAGGTAGCTCAAGGGATTATGTGAAGTTGTACTGAACAAATATACTTCCACGGGTTTTTCTTGCGGAATGAGATGACACGGGTGTGAAGTTGGCTCGGGGGATTACTGTACTGCGCAGCTGGTATGCACAGTTTAGCATGCAGCTAGGATGCGATGCAGAACACCACTCATGCCATGCTTCCCCAATGGGGAATCCCCCCCCCATCCCATCCCATCCCATCCCATCCACTCCACCTTTACATCCAATGGCATGGGAAACCTGTCCGCAGTGCTGGAATTCAACAGCACAACCATTCGCTCACAACTCACACAGTCATGACATGGCACACACACTCACACACACAACTCACGCCCTCCTACGGAACTGCACCATTTCCAGTCCCACCTGCCTTACATATGGGCTACTTCTTACCAGTCCAGGTAATTTGGCGGTGTTGGCTCTACCTGTAATACTGACGGATATTTGCTGAGGCTAGCTCCCAACTTTCTCATAATGTGGATAGGATTGCGACTGCAGTATTTACGCTAGACCTAAGATTCAGGAACTTCAGACTCCCGCACATTAATTGAGGCATTTCTTCGTTAGGGCTGATAGGATCCGTTGTTATATCGGTCCAGCAGAAGCACATTTCCGCCTCATTGTCAAGTAAAACTTTCAATCCGACACGACCAGAACTGCATGGATTAGTTCAGACCTCGAAGACGGTGCCAACGCCCTCGCGCGAAGCGTCGGAGAGTCGATTGTCAGCGGCGCCGTTTAGTATTTCGAAAGTATCACTCATCACGAGCTTGTTTTCACGCCGCATTGTAACCACATTGGGTCCACAGAAGGCACCGATATCTCGCCATTCTTTCATGGAAACCACTCAATGTCTCCATTTTCGCGTTATTTATTAGGCATAAAGGAGCCCCTACTCAATCCATCAATCGTCAGCCACGAAGAGACCACAATGTCTTCTCTTAGGTACAATTTGCTGTCCCGTCGTTCTCGCTGATCTGCTAAATTGATCCTTAACGCTCGCAATTCAGCAACGAGAGCAGCGTCAGGGACTGCGGGAACGGAGCCAGGGACGGATTTCTTTTCTTTCTTTCTTTCTTTAGACATTCCAAAAGTCGTCAGGGACTGCGGGACCGGAGTCACGGGGCAGGAGAATCAACAGATCCTCAACCCCATCATCAGCAGCAGCTGTGGGAACATCGAATTCGGCAAACGCCAGCAGCAACAGCAGCAGCAACAGCCGCAACCGCATAGCAGCAGGGATTGCAGGAGCAGTGGCATCAGAAATAGCAGAATCAGCAGCAGCAGCAGCAGCAGGAGCAGGAGCAGGAGCAGGAACAGGAGCACCAGGAGGACCGCCAGAGATAGCATTGTCACCATGGTTCCATCTCCAGGACAGCTGGACGATGGCGTGGCATCCATGCTCGTTAATATCACGGACATGCACGACTTCAAGCACGAGGTGACTGTAGAGGAAGCGCTCACTCTGAACCAGGTGGAGAAGCGCGCGCGGGAGCAGGGCCGCGTCTGGTGGAGCTACGAGGCCAACAAAGGCCCGTACTGGTTCCTGGAGGAAGCCCCAGCGAGTATCACGGGCGTGCATATACGAGCGAATCTCCAGGCGACGCTGCAGCAGGCGACGAATAACCTAAACATGCACTTACACCATCATTCCCTGTCCTCTTCCTCCTCCACCTCCTCCTCCTCCTCGTCGTTACCCGTGTCGGCGTCTTGCCCCGCGGCTTGCTCGGCGGGAGCCTTGCCCGGTCCGGGATTGTTCGGTAGCATGTCTACCCCGACTGTGCTGAAGCGGCTTGTGCGGAAGGGGATTCCGCCGCATCTGCGCCCGCGCGTGTGGAAGGCGGTGTCGGGCGCGGCTAAGAAGGAGGCGGTTGCGCCGGACGATTACTATTCGTCGCTGGTGGAGGAGACGACGTGGCGCACGACAGACCACACGTTGCAGATCGATCACGTGAGCAAGCAGTTTTGTATTCTGCCTCAATCTCCCACTATCTCTCCCCAGTCTCCCCAGTCTCCCCTCCCCCCTGTACTCCCTTCGATATTTTCCCCAACCCCACCCCCGTCTTCCCTGATCTCCCCCTTTTTCTCCCATTTCCCCCCATCTCCCTTATCTCCCCTCAATCTCTCCCCCATTTGTCCTTCCATCTCCCGCATCTCCTCCCCCCCTCCCCCCCCCCAAACTCCCTCCGCCTTCCCTCATCTCTCCCCATCTCTCCCTTAGCCTCCCTCCATATCCCTCCCCGCGCGTCCCCCTACCTCTGCCCACCTTCCTCCACCTTTCCCCTCATTTCCGCCCCTCTTGCCCACGCCCCCATCGCCGCCATTCCCTCCAGCCAGGGCCTGCACCGCACATTCCCCAAGCACCCGCGCATGGACACACCAGAGAGTCTGGCGGCACTTAGGCGCGTGCTCGTGGCCTACTCCTGCTGGCCGGGACCCATCTCTTCCACAATCTTCACCTATCACCTCCCATCTCCGCCTGTGTCCTCCCAAATCTGCCCCATCTCTCTTCCATCTCTCCCCCATCTCTCCCCATTCCCCCCATCCCCCCCAAACCAGGATCTGCACCGCACGTTCCCCAAGCACCCGCGCATGGACACACCAGAGAGCCTCGCAGCCCTTCGGCGCGTGCTCGTGGCCTACTCCTTCCGGGACTCTCACGTGGGGTACTGTCAGGTGAGAGAGAATGGGTGCAGTGAACGGCCATTTCCCCTGTCCTGTCCTCCTCTCTTTTGCCCCCTGTTCTCCAACCAGATTCTCCACCTCACCCTCTTCCCCCTCCCTCTTCCCCTCCTCCCCCGCGGCCGCTCTGGCATGAACTACGTGGCGGCGTTTCTGCTGCTGGTGATGCTGCTCCTTTCCTCTCCTCCCATTCCCACGCCCCACGCCCCTCCCCTCCCCCTGCTTTCCCGTCCCCTCTTCCCGCACCTCCCTTTCCCTAACGTCAGGGCATGAACCACGTGGCGGCGTTTCTGCTGCTGGTGATGCGACTCCTTCCCTCCCATCCCCACGCCCCCTGCCACCCTCCCCCGCCCCTCCCCCCCTCCACCCGCCAGGGCATGAACTACGTGGCGGCTTATCTGCTGCTGGTGATGCGCAGCGAGGAGGTCGCGTTCTGGATGCTGGCGACCCCTTCACACCAACTGCCGTCCGTCGCTCCCATACCGCATTCCCTTCTCTCCCTCCCTTCCAAACCCTCACCACCCAAACCAACCCCTCTCAACCCCCCAAGCCATGAACTATGTGGCGGCGTATCTGCTGCTGGTGATGCGCGGCAAGGAGGTCGCGTTCTGGATGCTGGCGACGCCTTCACACACAGTGCCCTCCCCTCCCTTTCCCCCATTGCCATTCCTCTCCGCCCCTTGAAATCCCCCCCTTCCCCCTCGCTCCCTCAACCCCCTCCTCTACCCACCAGGGCATGAACTATGTCGCAGCGTATCTGCTGCTGGTGATGCGCAGCGAGGAGGACGCGTTCTGGATGCTGGCGACGCTGGTGGAGAACGTGCTGTACGACGACTGCTTCGCCGAGGACCTCTTTGGCGTGCACGTGGAGCAGCGCGTGCTCAAAGACCTGCTCAAGAAGAAACAGCCCAAGTGAGTGGTGTGGGAGGGGGTGGGCTGGGGGGTGAGGAAGAGGAGGGGAACGGAGCGGGGTGTTTCAGTGGTCTCTTTGGCGTGCACGTGGAGCAGCGCGTGCTCAAAGACCTGCTCAAGAAGAAACAACCCAAGTGAGTGGTGTCGTGGGGGGGAGAAGAGGGGAAGGGAGTGGGTGGAGGGAAAGGGGTGGGGGGGAACGGGGTTGGGGGAGGGGAAGTAGGGCTTGTGGTGCATGTTTTCAGAAGTCTCTTTGGCGTGCACGTGGAGCAGCGCGTGCTCAAAGACCTGCTCAAGAAGAGACAGCCCAAGAGAGCGCAGGGGGAGGGAGGGGGGAAGGGGTGGATGGGGGGAGGGAGAGGGTGGGGGTGAAGGGGTGGTTGGAGTAGGGCTTCTGGTGTGTGCTTTTCAGAAGCTTCAGTGGGGGAGGCAGGCAAGCGAGGAAGGGAGGGAGGCAGGCAGGCAAGGGTAACAGTGAGGCCGGTGGTTTGGTCTCTGCTTGCTTTCTCCGTGTATCCCTCCATTCCAGTCAGACAAAGGTTTCGGATCTCTTTTTGTCCTTCATTGGTCATGCCCTCCATCTTACCTTAACCCGATCCACACATCCCCTCATTCCCTGCTCCCCAACCATCTTCCCTGTTTTCCCCCTTTCCCCTACGGCCCCACCCCCCTCTCCCACTACAACCAGGCTGGCTAGTCATCTGGATAAGGTTGGGTTTGAGCTCTCCCTCGTCACCACGGAGTGGTTCCTCTGTGTCTTCGCCAAGACATTCCCCTCTGAGGTGCGTGGGTGTGCAAGCACCTTTCTCTTCTTCCAACCCTCACCTCCCATCTAACCTTCTCGCCTGGGCTTCTGAAACCCTGCCCCCTCAGTCTCTTTCTCTCTCTCTCCCTTGTCACCACTGAGCGGTTCCCCTGTGTCTTCGCCAAGACCTTCCTCCTCCCTGAGGTGCATCGCTCGATCTCCTGCCCTCTCTTATCTTCTGTGTGCGTGTGTGTGTCTGTGTATGTGTATGTGTATGTATGTGTCTCCGTCCGCATGCATCACATGCATCACACATGCAACAGGCCACGCTGCAGGTGTGGGAAAGTGCTCTTCCACGTGCCATGTGCTGTTCTCTCGTCCTCCATCTCACCATGCCTCCCCCACCTCCCCCCTTGCACCTCCCCCCTTGTGTGCACCAACAGACCACGCTGCGGGTGTGGGACGTGCTCTTCAACGAGGGAGCCAAAGTGCTCTTCAGAGTCGCCCTCGCTCTCTTCAAGGTAATCTGCTAACCCGCTCCCTCAATAAACCTGCTTGATTCCCCAAATAGCCCGCCTCCCCAGGTAATCTTCTGGTTGTCTTCTTCCCCTTCCACGTGCCACTCTATCCACCTCCCCCATGACATGTACTATTCCGTCTTTCGTTTTCCTTCCTCCTGCGCCCGACCCCCAACCAACCCCACGCTGCTTTCCTGGTGCCCTTTATCAGGCGATGTTTAATGCACCTCGGTACACACTCCCCTGACCAACCTCGTTTCTTTCCCCTCCCTCCGCCCACTTCCCCTTCCCCCTTCGCCCCTCCCCTCTCCACTCTCCCCTTTGCATTTCTCCTTTTAAAAGTTGTGCAAAAGCAACCATTCCTTCTGCACTACACCGGCTCTCTCTCCCGCTCTCTTTCACCCCCCACCCCACACTCAACCTCCCCCGCGGTGTCAGATAAACGAGGCAGAGCTCATGACAGCACAGAACCTGGGCAACGCTTGTGACGCCTCTAAAGTATACCTTCAAAACGTTTCCCTCTGCTCACCCCACCCGCTCTTTCCCTCTCCCCCCCTCTCTCTCTCCCTCCCCTGCCCCACCCTCCCGTGTCAGATAAACGAGGCGGAGCTGATGACAGCACAGCACCTGGGGGACGTGGTGGAGGTATTGAACCGATCCAGCAGCAGACACTTTGACCCCGACATTCTTCTGCAGGTGCGTACACTGCTTGCACCTCTCTCTCATCTCCTGTGAGTGTAGTATCATGGTGACTGCATGCCCGCCTTCCTCTCATCTCCTGCCATTTCATGTCATGGCATGTCATGGCATGCCGGCTCATCGCGTCTCATGCCAGCAAAGAACTCCATGCAATGGCACTATGTTTCACCTGCATGCTGTGCCTGCCAGCCAACCAAAGACAGAGCAGTCTGAAACTCTTCGAGGCAAAATTTTGAAGCCTTTCTTTAATTACTTCGAGGCGCTTCAATCAAAAGTAGACTGCGAGCTGTGCCAACGACAGAGTTGTCCAAACGCAAGTCACCCTCCTCTCCTCTCCTTTCCCTCGCATCCCCCTGCCAGGTGGCGTTTGACCGGCTGGGAACCATGTCCATGGCCACCATTCTCAAGCAGCGCAAGCGGCAGAGGAACAGAAAGACACTGTCCCAAACCCGCCTCCCCTTTTCCCTCTATCATCCCTCCCATCCCTCCCCTCCCCTCCCCTCCCATCCCACTGCCAGGTGGCGCTCGACCGGTTGGAACCCATGTCCATGGCCACCATTCTCAAGCAGCGCAAGCGGCACATCTGCTCTTGTTTCTCGTCTATCCTCAATCCCCCCTGACTGCCACTCTCCTCCCCTCCCTCCTATTCTCCTGCCAGGTGGCGTTTGACCGGCTGGGAACCATGTCCATGGCCACCATTCTCAAGCAGCGCAAGCGGCAGAAAAACGCGGTGGTGGCGGCATTGGAGGCTCGGGCGCAGCAGCTTAGTGCGTACAAGGGCACTCTCGGCCAGAGCAGCAGCAGCAGTGGCAGGAGCCAGGAGAGTAGAGAAAGCAGGGATGAAAGGGAGAGCAGGGAGAGCAGAGAGGGAGGAGGAGGAGGAGGAGGAGGAGGAGGAGGAGGAGGAGGAGGAGGAGGAGGAGGAGGAGGAGGAGGAGGGGGCAGGGAGAGCAGAGAACGCGGCAGCACAAGCAGCGGTGTTAGCATCAGCAGCAGCAGTAGCTGCAGTGGAAGTGGGAGCGGCAATAGGGAAACTGAAACCGCGAATGGCAGTAGGGACGGGGGCAGTAAGGCTGGCTCAAGGTTCAAAGGGAGCAGCAGTGTCGGTGGGGTTAGTACAGCCTCTGTGAGCGAGAGGAGGGAGGGAAGCAGTGCAGAGGCACAGATGCTTGAAGTAGGGGGAGATACCCGTAGCTTTAGCTTTCCAACTGCCATTGCTGAGGGGAAGTCCGGGGAAGAAGACGAGGGAGGCAGGGAGAAAGGGGATGGAGGAGAGGCTGTCCATTTATCTGCATCCAACGGTAACGCCACTGATGCCTCGCGTGCTGCTGCGAGAACCGTTGATTCTATTAAAGTTCCAGACCGCACCCGTCCCAGAGGATTCCGAAGTGCGTCCATCTCGGTTAGCTCATTCGCTAGGTATGAAGAAGAACCTGCCGCTGCTGAGGTCAATCATAGGACCGTGCTCCCTCCTGGTGCTTTGTTCCGTGATGCTAGTGCTGCTTGCGGCAGCAGGAACAGCCGCAGCAGAGGGGCGCTAGGAGGAGCTTTGAAAGGGGGCGCAGGGTTTGGAAGGGGTTGGGGAGGGTTGGACGAGATGGAGAAGATTCGGGAGGAGGAGAGAGCGGAATGGGCGCGGGAAGGGTTCACCCCTCCGCAAGGCCTCCCCCCTCGTGTGGCGTCTCACCTGAATTTAAACCTGAACTCAGTGTCAGTTTCTCGTATTCATGCTGCAGCTGAAGCAGCTCTGTCTGCATTTTCAGCTGCTTCGGAAGTGTCGTCCGTGGCAGCCGCGTCAGTGTCACTGGCCATGGGATCGCGCGAGGCTGAGAGTGGACTCATCCGCACCAACTCCATTTGATTTTATTCTGGAGCCGAAAAATCTCGCGAGAGGCTGTCCCTAGGGTCGTGTGAGGCTGAGAGTGCAGTCGTTTGCACCAAAACCATTTGATTTTTGCGGCGTTGAAAAATATCTCGTGTGAGGCTGGGAATGCGCTTGCAAGCAGTAGCTCGTATGATACCGTAGTTTGCACTTCTTGTAAGGGGTATGGGACGAAAGCAGTGGGGGAGGGGTTGGATTGGGGGTTGTGCAGTGTCAGCAACCGGCCTCAATGTGCCACCTTCGCTTGGTAGTTCACAACGTTGTCAGCAGGCATAGTTGCTTTAATGCTGCACACACTTGCTGTGTATCCCTCTCTCAGCCCCCACTTCCCCCCAACTCCTCCCTTCCCCCTCCCTCCCTCTATCTCTCTCTACCTCCTTCGTTATCTCAAGCCCATCTCCCTCGTCCGCCCGCCACCCTTGTGCCCACACTGCCCCACTCTTGTGCTGTTAGCTCAGCCATTATTGTTTGGTCCAGGTGTGTCCAGTATACACTTAGTGGAATACATGCTTTGATATGAATTACATGCCTGGTATTCGGAGTAATGGTTCTGGATAGTGAGATAGCTGCGAGATTGTACACTGTTTTCAGTAATTCTCGATACAGACCTCTGAGGTCCCTTACGTGGCTGGCTTGCGACGCGCGCCATTCCGACGTGTCGCGCTGCAGCTCATTGGTTAGATTCAATTGATACCAATCCCCGGAATCTCCGTGCTCATGACAGGCACCACTACTCTTCCTTTCAAGCGTGTGAAATTCCGCAACGATCTTGCAAAATGTCGCGTGCAAGGAGCTCAGGAGGAGTCAGGGACTTCTGACTGGGCGTAAGCATTTGGATCGACACTTCCGAGGAAACCTTTCTAAAATATTTTCAGACCGAGTCGTCGTAAGTACACAGGATGCTCAACGACTGCACGCGAATTTGGTCTGGCCAAGCTCGACAGCCTGCCCAATTGCAAGTAGTACCAGCCAGTTGCACGCACAATACAAGCCCCTCTTTTGATCGCAGCCGTTGAACAGACAGCTTATCACGCTGGCATCCGTCCGTTCGTGAGATATTTTGAAGAAGCTGGTTACATTTCTTCACCTGCCCACTACAGTCCCGATTTTGCCCGTGACGAATGTTGGCGAGGAAGCGAAACAGGGTTGCTCACTAAACACCCAAATGACGGGAAAAGTTGTGGGAGTCAAACGCGCTTCCTGTGTACTTGAAAGAACGCAAAAACAAGTTTCATAAGCTTTAGAAAGGTCGATACTGTGGGCTGCCAAAAGTGTTCATTTCCGAGGTTGACGAACCCGCCCTCGAGATTCAAAACCAGCCATATTACTTGCGTGACTTCCTTTCAGCCTACCATACTTGTAGCTAGTCTCTCAACAGTTCGTTCACTATTGCTACTTTTGCGTCTATAGAGTCGCGAATCAAGAGCCACGCGACAACGGACCTGCTAATTCCAGCCTGAAACCACGTGGCATATACTGTTGGCGAAAAGATTACCCACCCCCAGTCCTATTCCAGGTTCAGGCTGGAGTAAAGGAGAGGGGACATGTCGCTCGCGGTGACACATGCAAGCAACCCAATCGTAACTCTGGTAAGTTCCGCCATTGCTCGGAAATTTACAGCGGGGTCTACCGTGTGTTTAATGTGTATCTTTTTCAGAAATGCCATGGCTCCAGAAATTTCATGACTCCAGAAATGCCATGGCTTCTTAACCACACCCAGCTTTCTGCATTTCCCCTCTTCCTTTCTTCCCCCCACCCCGTTCACCCCTCCTTCCGCTCCGCATTCCTCTTCCCCCCTCGTCCTCCCTGTGTCCTCGTCTGAAGCAGACCCAGTGCAGCAGAAGAGGAATTTACGCTACAACAGCAGCATCACCTTTCCTTTATACCTGCTACCCCGTAAACTGCACACGTCAGCAGAAATTGCAAGAACCGTGTTTGCGACTTAGAAAGGATGGCCGGTATCGGAGGAGAGAGTGTGAGCCTTTCAGGGCTACAGCAGGAGGAATTTCAGGTGTTCTAGGACATTCCTGGGACGAGGGACAATCCAGATGGAAGCTTCCTAGCGGGTTTGCTTCTGCGCTTGAACCCGCTGCAAGCAACGGCTTGAGAAGCGGACCCATGGGGGGTCTGCGGAGAGTAGGGGCTGGCAGATGGGGGTTGCAAGGAGGGAGGAGAGGGAGGGGTTTCCGGGGAGGGAAGGAGGCAGGTGTTCAAGGGGAGGTGGTGCAGCTTGGGGGGAGACGGCGTGTGGTTGTCTTGGCTGCCTGGGGCTTTAAACGACGACAAGAACAACAGCTTCAGCAGCAGCAGCAGCAGCAGGCGTCAACGTCTACGTCAACGTCAACGTCAGCATCAGACACGGATTCGTATTACGACTCGGGGTCGGAGGACACGGAGGAGGGGCCGCGAGTGGCCCGCTTGAGAGCAGTCCACACGTCCAGCATTCGCATTCACCCGTGGGGGAACGCGAGAGGTCCTGAGATCGATTCCTCCCTGGCACAGTCTTCTTCTCAGTTCTCTGAGAACCGACCCGCTGAGTACCGAACCTCTGCCGAAGCAGTGGAGCTGCTGGCTCGGTACCTGCAGTCGCCCCAGGGCCAACGCAAGCTACTTAACGAGGCTGCCCTGCAGCAGGTACCTACCTGCCCTGCTCTCCTTGTCATCCTGCAGTTTTGCTTCTCACATCCATGTGTGCTCGTGCGCATGCACATTCATACGCATACATACCCATCTCACTTCCATCCCTGTGCCCATACTCATCGACCCATCATGTGGCAGTTGGAACCTGTGTCAGAGAATCTGTTCAGGTACATTCGCCTGTGCCCATTCGCCTGCGCCCATTCACCTGCGCCCATTCGCCTGCGCCCATTCACCTGCGCCCATTCGCCTGCGCCCATTCACCTGCGCCCATTCACCTGCGCCCATTCACCTTCGCACTCTCGTTTCATGACCGGTTTTTCTTCGAAAAAAACACTTACTCACTTTGTGAAAAAAATCCAGCTTATCATGCCTATTCTTCCACGCCTTTCCTTTCATGCCTGTCCTACCATGCCAAGCCTGTCTTACCATGGCTATCCTACCATGCTCCACCATCCCCGTACCAGGTGTTACCTGCATCCTCTAGAACTCTTCAGCATCTCCGTGCAGCCAATCATGGACCTCCACGTGTCATCCTCTGATGACACGTGCACTGTGGAAATGCTCTCTTGTCAAGTGAGTACTGAGTTGACCCATACCTTCTCATAGGAAACATCTTGTCATACGAAACATACATAGGACTTTTCCCTCTCATGCTCCTCTGCTGACGGGAAGCCTTTGCCTCACTCGCAGTCACAGCGAGGCATCTGTGAAGTATGAAACTGAGAGACTGTGAAGTGTGAAGCATCTGTGAGAGACAGTCGCAGTAATCTCATCGTGGGAAATCGAGGCAATTAATTATGTTTGGTGGTGGACAGTGGGTGGGTTTGGTGGGATGCCTTTTCTGCACTGTTGGGGGAAGTGAGATGGCTCTGCTATCATAAGACTGCGTTGACTGAATTGCTTGCTATATATTGACATAACCAGTAGCTCGTGATGCATCACCTCCCTCTGTCCCTGTGCCCTTCCTCCGTCCCTCTATCCTCCCTGTACTTTCTCAATCCCAACCTCACACCCCTCCCCACCTCGCCTCTCCCTGCCTTGCCTGTGTTCTCAGCTGGGAACGTCCAGTCAGGGCAACCAGAACCGAGTGTTTGAAGGTGTGTGCTTCTTAGTGGCAAATGTGAGAGAGCTTGAGATGCTGGAAGGGAAGAGAAGAGGGGGAAGGAGAGAGGGGGGCATGGATGTTGAGGGGAGAGAGCAGGGAGGTGGTGGGGGAATTAGTGTTGCTGACGTTTGGACGGTTGTGTGGTTCACCTGTCGATTCTATGGCCAGTTGTCGATCGTACTCCTTCAATAGAACCTCGCTTTCACAGTCCCCTTATTCATGTTCCCTGTCCCATCAATACTAAAATCGCATCGCTGGTTGTATATACATGACTATGGTTTTTAGATATATGTGTGTGTGTGTGTGTGTGTGTGTGTGTGTGTGTGTGTTTATGAATCTATGTATTTATTGCGGCTGCTGCTGCTGCCACAGAACTCTTCCGTAACAGCCTCCTTTTCCTCACCTCTGCTACAGGTTACCTCAAGAACGTGATGACGTGGCAGCCATGTCAGCAAGTGGAGGGCCACGTGGTGCTCTCTATGAGCTCCGATATCCGAGTGTCGCTGGAGGTGCGTTGGAGGGTTGGGGAGGGGTGGGGAGGGGTGGGGAGGGGTGGGGAGGGGTGGAGTGGGGGAAGGGAAAGCGGAGGGGGAAGTGCATGGAGGGGAGGTTCATGGGGGTGGGTTAATTGAGGGGGCGTCACTTTGGGGAAAGAATCTGTTGAGGTAGGAACGGTGGGGAAGGTGTGGGAAGGACGGGCGCAGGCTGTGGGGAAGAGTGGTAGAGAGAGGAGAGAGGAGATAGAGGACGATTGGTTAAGAATGGGTATTGGAAGGAGGGAGGGTGAGGAGGGGGGGTCTTGAGGGCCACGTGTAGTGCTCTGATTGCTCTTTCCTGCCCTTTCTCTCTCATTCCTTCTGCCATACCAGTGCTAAAGCAGCCACCTCAAGTCTCGTCTTCTCCGCTCCGCTCCTCTCCGCTCCTCTCCTCTGCTATCCTCTCCTCTCCTCTCCTCTCCTCTCCTCTCCTCTCCTCTCCTCTCCTCTCCTCTCCTCTCCTCTCCTCTCCTCTCCTCTCCTCCCTCACCATCCTCTGCTCTCCTCTCCTCTCCTCTCCTCTCCTCTCCTCTCCTCTCCTCTCCTCTCCTCTCCTCTCCTCTCCTCTCCTCCCTCACCATCCTCTGCTCTCCTCTCCTCTCCTCTCCTCTCCTCTCCTCTCCCCTCCTCTCCCCTCCTCTCCTCTCCTCTCCTCTCCTCTCCTCTCCCCTCCTCTCCCCTCCTCTCCTCTCCTCTCCTCTCCTCTCCTCTCCTCCCCCGCCTCTCTGCCCGTCTCTGTTGCTCTTGCACAGGTCTACACTCTACCCTTCACTCTCCTCCCACTCTCTGCTGTCGAGAAACCGGGAAACAAGTAAGCTCGTCCCTGCAGAGGCTCGTATAACCCGTGGACCAGCTATCTTCCTGTTCTCTCGCGTTGACTTTTGAGTCGACTCGACTTTTGAGTTTTGAGTCGACTCAAAAGTCAGAGGCTCGTATAACCTGTGGACCAGCTATCTTCCTGTTCTTTCGCGTTTCTATTCCCAACACAGCTCCACTTTGAATCAACTCAAAACCTCCAGAAGCTCCTAAATAACCAGCTCCACTTTTCATTGGACCCGCCTGTTGAAAAATGAAATCACTTTTGAGAATCCTCGGAAGGGATTTCGAATCTCCAGAAGCTCCGAAATAACCTGTTTTGAGGCGTCTCGTAACCTGTGTACCCACCTCACTGCTCCCATATCTCAACACCGCTCCACTCCCTTTGCCCTCTGTCGTGTCTTGTTCTCGAAACCGTGAAACCCAAGACACCCTCCTGTATGCTCACTTTGTGAATCTCTCTTCCTTACATCCTCTCCTGTACCCTGTTGACTCCTCGTCCTCTCTATGACCATAACTCCGTGCTCCTTTCACCCTTCATTGTACGAACCGCCTCTTCCTTGCGCCATTTCACCCCCTCAAGATTCTCTCAAGAGTTGAAAGTCGAGTTCACCCAGCATTCCTCCCGTATCCTTAATTCCCTGATTGTCTCCCGGATTTACATTTCTCCAATCTCCTCAGTCTGCCATATATGAGCATGTTCCTCTCCCGGCCATCTCAAACAAGTTGCACTCCTTTCTAACCTCCTTTCGCCCCATGTCCCTCCCTCCCGCCTCGCATCCCCTGACCTGAATCCCTGTTCTTGTCCACCAGAATGCTCTCGGCATTGCTGTCCCAGCTATGCCCGGCCTTTTTGAACGACGTTGCGGCAGACCTTGCCCAGTGGCACGAGCAGCACAGAACGATGTGATGTGAACAGGGAATACACCACAGTCTATTCCCGACTGTCATAATGCTCTCTGCATCGCTGTCCCAGTTCTGCCATCAGCTTTTCTGTGGACGTTGGAACAGACTTTGCTCAGCGGCATGAGCAGCATCGGGCGCTGAGGACACTGAGGACAGGGAATACACGTTAGTCTCGACTGTCGTAATGCTCTCTGCGGTGCTGTGCTGTCCCAGCTCTGCCCCTGGCTTTTCTGGGTGTTGTTGCAGCAGAGCAGACCTTGCCCAGTGGCACGAGCAGCACAGGGCGCTGCGATGAGAAATGCAGAGTACACTTCATTGCCGCATGCCTGTGTTTATATTGCTTTGATGGGGGCGTTTTACCCACGGTACAGAAGCTCCTGCAGGCCTTTTCTTCGGAACCGAGGGTGCAATGTGGTGTGGTGCTGTAATTGCTCTCCTATTCCGTTACTAGTGCTTATTAACAACAACTTACGTACCTACACTAGACAGCTTGACTTGGATTGGATTAGATTCCCATGCTTAGACAGATACCAGTCGATCTGTATTGAGAGCAGGCTTATGATTAGGGCGACGTCAGGTTTCACATCGTCACACATTTACAGTTGTTGTATCGTGTCTCATAACTGTTCTGCACGGTGGAGGGCGGTGTTCGCAATGTTCACCGTTTTGCACCGTGACGAAACGAAGTTGACCGCAGTGAGCGTACAGAAAGTTGTGCAACATAATGTAATATATATTTGGCTCCTTTCCGTGCTGCAAATCAAACTCACATACCGTAATCTTAGAGGGTTGGTTAAAATTGTACCATATCAAGCAAAAATCACACAAATGTCTAGAATAAGTGTCAGGATAGAGGTAAAACGGGCCTAATCTGACCTGATCAGAGGCTGAGACAGTCACACAAGCCCTACTATCACACAGTCTGGAATCGAATACAGGAAAAAGAATTATCCTAAGCAATTAACTACCCCTCCACACAGTCACAACCAATGAATGCCAGTGGTGTAGTTGCTGTGGCTGCCCATGATGCATATCACCAAAAAGAGTAGCTAGACCAACAACAGCACGAACTGCTGCCGCTACTACCACCACCACACCACCACCACTACCTGGCTGTTGCTGTATAGTCACCGGTACCCTTGCGAGCCGAAAATCAGCAGTAAATGAGAAGCTGATAGCTCCGAGGAAAGAGAGATACCGGTGTGGGTGTGTATGAGAGACTGTATGCACTTGCACGTGGGGGCTTGACTGCACAGGGGGATGCTCGAGGCAATGGCCTGCTTCTTGTATGTGCACATACCATCTTGACTAAGACCTTGAAGGGGGATGGTGGGTGGAGAGATGGTTGGGTGCGTGACAGTTGGGTGCGTGACAGTTGGGTGCGTGACGGTTGGGTGCGTGACGGTTGGGTGCGTGGCAGTAGGGTAGGAAGGTTTGCGGATGGGCGGACTTGAGAACGGCGGACATGGCATAGGTGCCAACAAAGGCCGGGGTGACGGGTGTGGCGGCGATGGTGGCGATGGCGGAGGTGGCGGGGGTCACGGGGGGTTGGGGGCGGTGGCGGAGATAGCGGGGGTGGGGGGGGTGGCGGAATGGCGGGGGTGGCGGAATGGCGGCGTTGGCGGAACGGTGGGGGTAGCAGAATGGCGGGAGTGGCGGCGATGGCGGGAGTGGCGGCGATAGCAGGGGGTGGTGGCGATGGCGGAATCGAGACGATTACCGAATGGGACTGTAACGGGGAGAGTCAGTCACAGTTAGCAGCAGGAGCAGGAGGACGAGGACAGCAGTGCACCCCATCCGCGTTACTGCGACAGCATGTCGTACAGCATGAGCGTGATACCGAACTGCGGGCTCATCCGCAGCACGCGCGCAATCCCACCCTTGAACAGCGCGCCGAGCCCCTCCTCCTCCACTATCTCCTTAACGCAAGCCCACGCGTTAACGTACGCCTCCTTCCCTTCCTCCGGCTCCATCTGCATGCGCGTTTTAACTACGTCCATAGGCGTCACGAGGTACGCGGCGGGGACCGCGGCGAGGCACCCGTCGATGAACGTTTGATCGGGCATGACCTGCTTCAGCGCCGCGTAGCACGCGAAGAAGAGCGCGGTTGACGGCACGTCCCGCGCTAGAGTCACGCTCGACCCGCTGTACAACCCGCGAATACCCAGCTCCTGTACCACCTGCCACGACGTCTTCCCTTTTTGCTGCTGCGGCTCCGCTAATACCGCTCCGCTCGCGCCGGCGGCGGAGGCGGAAGCGGAAGCGACCGCGCCCTCCGCTTCCGAATCACTCGACGACGCTGACGATCCTGTCGCGATCTTTTTTCGCGCCTGCATGCGAACTTTGACGATTTCCACGGGGTTCGTGAACACCACTTGGCAGAACCCACCGCCGCCACCCGCGATGATCTCGAGGACCCACAGACGCGCTCCGGGGATGGTCGATTCCAGCATCGCCAACAGAACCTCGTTAACGGTCAATTTAATCGCCTTTTCCGGCGCGATTCCGACTAGTTGCGCGCCGAGCCCGCTGTACAGCGCCGCGGGGCCCTCCTCGCGGACCATGCGGAGGAAGCAGTCCCACTCGTCGCGGTACTGCACGTGCGCTTGCGACGCTGACGGAGACGGTGACGTTGACGCTAACGTTGACGTTGACGATCCCGCCGCGGAGTGGAACTCGGCGCCGTTCGCGCCGTCTCGCCCCGAATCGTCTGAATCCGAATCTGACTCTTTGATCTTGCGCTGCGCCTGCATGCGCGTCTTGATGGTGTCTAGAGGGTACACCGCCGCCGCGCCCACTGCGCCCGCCACGCCGCCCACGCCGAAATGCTGCAACGACTGCCCCATGATCACAGCGAGTTTCGCGGAGAGACCTGCAAGGAGAAGGCGCGGGGAAAGCAGCGCGTAAAAAGGGGAACGAGTGAGTGGGGGGAAGGCGGCAACGGCCCAGAAAGAAGCGGGCAAGGGGCTCGAAAGGGGGAAAATAATCGTTGGAAAGGGGGGAGAAAGGGGGGGAGAGGAGGGGAATACGGGAGGGGAGAGTTTGGGGTTGGCGAAACGCGGGTTACATGTTACAGGAAATGCTTACCTCCAGATGAGCTGGCGATGGCAGCAGCAGCGGCGCTTTCCAAGGTCAGGCTCGCCGCCGCCGCTCCCGCGAAAGACACCTCAGTCGCGGCGATCGGGCCGCCCGTCGCCACTCCGCCCATGGCAGCGGAAGCCGCCGTCGCGCCCCCCCCAACCGGCCCCATATACACTGCGGGCTCCGCCACGATCGACCCGCTGCTGCTGCGCATTCCGCTTCCGCTTCCGCCGTCGCCGCTTCCGCCGCTGAAGCTCCCGCCGGGCGAGAGCGATAGCGGCACCATGACGTCAGCCGGGAAGTCCGCGGCGCAGTCGGCCCAGGTGACGGAGCGCGAGCGACTCGGCGAGGAGGAGTCGGGACCTGGGATGCCCTGCTTCACAGGCGACAGAACCGCGTCGCACATCCGCTCGTCCGCATTTCTCAGCCTATCCTGCTCCTCCAGCTGTCGGACTAGCATTGCCTTCGCCTCCTCTTGCGCCTCGGGCGAGACCACTCTGCCAGAAGATCCCGCGGATGTCAGTGACACCTGGCGCGTTAAAGACGCCGGAGTTGCGGATGATGACGTGGCGAGTGCGGGAGCGGGAGGTATAGACTCTAGTTGCGAGATAAACTCGTCGGCAAGTAAACCGGATTTCACGGCGCTGTTTGTCGTCGAAACGGCGACTTGAGATTCTGACGGGGGAACGGGAGGGGGGAGTTGGTCCAGCGCAAGCGCCGCGCCTGGCGAGCAGCAACCAGCGGAAAGCGCAAACGCGGTGGACACCGCAACAACGGCGGATGCTTTTCTTAGGTCCGAAAGAACCTGCGCGCTGCGCTCTTTAAGCTGCGGTGCGTTGGAAAACGACTGCGCGTCTTTATCGGAGCGCAAAATGCTTGTCGGCGTCGCGGACGCTGCGAGTGCGACTTGATCAGGCGACGCGGAGGTCGCCCGTGAGGCTTGAGGAAACGGGGAGGTTTGGGGGAGCATGGCACGCGGGTGCGCGGAAAGCGCAGCCGGCGCAGCCCCCGCGGTGGTGGTGCGCGGAAGCGACACGTGGTGAAACGAGTGCAGAGGCGAGGGGAAGAGCGAGGAGGCGGCATTGTGCGAAGCAGAGGACAAGGATTGGGAGGGAGTTAGCACGTGGCGAAGACTAGAGGAGATGGTGGAGGAAGGTAGTAGTCGGCCGGATGGTATGGATCCCGCTGATGATGTACCACCAGCGACGGAGTCGGATGATATAGTAGCGGGGATGAGGTTGAGTATACTCGAGTGCGAGAGCGCCATGGCTGGAGACGAGTGAGAGAGAGTCACAGAGAGAGGTGGCTCTTTGAGACTAGAATGGTTGGCCGATTCGGAACGGGATGGATGAGTCGGAAGGAAAGGAAGGATGAGATCCGAACTGCGACTGACGAAGATTTTTTGGGGTGGACGAGAGCTCAAGCGAGGAACTTATAGGCCCCGACGATAAACGCGTACACCACGAAAGGCACGATGAGTCCTCTGGCTGAGAGAGGCCACTAGACGCGACGTGCTAGTCGGTGCGGGTTCAGCTGAGATAGCTGAGGAAGGATAGCAGTTAGATGCAGCAACTCGCGGAATAAACGTCAATATGAGAGATGACGCTTTCTAATCCAAGCACGGCTTGACGCCGATGGTGGTTGGTTGTGTGCTGCGGCGCTAGCAACGGCGAAATTCCGGCTTAGATCCTCTCAGGCACGGCGTAGAGAAATGAAGATGAGGTAAGCGAAAAGGGCCGAGTATGGAGGAAAAAGAGGGGGCGGAGCGAGTTAGTGCGAGTCACACGATTGAGAAAGAGAGAGGAAGGTCGTCGCAAAGTAGTCGCGTGCGACGGCGTGAAGGAGCGGCGACTGGGCAGGGACTCCCTGCGGCGGAGGCTCAAATCGCACGACGTTTCGAGCGACGGAATTGGCACGGACTTCCAGGTCGAAATTGCGGGATTACAAGTCAGAGTGCTGCCGAAGCACAAATGTGTCGAGATTGGGCCAATGGCGTTGCAGAAAAGCTTGCAAATGATGACAGACGAGAAATGGACGAATGTTGTCGGCGAAACGTTGCGACCAGGCGGGAGGATGCAAGCGATTCGCCTTGAACGCGCATCGCCAATCAGAACCATAACTTTGAATTCGGCGAGCATGGGATTCGCGAGATCGAGGGCTGAGTGACGGCAGCTGACGGCCGCCTTGTGTGCCAAACTGCGAGTTCAACGGGCAGCCTGAAAGTGAACCTTCTGTGGTAGGTTTGGGAAAAGGGGGTCGCGGTGGCTAGTAGGGCAGATAAAAGGAAATATGTTTTTGATATTCAGCGACTCGATCTCACTTTCACAGATGCAAGGAGGGTGGCACGCGCAGACTTGGCCGCACCAAGATTGCGGGATCAGCGCCCCAAAGTGGAGCCGACTGGTTACAAAATGGCAGGCGATGAAACTGTTGTGACGTAGACGTGGCTGTCGCGTCATGTTCGCCGCAATCAAGGGGAACCACTGCTCGCACTGCCTTCTGCTGTGCTGTCCAGGCGAATGTGATAGCTTCCACGTAAATTGGCAAAGTGCACATCCACGGGAGCAAGCGCGCCGTTGCTGTGGTGTGTCCACTCATGTTTCATACGTCATATCCCCCCAAGATCTGTCCGCAAGATGCGGCTGTCACCTACACTACACAACACATCCTAGGGAAGACCTACGGCAATAGGCGCCAACGAACTGAGACACGACTACCATCATGAGGTCACTGGTAGCATCACAAAATTTTCCCGCCAATTCTTAGTCAGCCAAACGTGTCCATGTTCTCGGCTGAAAGACACGTGGCCAGTCAAGGGCATGCTGTCAGAGACACGCTTGAGGAACCAATACCCGCCGACGCTGCATCAGCAATTTATGCAATGCAATTATGCCTCTTGTACCTTCGGGTTTTCTCTCAGCCACTCGAAAGATAGTGCTTTGCACCTAGGATGTCAACATCTGTCTCAACATTGGTGCTTTCTACACCACACTGACAGCCTGTTGTTACGGGTATGGCCAAACAAACTAGTTCATTGCCCAGAAGAATTGGACCCCCAAGTAGTTCTTACTCAAACTCAGCCTATGACTAAAGAGTTAAGGGTGGAGAAGCATGGAGGCATACTAAACTTGAACTGAGATGTGCACATGGTAGCATCTTACATCATAACAATAGAAATACAACAAACATGGAATACAGTATACTTCAATGTAGCCCTAACACAAGCTCTCATGGATATACGCAGCTTCCAGGGACAGGAGCTGCCTCCAATTTAGTTCAATGTGGAACATACGGTAACCGTGTGATTCGATCTTGTGAAGAAATCTCGTTAGACGATCAGCATTTGATCGGTCTAAATCATGAATCTCAATCAGCAGCTGGAGAACAAATAAGGAAAAAACAAAAAAAGGGAGAGAGAGAGGGGGGGGGTGGGGGGGTGAGCTTGTCAGTTCAGAGGAAGCACATAACATATGGGGGAAAGGAAAGAAGCTTGGAGGGTTAAGAAGAGGGTAGTGGAGGGGCTGTGGGTGGTGGCAGGCAATAACCCGAAATTGAATAGCTGAAATTCCGGCCTGGTTCAACTGAGATGTACGAGACGCAGGAGGTACGTGGATGCGTGTGTGTATGTGTTCTCGCGCGTGCGCACGTGCTCTTTACATGCGCGCGTGTGTTCGTGAATGACTGAGCGGGTGCGCGTGTGCACACACGCATGCCCATGAATGCCATTTTCCATTACTCTCTAAGCAGCAGTGCAGCACCTGTCCAAAGGGTGGCGTGGTGTAACCATCAAGGATGGACGGAATGACGTCGTATTCACAGCTCTCGCAATCCACCTTGAAAATGTCCACAAAGGAATGGCCTAGCATCGTTGTCAGATCCTGAAGACGCACAGGGGGGCACAGGGAGGCAAAGTGAGGCAAACGGAGGCTGATTGTGAGGCGCGGCCTCAAAAGGATAGACGATGTGGAGTTGTATTTGCAGCACCCGCAGTCCGCCTTGAATATGTCCACAAAGGAATGACCTTGCATCGCTGTGAGAACCTGAAGAAGCACAGGGGGGCAAAGGGACGCGGCTGTTTCTGAAGCGCCGCCTCAAAGGGATCGACGGGATGATGCTGTATTCGCAGCTCTCGTAACAACGTGAATTGCAGGCAGAGAAGCAGAAGGGCCTTGTCTTATGGCACATGGCAGCAGCAAGGTTGAGAATAGGAAGTCACGGCGTGTGAAACAATGGAATGGTGAGTAAAGATAAGGCATGGTGAGTCAGAATCAGGCATAGTGAGTCAGAATCAGGCATAGTGAGTCAGAATCAGGCATTGTGACTCAGAATCGGGCATGCGACATGCTCCCTGCTAATGATCCTGAAGCAAGTCCCATTGTATGAAAACATCTTCCAGCAAATCACCTTATCACCAGTCCCATGCAACGAGTCACCTTGCAATGAGTCACCTTCCAACGAGTCATCTCGTAACGAGTCACCTTGCAATGAGTCACCTTGCAACGAGTCACCTTGTATTGAATCACCTTGCAACGAATCACCTCGTAACGACTCACCTTGTAACGAGTCACCTTGCAACGAGTCACACCTTGAAGCTGCTTAGAGAAGCAGACTCGTTGGACGAGACAGCGAGGCCGATGGGGTGGAACTTGTATGCCTTCTTGCGCTCCACCTTGGCCTGGCAGCATGGTGTGGGGCATGTGGGGGGGCGGGTAAGTGCCTTGTGAGGCACTTCAAAACCCGATGGGGTGGAACTTGTATGCCTTCTTGCGCTCCACCTTGGCCTGGCAGCATGGTGTGGGGCATGTGGGGGGGCGGGTAAGTGCCTTGTGAGGCACTTCAAAACCCGATGGGGTGGAACTTGTATGCCTTCTTGCGCTCCACCTTGGCCTGGCAGCATGGTGTGGGGCATGTGGGGGGGCGGGTAATTGCCTTGTGAGGCACTTCAAAACCCGATGGGGTGGAACTTGTATGCCTTCTTGCGCTCCACCTTGGCCTGGCAGCATGGTGTGGGGCATGTGGGGGGGCGGGTAAGTGCCTTGTGAGGCACTTCAAAACCCGATGGGGTGGAACTTGTATGCCTTCTTGCGCTCCACCTTGGCCTGGCAGCATGGTGTGGGGCATGTGGGGGGGCGGGTAAGTGCCTTGTGAGGCACTTCAAAACCCGATGGGGTGGAACTTGTATGCCTTCTTGCGCTCCACCTTGGCCTAGCGGTGTGGGGCATGTGGGGGGCATGTGGGGGGGCGTGTAAGTGACACGTGGGGGGCCGTGTAAGTGACATGTGGGGGGGCGTGCAAGTGACTTGTGAGGCGCCGCAAGGGCCGATGGGGTGGAACTTGTATGCCTTCTTGTGCTCCACCTTGGCCTGGCAGCATGGTATGGGGCATGTGGGGGGAACGTGTAAGGCGATTGTTTAAGGCGACCAAAGTTGTATGCCATTTTACGCTCCACCTTAACCTGGCAATACAGGGTGTGTGAGCCTGTGAGTGTGAGTGTGCATGTATGCACGTGGGCGTGTGGGCGTGTGAGCGTGTGAGTGTGCATGTATGCATGTGGGCGTGTGGGCGTGTGAGTGTGCATGTATGCATGTGGGCGTGTGGGCGTGTGAGTGTGCATGTATGCATGTGGGCGTGTGGGCGTGTGAGTGTGCATGTATGCATGTGGGCGTGGAAGTGTGAGCGTGCGAAAGCACATGTCGGTGCGCGTGTAGGCATGCACACGTGTGTGAGGGCATGAGTGTGTGTGGAGGGGCAGGTGTGTGCATGTACATGCATGGAAATGTGCATGAGTGTGTGGACGGGCAAGTGTGTGTGGTCAGAGAGGAGAGGCACAACAAGGACAAAAGAAGGGAGGGAAAAGGCAACAACTGATAGGAAGAAACAAGGTCAGGTCAGGAGGCATGAAAAGAGTACGGGCGCAAACGGGGCAAGGGGGAAAGAATACAGCGGAAGTGCGAGTAGGAGGTCAGAGGTAGGGGTGGGAGGTGGGAGGTGGGAGGTGGGAGGTAAGGGTTCAGGGCAGTTCAAGCAAGGCTGAAGCCACGGAGTGGTGTAGGGAGGTAACTGAAGGCCCCTTCGTGTGTGGTGGGAGGGAGTGGTCAAACACATGCATGCGTGACTTGAAGCGGACAGGGGGAGGGGGGTGAAAGGAGCGGTCAGGCCGAATCAGGATGGTTCAGGGCGGTTCAGGGCAGTTCAGGGCGGTTCAGGGCGGTTCAGGGCGGTTCAGGGGGGAAGGTGAGTGAAAGTACGGCACCTTCTTGCGCGGTGTGAGCGTGTGGTCAAAGACATGGATTCGTGACTTGAAGCGGCTGAAAATCTCCTCCTCGAATGAGTCCTTGCCGTCTGACCCTATGCTGTTGTGGGGGGGAGACGTGATGATGGTGGGGGAAGGGGGAGGAGAGGGGACAGGCACAAAAGAGAAGGAGGGGGTGAGGGAGGGAGAGACGTTTGAGACTTTCCGAAAGCGTCTGAAACTCTTGAAGCGGCTGAAACTCTTCCCCTCGAATGAGTTCTTGCCGTCTGTCTGACCCTATGCTGCCATGGGGAGACGTAATGATGGTGGGGGGAGGAGAGGAGAGGGGACAGGCACGAAAGAGCGCGAGACAGAGACTTCTGAGGCGCGTCAAAAGTGTGTGAGAATGAGCCAGAGCCTTGAAGCGGCTGAGAATTTCCTCCTTGAATGAGAGGGGAGAGGGGAGAGGGGAGAGGGGAGAGGGGAGAGGAGAGAGGGGAGAGGGGAGAGGGAGAAGGAAAGGAAGTTAACGCCTTTGAAAGAAATGCCCAAACACCCTCCACATGGAAAGAGAAAGGTTACCAGAACGCAACAAACAAACCAGAAGGGTTCACAGAGAAGTCGATTTTCACAAATTCATACAGGTACCAAGCACAAGTCATTTATAAACACACAACTGGTAAGTCTAAATAAATAAAGAGTCTCTGTTTCAAAAAAAAAAAAAAAAAAACCCGAATCTCTCGAGGAATCCCCAGCACGCGCATAACAGTCACCTGTAGACGACCGAGGAGGCGTTGAGGAGAGAAGGGCGGCACACCCACTTGCCTCCATCCAGCCACGTGCCAAGGCGCTCCTCCATCAGACAGGGGTATGCTGGGGCGAACACCTGTTGGTGGGGTGGGGGTGTGGGGAGGGGGTGCGGCGTGGGAAGGGGAAGAAGGGAGTGATTCTCGAGTTGAAAAGGAAGCCACGTGCCAAGGCGCTCCTCCATGAGACAGGGGTACGCCGGGGCGAACACCTGCTTGGTGGGGGTGCGGTGTGGGTGGGGAGGGGGCGTGGGAAAGGGTTGGGGTGTGGGAAGGGGGTGCGGCGTGGGAAGGGGGTGCGGCGTGGGAAGGGGGTGCGGTGTGGGAAGGGGTTGGGGTCGGGTAGGGAGTCATAGAAATTGGCCGCGTAAGAGCAAACAAGGACTGCACCTGGTGCAGGGATAGGCAAAAACGTCGACTAGAGAAAGAGGTCAATAAAGGGACTAACGCGCAGTAGGCTTGGCAACACATGAAGTACATACCGAGCTAAGATCTGGCTCGCAGGTACAGAAAGAGGTGACACGCGTGAAGAGATACGGCAAGCAAGGCAGAGCAGAGCACCTGAGAGGCAGTCTCAGGTACAGGTTACGAGTCACGGTCAGTTCAAGAGATCCGATGCAGAGCACCTGCACATAACCTGGATGAAGAAAGCATCCGATGACTTTTGAGTCGACTCAAAAGACTTTTGAGTCGACTAAAAAACGAGGTGACCTTTGAGTCGACTCAAAAGAGATCTGATGCAGACCACCTGCACCTGCACCTGCACCTGCACCTGCACCTGCACCTGCACCTGCACCTGCACAGAACCTGGACAAAGAAAGCATCGGATCCTTTGAAACTGCTTTCTGTAATAACACGCTGCTGTATCTTGAATCAGTTTTTGAGGTTTTTTTGAAGTCACTGCTGCACCCACTGCACTGAATCGCACCACACTGCACCGCACTGCACTGCCCCGCACCGCACTGCACCGCACCTCGAACATGAATGCGGCTCGGGCTTTGTAGGGCCGTCCCTCAGTCATCTTGAACCAATCCATAACGAACTTAACCGGATCCTGCCGTGGGGGCAATAGTGGGAAGGACGGGGTGATCGAGGATTAGCCAATGCTATACAGGTTCCACTGCATTGCACTGCACCGCACCGCACCGCACCACACCTCGAACTGGAATGCGGCTCGTAGGGACGAGGCGACCTTCAGTCATCTTGAACCACTCCATAACGAACTTAACCGGATCCTGCCATGGGGGCTACGACGAGAAGGATGAGGTAGCTCAAGGATTGGAATGATGCATGTAAAGGATGGGGTTGAATGTGAAGGATCATGTTGAGTGTAATGGATAAGGTTGGGTGTAAAGGATAAGGTTGAGTGTAACGGATAAGGTTGAGTGTACAGGATAAGGTTGAGTGTAATAGATAAGGTTGAGTGTAATGGATAAGGCTGAGTAAGGTTGATGCGTGTCAAGGATAAGGCTCGACGGAAAAAGCACTGAACTCAAGCAAACACCCACCCATGCACTCACCCACACACCCGCTCGTGCACTCAAATCTCCTGCACACCCACCCGTGCACCCCTGCCCCACGCCCGCCCATAAACACTCAACCCCAACCCAACCTTACCCACCTCTCCCTCCCCAACCCCACGCATTTTCACTGCTACACCCACCAACAGAACTACATATGAGGTACAGTACCCACAGCCAGGTGACTTTTGAGTCGACTCAAAAGTCACCTCGTTACAATGGTACACGCATTCACTGCTACACCCACCAACAGAACCACATATGAGTGAGAGTCCCACAGCCAGTCACCCAGCCACCTGCGTACCTGCCGGAAACATATTCTACACATTCCTCTCTGCTTACCTGCTCGCCTGGTGAACCCCAGCCCGGCTTGTTTCCTCTGACCCGCTTACTCAGTGACCCATAGTCGTTGTTTGTGCCTCACCCACCCACCCACCCAATTGACTCTTGAGTCGACTCAAAGGTTTCCTCAGTGACCCATAGTAGTCGTTCACCCACCCACCCACCCACCCAAAGCCTCGGGTTTGTGCAGTACTGCTTTTCTCGTCATTTCTTGCCTATTACCTGATTAGCTGATTTCCAGGGCAACATATTCACTGCTTCCATAGCTATGTGAATATGTGGTTACTTGGTTACCTGATTCACTAGTTTACCTGCTCAACTGATAAAGTGGCTACCTGGTTTTCTTATCAACTGGTTTGCTGTTAACCAGAACTACCCTGGCAAATCCTCTGGCTCACTCATTCTGTGCCACGTGGACTCACCTTGCCAACTGCAGCGTTTCTTCGCCCAACGTTGATTCGGTACTGCTGCTCCGACCATTGCAGCAGCTGCCAGGAGGAGGAGGAGGGAGAGAAGAGGGAGGCAGGATGGGACGGTGGGAAAGGGAGACTTGCCAACCGCAGCGTTTCGACGGCCAACGTTGATTCGGTACGCTGCGGTTGCTCCTGGCAGCTGCTGCTCTGACCACTGCAGCAGCTGCCAGGAGGAGGGGAGGGGAGAGAGCGAGGGGGGGGGAGAAGAGGGAAGCAGGAAGGGACGGTGGGGGAAGGAAATTTGGCAAGTCCAGCGTTTCTGCAACCGACGTTGATACGAGGTGACTTTTGTTGAGTCGACTCAGAAATTCGGCAGCTACAGCGTTTCTGCACCCAACGTTGATACGGTACTGCTGCTCCGACCACTGGAGCAGCTGCCAAGAGGAGGAGGGGGAGAAAGAGAGGGGGGGGGAGAGAGGGAGAGAGGGGGAAAGGAGGGGAATTTGGGGGGTGGGTGCGGAAGGGGGGGACGGAGGGAAGGCGAGAGAGAGTGAGAGAATGAGGGAAAAGACAGAAGAGGAACATGGGAGACGCGTCGGACGGTTGCGTTGGGAGTGGTGCGGCTGGGAGTGGTGCGGCTGGGAGTGGTGCGGCTGGGAGTGGTGCGGCTGGGAGTGGTGCGGCTGGGATTGGTGCGGCTGGGAGTGGTGCGGCTGCACGCATGGTAGCTGGGACAGGAGCGAGGAGAGAGGATATGCGAGGAGAGAGGGGAGGATCGGAGGGAAGGTGAGAGGAGAGGATAGGAGAGGAAGGGAGAGGAGGGGAGGAGACGCCACGAGATGGTGAGTGCCGCCGAAAATTCGTCAATAACCATTAATTGGCATCAACGTTCGTGTTTCAAATACCTCTTTATTCCCCGCGTTAATCGGCTCCGACGTCGCGCAGGCTTGCCCCGCTCCTTCCGCTAATTCTGACAAAAGCTCTCGGTTCCCTTCCCCCGCCATCACTTGCGGAGCATCCAGCGCGCCGAGCGCCTGCTGCTGCTGACCGTTGGATGCGGCCGCGCGCTGATCTCCGCCGTCGGATCGCAGGTGGAGGAGGAGGAGCAGCGCGACGCCGCAAAGATTGGCTGTGAGAAGGACGGAGTGGAGAGAGGAGGTTGCGCGCGCCGCCGCCGACGCCGCCGCTACGGGGCGCATCGTAAACAAATGCTGCGGATATTACCGGTAGACGACTCCTTGTGCTAGTTCTTTATCCACGTGGGTTGATCTGTGTTGGTGGTGCTGTCCCCTTGTGACGGAGAGGGAGGGGGGGGGGGGGGGGGGGGGGGGGGGGGGGAGTGGGGAGGGGAGGTGCGGGGAGAGTGGGTGGGGGGAGGGGGGGAGGTGGTGGGGCCCGGTAGTGTTTGCTTATCTGCACTGGGGGGGAGGGGCTGCGGGGGGATGGGGGGGGGTGGGGGAAGATTCACTCTGGGAGTGCCGACCGTTACTGTACAGCCAATCGGGCAGGAGCAGCCTACTGTAACCACCAGCATCCGTTCCACGTGGGTGGGTGATAGGTGAGGAGTGTCAGTTGTGAAACGGAACGGAATCCCGAAGCCCCAAACCAGCAATGCAAGGCCACACAGCAGCACCCTCTCTCGGAGGGGGAAAGGTCAAGTTGTAACGCTCTTTACTAGCACGCACCCAATTGGATTTTTACAATGTACATCCACAGACATTATGGGAATGGGTTGCTGTACCAAGCCTCTTACATTTGAAACATCTTGAAGTTGCTCCACATTAATCTTGATTCAACTTTGGCATACCGTCCACTTTCGTGTTGCTTCGATCCTCTGACTCCCCAACATTATCCTGATGGAGGTGTCTCACTGTCTTGCCATGCGCACAACTGGGCAGTACGCGTGGATGATCTCTCGCTATTACACCATACATCCGATCAAAAGGGGCACTGCTGCCGATCAAATCGCCGAGATCGGTTGTCCGGAAAGGATTTTGAGCTGGAATTCCTTATATACTAGGTGTGCTAGAATGCCATCTATTGGTTCAAGGGCATTTGCGTTACATGAATATTCGCTACTACCGTATAGCTAGGTACTAGTAAAAGAATAAAATGTATATCACTAATGTTTCTCAATTGAAGAGATCAAAGATGCATATTACATGTATGGTACAATTTTGGAGTGATGAATAGGCAAGGGAACCACAAAAAATCCCTCTAGTGTATTTTGTAGCGCTTCATAGGTATGACAAGTTATAAGTGAATCTAGATCCCCCCAACAATCATGGGCCAGCTTCTCATTCATCATCAACTGACAGGTCGGTGCTGATGTTGGTCATGTCATTTGCTGCAGGGTCAGTTATGTCACCACAAACATTTTCATCTGCCTCCCTTGCAGCCTCTTGGTCCTGCAAACCAGTCGTGAAGAGGGAATTTACTCACCCCTCCACCTCCACCTGGCCCGCATCCCGCATGTGGGCCAGGACGAAGTGGTCCTCAGTCCCGTCTGTGGAGTTGCTAGTACCACAAGACAATAATATGCTCAGGCACACCCGCCCACGACTGGGCGACCCGCCTCAGGGTCATGTCCCCAAGTGGCTTCTTCAATTTCCCTAAGACGTTTTTTTGTTGCAAGGGGGAGAGTTTAGAAACCAGAATGGAGCAACACAAAGATACACCAAGGGCAGCGGGGTGTGTGGAACATGGGTTGCGCGTTTCATTCGTGGTTCAATAGCAACCGCGTCATTGTAGAACCGGTTCAATGGGCGGTTTATGCTCACATTTCGCGATTGCAGCAACGGCGTGCAACTGCCTGGAATGATCGCCGGTAAGACATTGTGCCAGCGAAGATTCCTGATAACACCCTCCATTATATGGCCGTGGTAGGAGTCCAAGATCAGTACGGTCTTGGACCTATTAATGACGGGCCGGGGCTTGAAGAAGGGGACAAGCACATGCTTCACCGGTCGCTCACAAGGTTAGCATCCATTTACTTGCGCTCCTAAGCGCGAGCAACGACACCTGCATGTGGGTGTACAAATTCGGGTTAAGGTTTGTAAAGGCAAACTCGCATGGCACTTGGAAACGATAAAGAGGCTTCTTAATGGGTGGGACGACAAATGTTGGGGATGGTTTTACGCTTGAAAACGACTATCGGCGTCAGCTTCTCTCCAGTCGCCGTCACTGCGAGTATGACAGTGATTCCTTATTTTTCATAACCCGCACTTTGGACGTGCACAATGCGTTCGTCACGGTGGTGCATGGCAAGGTCATTCACCATCTCCAAAAATGTGGGCATTTGGTCCGCGTTTATCATATTTCGCTGCCGGTCCCGTGCTTGATAATGTTCTTCCCAACGAACTTTCAGAAGCTCAGGCACTTCGGCTTGCACTCTACACATACAATAAAAGAGAGCTTTAGCTCATAGTACATTAGCGGGAATGTGCATAAGGAACAACGACTTGCTTACCTTTAGCCGTCGCCGACCTATCTTTGCCTTGACGAAGCTGGAGAGCCTACACCGTGCGCGGAACACGAAAGTCTAGCGGGAGAAGGCTTTCCATCCCACATCGAGAAAATTATTCGATATGTACGTCTTGTTCCACTACTGCAGAATTTTGACGGGCACGGCAAAACCTTGTGCACGAAAATCAAGGAATTTGCGGTACATAGCCTTCTCCATCTCGAACAATTTGGCATGGCGCCCTCGCCCACCGAGACTCCTCCTGCATCCAGTAGCCTTCTTTATCTAGTCCTCTACTTTCAGCCACCGCAGCACACTTACAGGCTGTACACCGAGCGAGTCGAGAGATGTGGCGGACTGAAACATTATTGTCTTTCATCCGCTGGAGCCAGCCCACCTTCTCGCTCATGGTACGCGCCACTCGACGGTGCTTCGCAGTTAGGTTGCGTGGACTGGAGGGGACGGAGTCACGTGATACCGAAGGCTCGGAATTGTCATAAATGAGCTCGTCAGTCAGGAGGGGAAAACCCTAGGTAGGATCGTAGCTGTCATCATGGATCTCATTATTAGCCGCCTCATTGTTAGGCAACGGACTCCTTGTCGTCAAGGGGCTAGAATGGTTCTTGGTGTTTGAGAAAGACAAGGGGAGCAGAGGGGGCCATGGGAGGAGCAGAGGGAGTTGGCGATGCAGGTGGAGCTGGTGAGGCAGGTGGAGCTGGTGATGCAGGGGGAGGCTGGCGATGTTATCGAGTCATTAGCGCCTAGCAACTGGAGAACGACTAAGGCTAGTACAATGTGAACGCTGTGAGCTCTCGAAGGCAGACTTCTGGTAGGTACATATGCCGCTGCATAATGAAATGAGCCATGGCGGACGAGGGTTTCTTCAACCCCTCACTTCTTCAACCCCTCATTTCAGATCTGAATGACTGAGTGAAAGAAATGGAGAAGGAACAGCAATGCTTGGCAGGGTGATGGACGTGAGATCCTAGGTGCCCCACGTCCCTTTCATTTCGTAGAGGTGCGACAAGGGGTCAGCAAGGGGGGGCGGGGGGGGGGGGGGGGGGGGGGGGGGGGGGGGGGGGGGGGGGGGGGGGGGGGGGTGGCTGTGATTGCAGTTAAGATGCTCTGCGACTCTTCAATGCTGCACGAACTCTCGTGAACATGCTATTGTGCAGTTGAAAAGTTCAATATCGTTTCGCAACACTGTTCAGTTATATATCCTACCACTATTCCTACTAGTCATCATCATCGCATAATCCACAGTTGCTGTTGCTGCTGCTACCATTCTACTTTGTGTCGTCCTCCTGTTCTACCACATTCTGTTTGATTTTGCTGCTCATACGCCTTCCATGCTCTTTCCGGGTGGGCCACCACTTCTCGCCTTTGCACCATATGTCAACGACTTTGTTCAAATCCATATCATACTCCAGCATGCTCTGGCTCGTGAGGTCTTCCAGCTTTGCATCGCATAGACTTGTCATCTGCAACGGCTTATTGATGTTATGTCGGCTGGATCCCCGCTCACATTCCATAGTGCTCAATTTGTGTTCAACATAGCAGCCAACCCCTCTTTCAACCCTCATTTGCCGAGTGGATTGCCTTGCAAGACAGGCATAAGCATTTTCATGCGTTTTTTCCCGACAGATTGTACAATCTTAAAGGGTTTGATAAACCCAACGCCTTTTCGCAAATCGAGAGCGCATGTGCCCAACAAGTATGTGTACATCTTGTCATAAACGGAAGGCTTCTTGATGGAGGGGATGGGGACTACCAAGCTATTTTCACAACCGGCTCAAACTACCGTGCTCCGGGCCTCGATCGATTTTAGTCGTCACTGACCGCCGACGCTCTTTGCATTGCACACCATCTTTTGCCATACCTTGTTTACCTATATAAGGCAGAGTCAACCTATGCATCGAAATCAGCATGGACCTCATTGTCAGCATTGCATAGCACAACTCGTGTTGTTGCGTATAAACGATTAATTTTGTAGCATTTTGTTTTTTTATCTATTGTCAGAAGACTTGCACTGTGAGATCCTCGATTGATCCTTGGGGGGCTACAGGCCTGTTAGCCCGGGGGGTTATGAGCGCATTGACCCGCTACTGAAACAAGCCCTTTTATCCCAATCGTCTAGTGGTTGGGATTCTGACATGGTATCAGAGCGGTCTCGGGTTCGAATCCCGGTGTATGCACATGCAGGCCGTTGCCGCTGTGCCGAGTCCTGGACCTCCAAGTGTGGGGGGGTGTCAGAAGACTTGCGCTGTGAGATCCCCGATTGATCCTTGGGGGGTTACAGCCTGTTAGCCTGGGGGTTATGAGCGCATTGACCCGCTACTGAAACAAGCCCTTTTATCCCAATGGTCTGGTGGTTGGGATTCTGACATTTATCACATTGTCTCTTTTCGACCCTATTGTGCCATCTTAGCTGATTTCATACTATTGCACTAACATGAAGTGAAATGTATTATAAATGCTCACTTATTTCTTTGCCTTGGTATAAATTGGCTCACTCATGGTAAGGATTTTTCCTAATTCCGAGTCTCACAGTACGCGTACAACTCCACCTTTCGGTAGTCCATGGCCTTGTTCTGTTGCCCATCAGATAATGCGCCGTGGACAGCACATCATAGTACAGCCGGTGCGGCGTGTTGCTTCCACGAATCGTCGAGCCCCCGGGATGGCGCGAAACATCTTCCTGCCATCCTTTGCGCAACTGCAAAGGCTTCTTGGACTTTTAAGGTACGTTGAACCTAAATATATCGATACATGGATGTTGGCAAACCTCTAACACCACCAAAGTTCCCCCTATGGTCAACCAGCGGCAAAAATGTAAACAATGATTTATCATTTTGGGCCAGTTGACATTGGGGCACTGCCCTCCACCTGCCATCGAAAGTCTATCCCTGCCCAGGACTATTTGTGCTATCCCTGGATCCCCTCTCCGAGCGGGGACAAGGATAGCACAAGACCTGCACCCAGTTTGTATGGGAATGGGGGATAGCACTGCATAACGGGTTCACCGTTCTTTTGCAATAAAACAGCTGCACAATACAGCACAACACTTGTTAGTTACTGGATGGAGTTCAGGGTCCCGAGTCTGTTTAAAGGAACGCGCCCTTGTAACAGAAGCTTCGAGGCCTACAATGGAAGCCTTTACAAAGCATCAACTGGTGCTGTGCGGAGGGGTCCGCACAAGTTGTGCGGCAACAGAACATGGCCCAGGCTAGGTATGACGATCCTAATACTGACCGTTAACCCTCGTCGCGTTCGGACTCGACAACCACGGGTCAATACTCAACCTCATCAGCCCGAGGTTCCCGCCTAGCTAGGCCATTCGCTATATCAATGCTAGGTTTCATCGATTGCTCAGTGATTGTAATCACTTTCTTTATTGACTTTCGCACACTCTATTCATTAACAACTAATCACACTCATTATCACACTAGAGAGTTGGTAAGGAGAAATGAACCCAAATGAACCCATTCACAACGTACTGCCACTGACAGAAGCCATCTGATCTTTTGTCTTCCCTGGCACAGCAAAATCCCGCCCAATGGTTCCGCCAGTCCGGCTGCATTGCGCCTCTATCACCTTCCTGCCTCCCGGCGGAAGCGGTTCGGGGAAGTCTCTCCGCGTTCTTCCGGAAACACCGAGGTTCAGCCTGGTACGAATCATGGTTTCAAACGGTTTTGCTGTATGTCGAAGCTGTTGTAAGGTATTGAGCTTTATCGAACCCATTCGCGGCAACGCACGGAGTCAAATACAACCATCTTCCCAGTGCCCAGCCAAGCTTGGACTTGGTTTGCTTGCGAGGCTTGCAGTGTCGCAGGCTGGCTTCCGTAGTGAAGGCGGAGCTTCTGCGCGCAAAATTCTGGGCGAGTTCCGCCGTGGTCAAATTCGCGAGGGCCTTGCTGAGCTGAGTACTTTTGCGACTGTTGGACACTCTTTGCGGTCTAATCCGTTTCTTCACGGTCCAAGACGGGGAAACTCAATAAACCGTGTTACACCGTATGGAACCACCATGTGCCACGAAGAATGATAGCAGGAATCCCCCTTGACAAATGCCTGTGCTGGGCGTGCGTGCCCTAGGGAACACATTTTGCTCTCAACTCAACTCGTGTTGCTGCTGCTCTGTTTGGTGGTGATGGTGGTGCTGCGGCTGCCTTCAAAAAGATCACACCCAGTTCAATTGTCGAGCGCCTTGGGATTGCTCTGTTTTGCTGCGTGCAAGCCCTGATGCAGCAGCAACCATGGCTGCGTTTTTCGGCTTTGTCAACAAATTCTCAGGCTACTGATTTAGTCTCCTTAAAAATTATTCCCGCTTAATATTCTGCATGTAGGCTTCCTTGTCGTATCCCTTAGGCATAAACGCGTCGCCAGCGTTAGATTTTCTGCATCATTTTTTTCCACATAGGTGTTGATTTTTTATCCCTTTCGCCATTTTCATAGTGTTAACCTCTTTTCTTCCATTAACACTTTCCGATCTCGTACCTCTGCTGCTCCTCGTTCATCGGTGACTCATTAGTTACGAGTTTTCCTCTATTGACCTTGCTCGATGCGTCGAAGGAGCTAGCTTCCTAGATTTTCCTAAACCTCTCATCCCCTTCGTACACTTACGTGCTGAGCGAGTAGGCACCTGTTTCCCCCGTAAATCTCCTTTTTGTCGCCGTAACCGTAACCCACGCCTTTCACGCTGCGCCACGGTTTACCCGGTGATTGCGGCGAAGATGGCTCGTAAGCCAGATCAAGTGGCCGTAATAAATGACATTACCAAAAAGTTGTCCGCGTCATCGGTGTCTAAAGACGTACTAATTAAGACCCTTAAGGTGAGATTTCCACTTCGCGTTATTCCACATTTTGCATTCGTTCGTGCATCGCTTCTTATGGGTCTCGGTTTCTCTTGTTTCGTACTATACGTCGTTCCCCCCCTCCACCTATTTTTTTAAAATCCCTGTTTCCCTTTTTGTTTGTTTGTTTTTTTTTTTTGTGGCGAGGAAAATTATTTTAAGCAAAATGTTTTGAGAATTGCTTATTATTTCTCATTTGTATGCGAGTGATTCGCTGGTCATGTGCATCACGTACCTGAGCCAGCAATCGCCGATTTATAATGAGAGTCGAGAGTCGATCTCACGTTTCTCCGGCATTTTTCCTCTGTTCATAGGATGCAGATTGCTTTTGAGTTCTTATTGGTTTCTGCTGGAAGCAAGCCCCTGTCGACAAGTCGCACTATTGTGAATCTAAAATGTCGTAGATTTTGTCCAATCATGCGGCCTTTTTGTCACCCTTTCTAATCCTTAAAGTATAGTGATCCTTAGTAATCCTTCTTGGCTCATCAAGAATGTCCTTACGGCTTCTTTCACGTGTTATTTGGAAACGCGAGGAGTCCTCAGAAGATTCATGCGCCACGCTTACGACAACCGCCAATGGTTTCGTTGGTTTCCCCGGTCGCCTCTCTTTCGCTCATCACCGTTCTTCTTAATGTATCGTTTTCCCCGTCCCCCTGCCCGCCTCTCCCCCGCTTTCCCCCTTCAGTCCGCGGCGAGCGTGCTGGAGGAGCTACAGCAGTCCGCGCCAGAGCCGACGATGTCGGCGTTGCGCCCGTTGGCGCAAGCGCTGGCGGCGCCCAACTTCATGCGCCACCGCGACCGCGACGTGCGCGTGCTCCTCGCGTTCTGCGTGAGCGAGGTGCTGCGCGTGTTCGCGCCCGACCCGCCATACGACGACGCGCCGCTTAAGGTAACTGCTGCACTTTGAGGCTTTATTTTTCTGTGTGGGCTATTTGAAAAAAAAGAAGGGGAAAAAAAAACATTGGGAAGCACCTATTTGTTTTTTCTAGGCGCCTCAAAAGGTGCTGTGCGTGTTCGCGCCCGAACCTTCCGATAAGCACGCCCCGCGGTTGGCGCTTGTGATTGACTGCTGCTGGATCGCTCAGTACTATGTCCGTATGTGACTGTGCGTGGGGTGGGTATGCGCGTGTGGGGTTCCGTTGGGTGTGTGATTTTGTGAGGGAAGGAAGGGGTAAGCGATGGAATAATCACCATGGCATGGCGACCAATTTTATGACCGCTCAGCGCGTCACCCGTTCTACCCTGAGCGTCCGTTCTTCTCCGTACAGTACCTGGATAATCGCTTTCCAGGTAATCGAAAGTATTTTGGATGTGCGACTAAAATTGTCGTCCTCATGGATCGCTGTGCACGTTGTAACATGCAACTCTTGTGTTGTATTGTGTGTATGACACACACTATGCGTTTGACTTCTATGCGGTGCTGGTATGCATATGCTTGCTTGCCCCCCGCTCGTTCACATCCCCTCTCTCATGCCCCCTCTTTCTGACCATCCGCCACTCGCCCATAAACCCCTCTATCCCCCGTCCCCCTACCGCTGATCCGTACACGCCTCTGCCTTGTGCTCCCTATGTCCTGTTGTTGTCAACTCCTTATCAAGTTGTCCTGGTTCCCTCGTCGCCCCCTTTCCCCTCCGTGCTCCTCCCTCGTTCCTCCCTCTCCTCTTTTCCTCAGAGCGTGTTTGGCTGCGGCTGGACTCTCACGAGGGTTCAGGGAACACGGACATTGCCTTTTCAGGCCTTTAAAATCCCCTCACTCTCCCAACCCTCGTTCCCCCCTTGCGTTTTGTCGTGGCAGAGCGTGTTTGAGCTGCTGGTGGGCACGTACGAGGGCCTAGAGGACACGGACAACGACTGCTGAGCTGATGTTTGTCTCTGTCTTGTTTGTTCCCACCACTTTCTCCCTCCGTGCGTCTTCTCCCGGCAGAGCGTGTTTGAGCTGCTGGTGGGCACGTACGAGGGCCTAGAGGACACGAACAACGACTGCTGAGCTGATGTTTGTCTCTGTCTTGTTTGTTCCCACCACTTTCTCCCTCCGTGCGTCTTCTCCCGGCAGAGCGTGTTTGAGCTGCTGGTGGGCACGTACGAGGGCCTAGAGGACACGAACAACGACTGCTGAGCTGATGTTTGTCTCTGTCTTGTTTGTTCCCACCACTTTCTCCCTCCGTGCGTCTTCTCCCGGCAGAGCGTGTTTGAGCTGCTGGTGGGCACGTACGAGGGCCTAGAGGACACAAACCACGCGCTGTACCCGCGGCGGGTGGCGATTCTGGAGTCGATGGCGCGGGTGAAGACGTGCATCATCATGCTGGACCTCGAGTGCACCGACCTCATCCTGCACATGTTCGAGACCTTCTTCCGCGTCGTGCGGTGCGTGTGGCTCTCTCTGTGTGCGCGCGTGTGTGCTTGTTTGTGTGCGTGTGCATGCGCGTGCAATTGAGTATGTGTGTGTGTGTGTGTGTGTGTGTGTGTGTGTGTGTGTGCGTGCATGTGTGCACGCCTGTGCGTCCATGCTTGTGCTTGTTTTGTGTGTGTACATGCGTGTTTGCCGTGTGGTGCGTGCGTGTGTGTGTGCATGCCTGTGTTGCCTGTGTGCGTTTGTACACCTACGCTTCTGGCCCATTGTGCTTGCGGTGCTGCATTGGCCAGCCCCTTGCGATTTCTTGCGTCCAGTCAGTGTCTTTTCCTTTCCTCTCTGCACGCCCATGTGCGCTCCCCCTTCCCCTCGCCCTCTCCTCCTCTGTATGTGTGTGTATGTGTGTGTATGTGTGTGTGTGTGTGTGTGTGTGTGTGTGTGTGTGTGTGTGCGTGCATGCATGCATGCATGCATGCAGCCCGGAGCATGCACTGCACGTGCAGATGGCAATGGTGGAGGTGATGGCGTCTGTGATTGACGAGAGTGAGGACGTCTCCCCACAGCTGCTAGACGCCATTATCTGCAACATGCTCTCTCCGGAAAAGGTACAACGATATAGTATTTTATAAGCACTAGCAGCACTAGATGCTATGGCTTTCCAGCAAAGTGCGAAACGCACAAAGGTTGTGTGTTCCCTTTGTCGCCACCCACCAGGAGGCGTCTCCATACTCGTACTAGCTGTCACTAGTGTTTAAAAAAAGAAACAACAAACGATGCGATGTCTTCCTAGCTAAGAATACGTCACTCACGTCACGAAGTCTGTTTTTTTCTGTGTCATTCCACCCACCAGGAGGCCTCTCCATACGCCTACCAGCTCGCAGCAGCAGTGGTGAAGCGATCAGCAGAGCGGCTGCAGCCAGTGTTCCAGAGGCACCTCGCCCCCGCAATCCGCACTGTGGCCGCTGCTGGAGGCAAGGACGGGGAGAGCAAGGGCAGCGGCGGCGGCGGCGGTGGCGGCGGTAGTCTGGCGTGCAAGCGGTATCACGATGTGATTCTGGAGGTGTTTCGAGTGGCGCCGAGTGCGCTGGAAATGGCGCTGCCTCAGATACACGAGGAGCTCGTGGTAAGGGGTGTGTTCTGTTTTTAGTTGACTCAAATGGTGTGTTCTGAGTTGGCTCAAAACATGCCTAGTGCGCTGGAGATGGCGCTGCCTCAGATACACGAGGAGCTCGTGGTAAGGGGCGGTGGATGTATGGCCTCTCTCGCACATACACTTGCGTGGCTTGGCATGGCATGGCATGGCATGGCGTGGCGTGGAATTGTACTGCATGGCCTTGCATTGCATGACATGGCATGGCATGGCATGGCATGAGCATGCGTTTGTACCCTCCCCTTTCCCCTCGTTCTGCGGTCTCACAGCATGAGGATCCCGAGGTGCGCCTGAGGGTGGTGTCCCTCGTGGGGAAGCTGCTGATGGTGGATGCGGCCACACACCCTCTCCCCTTGCCCCCCTTCCCCCCTCGTCCCGTGCCTGCCGGTGCCTCTCCCCGTCTCTGTGCCACAGCACGAGGATCCCGAGGTGCGGCTGAGGGCGGTGTCCCTCGTGGGGAAGTTGCTGATGGTGGACGCGGCCACGCTGCAGCACCACTACCGGCAGCTCTTTGCCGAGTTCCTGCGCCGCTCCAACGACAAGTCCGTCGACGTGCGCGTCAAGCTCGTCAACCTCCTCGAATCCTTCCTCCTCCCGGCTGCTGGTTCCACTTCCGGTGCTGCTGCTGCTGCTGGTTCTGCTGCTGGTGGTGGTGGGACAGCAGGGGCAGCGGCAGGGGCCGGGGGGAACGCGCTTGTGGCGTTGTATTTCAACAAGGCGCCTGGGGTGGCAGGGGCTGTGGCTGGTGCTGGTGGTGCTGGCGTTGTTGGTGCCGGGGCGGGAGCAGGTGTTGGCGTTGGCAGCAGGGCTGTGGATATGTCAGAAATAAGGAGTGAGTCATGGGAAGGAGAGGAGGGGGGGGGGGGGGGGGGTTGGGGGGGTAGGAAGGAGGTCAGGGTTGAAGGATGAACGGATTCGAAGGGGTTTAGGGAGTTTTAGGGTTAGGGCGGGAGGGTTCGGGCTTTATAAGCTGGAGTGGAGGGTGAACATGGAAGTTCACCGCTGACCTTCTTGTTTCTTCCTGTATGAACTCTCCCCGCATTCGCCTCCTCCTTTCGTGATCCCAGCTTTTCCTGGTGCATCCGCTTCTGCAATTTTTATCCCTGTTCTTCTCCCCTCCTTTCTCGCGTTTTTTGCTCCTCCCTCTTCCCAGCAGCCAATTACCTTCCGGCATCCCCATTCGCCTTGTGAACCCCAATCCCCCCCTCCCCTCTCCCCCCCCTCCTCCCCCCGCCTCCACCCCCACCCCTCCCCTGTCACCCCGTGCTCTGCAGACATGCTGCTGGAGCGGCTGCTAGATGTGGAGGAGCGGGTGAGGCAGGCGGCGGTGAAGGCCCTCTGCTCCGTGTTCGCCCGCAGCCCCAAGCTGCTGCCTGTAGCGGACCTGCGGGCAGTGGCGGACAGGCTGAGGGACAAGAAGGTTCCCGTGCGACGATCCACGTTGCCAGAGATTGCAAGGGTTTACAGGGAGCACTGCTTGCGGTGCGCGGTGCGGGATCGGGAGAGGGAGGAGGCTGAGGGAGGGAAGGTGGGGAAGGGAGAGGAGGCGGGAGCGGGAGGGGAAGGGGGAGGGGTGGGGAATGGTGTGGAGGGGGATAAGGAGGAGGAGGAGGAGGTGGAGAGGTTTGAGTGGCTGCCGAGTCGGATGATCAAGTGCTGCTATTTCAAGGACTGCAAGGACTTCAAGTGAGTGCTGCTGCCAAGTTATATTAGAGTCTTGCTTGTGCATTCTGTCCTGGTCGTTTTCTCCTCAAGGGTATGTGCAGAGGGGCCGAGTCGGATGATCAAGTGGTGCTATTTCAAGGACTGCAAGGACTTCAAGTGAGTGCTGCTGCTGGTGGCTGGCGAGATTGGTGCCTTGCTTGTGTAGTCTGGTCTGTTTCCCATCGTGGGCCTGTGCTGAGGCGTCTTTAGCTTCCCCCCTCCACCCCATCGTCCTTGTGCTCTTTTCTTGCCACCCCGCCTCACTCCACCCCCCACCACCCCACCCCACCCCACCCCACCCCACTCCACCCCTCTGTCTGCCTTCCTGTGTGCAGGCCTCAGACCATGGACGTGTTCTTTGACGAGGAGCTCTTTCTCAAGGTGCTGCCTCTGGAGCTTTCGGCACCTCAAGAATTCGTGGACTGTTCTCTTGCCATTCCACCTCACCCCATCCCACCCCACCGCACCCCATTCCACCCCACTCCACTCCTCTGTTTGCCATGCAGGCCTCAGACCATGGACGTGTTCTTTGACGAGGAGCTCTTCCCTAAAGCCCTTCCTGTGGAGCGGAGGGCGTTCCACTGGGTGTACCTCTTCCACTCCTTTGACGTCAACGACCTCAAGGCCTTCTCGCACATCCTGCAGAACAAGCAGATGTGAGTTCAACCTGCCTCGCCCCCTTCAACGGCCCCCCCTTGTACTCAGTTCCACCCTCCCCGCAATTGCCTGCCATCCCTCTCGTCCGCCCATTTGACGTCAACGACCTCAAGGCCTTCTCGCACATCCTGCAGAACAAGCAGATGTGACTCTGTCTCCCCTGGCCCCTTTTGTCTTCTCCCCCCCCCCCCTTCCAAACTTGCTCACACCTCCCCCCTTGCACTCCGCTCCCTCCCCTTCGTTCTCACCTCCCCGCCCTTGCACTCACTCCCCCCTCTCTTCTCCTCCTTTGACATTAACGACCTCAAGGCCTTCTCGCACAGCTGACATCCCTTGTTAAGTGCTGCCCCTGCACTCCTCCCTCCTCTGTCGTTCACCACCACCCCCCCTGTCCATTCTCCTCCAAACCTTAAACCCAGAACCCTGCGTTTTCCTCTTTCCGTTCCTCTCCCTGGCCAGCCCTCAATCCATCATGGCCACGTTTCTGCGACTACGCCATGAGCTCAAGGACCTGGGCGCTTGTTCAGGCGGCTAAAACCCAACCACAAACCCTGTGTTTTCCTCTTTCCCTTACTTTCCGCGACCAGCCTTCAATCCAGCATGGCAACGTTTCTGCGAACATGCCAAAGAGCTCAAGGACCTGGACGCTCTTTCAGGTGCTTAAAAAACCCCGAACTCCGAGCCCTTTTTCTCTTTCCCTTCCTCTCTTTGACCAGCCTCCAATCCAGCATGGCCACGTTCTTGCGAACACGGCAAGAGCTCAAGGACCTGGAGGCTCGCGAGCGGAAAAAAGCTGGAGAGGAGGCAGAGAAGAGCAAGGGGAAGGGCAAGGAGAAAGCAGAACCAGGGACTGATGGGGAAGGCGGGGAAGACGCAGGGAAAGCGGGAGGAGGAGGAGGAGGAGGGGATGGGGGTCTGGTGGCGATTGAAGCTGAGAGGAGGGTGCTGCAAGAGAGGATGGTGGCGACAGGGAGGCGCATGGCACAGGCAGCGTTTCTGGATGTGGGGAAGGCAGAGGAGCATTTTGCAAAGCTGGCTGTGCTGAAGGATAATAATGTGTTTCGGCTGCTCTCGTCCCTCATGTCCCCTGCTGAAACGCTCACATCCATACAGGCTATGCGGGTAAGTGAGCGCTGTCTTTTGAATCGACTGAAGGATAATAATGTGTTTCGGCTGCTCTCGTCCCTCATGTCCCCTGCTGAAACGCTCACGTCGATCCAGGCCATGCGGGTAAGTTCTGAGTCGACTCAAAAGCCGCCTCATTTTGAGTCGACTCAAAAGTCGCTGCGCTGAAGGATAAGCATATGTTCTGGCCTGGCTGCTCTGGTCCCTCATGTCCCCTGTTGAAACCCTCACGTCCCCTGCTGAAACCCTCACGTCGATACAGGTCATGCGGGTAAGTAAGCGCTGTGTCAGTCAGTGCCATGTTGCATGTTAGAACTAGGTTATAGTGTGGCCGACACGCAACTTTCACCCGTTCCCCGCTCCCTCTCTCCCCATCACCCCACTCTGCTCTGCTCTCTCCCACCACTCGCCACATGGTCTCACCTCACCCCCACTCCACCCCCCTTCCCACTTTCCCCCTTCCCCCAATGTTCAGGAGGAACTTTTGAAGTGCATAGGCGAGCGGTCACACCTGTACGACCTGGTGAAGGACCTCTCCTTCAAGCTCTCCTTTCACCTCTTTCCCCTCCACCACCTTCCTCCCACCCGTCCTCCCGTCCTTCCTGCCCGCCCCCTCTTCCCCCTGATCCGCGCCATACAGGAGGAGCTGCTGAAGCGCATAGGCGAGCGGTCACACCTGTACGACCTGGTCAAGGACCTCTCCTTCAAGCTCTCCTTTCACCTCTTTGGTCGGCAACACACCGAACACGTCTTGGCTATCCTTGGTGCCATCGCAGCCAAAGGGGAGGAAGCAGCAGCTAAGGTTAATCCTGAGAGCGCGGAGGAGGAGGAGAAGGAGGGAGGGGAGAAGGGGAAGAGGCGGGACGGGAAGGGGAAGGAGGAGGAGGGGGAGGGGGGGGGCGGGGGTGGTGGGGAGGGGGAGAAGGGAGGGGGTGTGGTGGGGGGGAAGAGGTCGGGTGCGGCAGGGCTGACTGTGAGGCAGCAGCAGGTGCTTGCAAGGCGGTTCCGGTTGTTTGTGACTGCTGCCATTCGGCTGCTCGTGGTGCGTGCTGCTGCTGCTGCTGCCCAGTGTTTGCGTGGCGTTTACCTGGTGGTGCCTTGTGTTGGCTGATGATGATGCCTAGTGATGCATGTGCTGCTTGTCCGGCGTTTGTGTTGTGTGCGTGGAGTTGGTTGGGTATCGCACCCCCCTCCCTCACTTTATCCACCCGAACCCGCCCCCACCCCATTCCCACCCCCCCGCTTCTCCTGTTCCTTTCTCTTCCGCGCTTCCCTCAATGTCGTGCGTCGCATCACATTGCCTCGAATCGCGTCGCTTCACACCACATCACACCGCATTGCACCACATTTCAGGAAGTGGCAGCGCACTTCCCAGCACTCTTCGAAGGGTGCTTGCTTCTCCAGTCTGCTGCCGCTGCTGAAGGCGCACCACCCCGAGCTAAAGGAGGGAGAGGGCTGCAAAGCTGCTCTCCCCCTGGCGTTGTTTGCGCACGGTGTATCGTTCCCCCGCACTCCATTTCCCCCCCCCCAACCCCCCCCCCCTCCCCCCACGTCTCTCCGTCCCTTTCTTCCCTGCTTTTCCTAATGTGATGCATCACATCACACCGCATCCCAGGAGGTGGCAGCACACTTCCCTGCGCTCTTCGAGGGGTGCTTCTCCAGCCTGCTTCCACTGCTGAGGGCGCACCACCCCAAGCTTAAGGAGGGCACTGCAACGCTGCTGTCAACCCGGCGCTGTTCGAGCAGTGCATCTCCCTCCCTCACTCCATTTCCCCACCCCAACCCCCTCTTCACCCCCCCTACCACCCCACCACATCTCTCTGTCCCTTTCTTCCCTGCTTCCTTCACTTTTTTATGCATCGCATCACACCTCATTGTGCTGCATCCCAGGAGGTGGCAGCACACTTCCCTGCGCTCTTCGAGGGGTTCTTCTCCAGCCTGCTTCCTCTCCTGAGGGCGCACCACCCCGAGCTCAAGGAGGGCGCGGCAAAGCTGCTCTCCCTCCGGCGCTGTTCGAGCGGTGCATCTCTCTCCTTCACTCCATTTCCCCACCCCAACCCCCTCTTCACCCCCCCTCCCACCCCGCCACATCTCTCTGTCCCTATCTTCCCTGCTTCCTTCACTGTGATGCATCTTTTCACACCGCATTGCACCGCATTTCAGGAGGTGGCAGCACACTTCCCTGCGCTCTTCGAGGGGTGCTTCTCCAGCCTGCTTCCTCTCCTGAGGGCGCACCACCCCGAGCTCAAGGAGGGCGCGGCAAAGCTGCTCTCCAAGCTCTCCTTCTCCCTGGACTCCGCCTCCCCCCACGCTGCTGCTCTCAGCAACCAGCCTCCGGATTCGCAGACCACCAAGTAAGATAGAGGGGCAGGAGGTAAGGGATGGCGAGGGGTGAGAAGCGAGGAGCAGGGGGGGTTTATGGGGGATGGAGGGAGGGATTTGGGGAAGAGAGGGGGCTTTTTAGATGGAAAATGTTTTGGGACGGCTTAATCAATTCCTGTTCCCACTTTTCCATCTCTTTGTCACCCCTCCCACCACTCCCGTCGACCAACCCCCCTCCATCCTCCCACTTCCTAGCGACACCATGGAGTGTTTGAAGCAGCTGGTATCGACGGTACGAGGCACCAGATCAATTCTTTTGCACCTTGACTTTGACCAATTTCTGATTTCTCTCTCCCGTTTTCGTCCCTCCTTCCTCCCAGCGACACCATGGAGTGTCTGAAGCAGCTGGCTATGGACGGCACGAGGCACCAGATCAAGGCAGCAGTGGCTGCACTCTCTGCCTCCATCTATGGCGCTAGAGGCCGCTCCACACTCTCATTCATCTACGAGGTACGAAGGTTTTTTTAGTACACGCGGGAGGAAGGGGGGGTGAGGGGTAGATGGAGCTTTCAGGTCGCACTCTCTGCCTCCATTTGTGGTGCTAGAGGCCGCTCCACACTCTTGTTCATCTATGAGGTACGAAGAATTTTGTGATGCACACGAAGCAGGGGAGGGGGGGGGGGAGGGGGAGGGGGAGGTGGGGATCGACATAGCTTGTGAGTCGACTTGGGACGTTTCTCCACATTCTCATTTATTTACGAGGTGCGAGGGTTTTTTTGTGATACATAAAATGCACCACTCGCTCATTCCTCCTCTCCCAACAACAAACCCTCCTTCCTGCCACACGATCACCATCACCATCACCATCACCACCACTATCATTGCCGGCTACCAGAGGGCGTTCAAGCCGCCGGAGAGTGCAGGCGAGCAGAAGCTGCAGAGAAGCCTGGATGCATCCCTCCCACCTTGCATCCCATCTCAGCTCCTTCTATGCCATCTCTGTCCCCACTTCCCATCTCTGCCATTACCCCCACCGTTGCCTACTCAGAGGGCGTTCAAGTCGCTGGAGAGTGCGGGCGAGCAGAAGCTTCAGAGGAGCCTGGACGCGTTGGGGGAGATTGCGCGCTTCGCCCCGGACGTGTGGCAGCCGCATGAGGACGAAATCATCAAGTTTGTCGTGCGCAAGCTGCTGCGGTACTCCGTGAGTGGCGTGGGTTGGGTGCGGTGCAGTGCAGTGCAGTGCGGTGTGGTGTGGTGTGGGTGTGTGGCAAGTAAAGGAGGGACCAGCAAGTGCAGAGGAGTCAGGACGTATGGCAGCCGCATGAGGACGAAAAAATCAAGTTTGCCGTTCGCAAGCTGCTGCGGTACTCCGTGAGTGGCGTGGGTCGAGTGCGGTGCAGTGCGGTGTGGTGTGGTGTGGTGTGGTGTGGGTGTGTGGCAAGTAAAGGAGGGAGCAGCAGGTGCAGAGGAGTCAGGACGTGTGGCAGCCGCATGAGGACGAAATCATCAAGTTTGCCGTTCGCAAGCTGCTGCGGCGCTCCGTGAGTGTTGGGGGTTGGGTTGGGTGGGGTTGGGTGCAATGTGGTGCGGTGCGTGTGTGGGCGTGTGCTAAATTCTAGGACACGCACAGGTAGAAGGAGAGAGCGTGGGTGGATGTATCGCAGCCGCATGAGGACACCCTAATCAAGTTTGTCGTGCGCAAGCTGCTCCGCCCAGCCTGGGTGTTGGGGGTGGGTTGGTAGTGGTGTGGTGTGGCTGTGGTATGGGTGTGCTGGTTGTGCGGTGTTTGTTTGGTTTGTTGCGTGCTGTGCTCCTGGTGCTGTTCGTACACCCTGGGCTGTGCTTTTTTCCGTACAAGTCAGTTTTTGATCCTTACTGCTCTTTCCTTCCGTCTTTCTGCCCTGTTCCTATGCTGTGCCTTGTGTTGGTTCTCCATCACACCCCATTTCTTTCCTTCACGGTTTCAGAGTTTTTTAGCCCAGGCGAGTGCAGCAGCAGCGCTCGACACGCCTTCGACTATGGCAACACTCAAGGTGAGAGCGCAGGGTTGCATTGCATTGCATTGCATTGCATTGCATTGCATTGCATTGCATTGCATGCACTGTGTCCAATGTCCCCATGCGTGTGAGGTTTTTTGAGGCGCCTCAAAAGAACACTCAAGGTGAGAGCGCAGGGTTGCATTGCATTGCATGCACTGTGTCCCATGCAATGTCTTCATGCGTGTGTGTGTGTGTGTGTTCGTGTGGGTATCTGTTTGTGTCATGCGAATGCTGTGTGTTCCAGTGTGTGTAATTGTGCAACTGCCCGCATAGGCAGGCGCACATGCCTTTCCTCCCTCTTCTTGTCCCACCATGCAGGAAAACCCATTGCACCCCCTCTTCTCACCCCACTTTACCCCCCCTCCCTTCCCCTCTCCCTTGCCCGGCTCTCCTCCTTTTTCTCCCCCCTGTGTGTCTCTCCTCCACCAGTCGCGCGGCATCAGGATGCTGGTGAAGACGTTTCTGCCGCGGCAGGCGACACCGGGGAGCAGCAAGAAGCAGTCGACGGGACTGCAGGCCGTGCTGGGGAAGCTGCTGCCTCGGGGCGAGGTGTACGAAGACGTGCAGTCCTCGTGAGTGCTCTGCTCTGCTCTGCTCTGCGCTTTAGATGCATGCACCCGTTCACCCATCCACACATGCCGCACGCATGCACCCAATTCAACCAAGGTGTCCTCTGCTGGCTGGGGAAGCTGCTGCCTCGGGGCAAGGTGTACGAAGACGTGCAGTCCTCGTGAGTGCTCTGCTCTGCGCTGTGCTTCTCTCTAGGTTCAGGCATACGCGCACCAATCCACGCATGCTGCAGGCCGTGCTGGGCAAGCTGCTGCCTCGGGGCGAGGTGTGTGACGGCGTGCTGTCCTCGCGAGTGCTCTGCTCTGCTCTGCGCTGCTCTGCTCTGCGCTCTAGATGCATGCATGTACCGGTTCGCACACATGCCGCACGCACCCACCCAACCTGTGGCTAGGTGTCCTCTGCTGGGCAAGCGACAGCCGCGGGGCGAGGTATACGCATGCGCACACATGCGCGCACGCGCACATGCACCAGCACTCTTGGCTCGTGCAAACCCGCCGTTCCCTCTGTGATTTGAATGTACCAACTCACCCATCGTTTGTAAACCCGTCATTGTCATTGCAGGGACGCGGACAAAGCGCTGCTGCGGTTGACAGCAGCCAAGTCAGTGGTGAACCTCGCCACACAGCTCGACTCACAGATCACTCCCGATCTCTACCGCCTCGCTCTCTTCTCCTCGCTTGTAAGTCCCGGGGTGACCACTTGTTGAGTCAAGAAGGTGCGCTGCTGCGAGTGACAGCAGCCAAGGCACAAGTCAGTGGTGAACCTCGCTACACAGCTCGAGTCACAGATCACTCCAGACCTCTACCGCTTTGCTTTGCACTCTTCTCTTCGCTTGTAAGTCCCGGGGTGGGGTGGCTGTCGAGCCAAGGCAATTCAGAGTCTTTCCGCCTTCCGGCCTTTCGGCCTTTCCACACTACCTTATCTCCATTGTCCTCTCCTCTCCTCCCCTCCCCCCCCCCTCCCCGCCCCTCCCCGCCCCCTCCCCTCCCCCTCCCCTCCCCTCCCCTCACCTGCTGCTTGGTTGGATTTTTTTGTGCACACCTTGTCCCGTCCTCCCCTCCTCTCCTTCCCCCTTCCCCCTCCCCTCCTCTTCTCTCCTCACCCTCCCTCCCCCCACCATGTGCGTGTGCCTTCAGGATGCGGTGCCTCTGGTGAGGAGGGGCTTTGCGAGCAAGCTGATAGCGGGCCTCAAGGACCGCTCTGTGCCCATGCGCTATGCTGCTGCGCTGCCGCTGCTGGCGGCTGCAGAGGAGACAGACAGCGAGCAGCAGACGGAGGTGAGGAGGAAAAGGGGGGTAGAGGGTGAGGTAATGAGGGGGCCTGAATAAGGGGGGGAGATAAGGGGGGGACGAGAGGAGGAAAGGGGAGTCGGAGCAAGGGTGAAGGGGGGAACGCGAGGAAGAGAAGGGTGAAGGAGTGGCAGGTTTTTGCTTCCTCCTTTTGCTGGTTGCCTTTTCCAGAGATCTTTACTCCCTTTCCGGCTGTGTACCTTTTCTTCACTCTGTTCAGGTCCGTAGGTACCTAGCAGAATACGTGGACGTTACCAGGAGGGCGGCTGCTAGGAGATCCGTAGCAGGGTTGACTGGGGACGATGGGAAGGACAGGGAAGTGAAGCGGGAGGGGCAGGCGTGGGAGGTGAAGGGAGGGGGAGAGGAAGCTGGGTGCAAAGAGGCTGGTACGAGTGCGGCCGGTGCTGCTGCTGATTCTGCTGCTGCTGGTGCTGGGGGTGCCGGTGTTGCAGGGTTATCGACGATTATAGAGCACCCCGAGTATGTGCTGGTGTATCTGGCATATGTGCTGGCCCAGCACCCACAGTGGCCGAAGGTTGATGCTGGCAGCTCCAAGGCCGAGGACTATGAGCCGATTCAGCGGTACGGGAGAGAGGGAGGGAGGGAGGGCGGGAGAGAGGGAAGGAGGGAGAGAGGGAGAGGGCGGGGGTGGGAGGATGGGTGGGTGGGTGGGGGCACATGAGGGCAGAGTGGGGTGGGTTGTGGCTGGGGTTTCGTATGGTGGTTCTAGATGGTTAGTGAATTCGTTAATTGAACTTGCTTTCTTCGTCTCTTTCCTGCTCTCGTCTCTCTCCCACCCCCACTTTCACCCTCCCCGCCCCACCCAGCCCCCCTCTCCGTGTTCCGCTCTCCACCCGCCCTCAATTCTTGCCTCACCTCAACACTCTCCCTTCTCCTCTTCCCTTTGACACACACCCCCCTCCCTTCCACCTTCCCCCTGGCATCTCCCCTCTGACTCCCCCCCCTCCCCCCTCCCCCCCCACCCCGCTCCCCTTACACCCCCCCTTCCCCCAGTCCTCTGGAGTACCTGCTGAGGGCATTGCTGCAGGGGGGCGCGGAAAGGGGGAGGGGCGCGGAGGCAAGTGCAGGGGCATCGCGCAAGGACAGGGGCGCGGGGCAGGAGGAGGTGGATAACCTGGGAGCGGTGCTGGCAGTGCTGCGGACCATCAAGGCGGCCAGCCCTGTTGCCAACAGCGTTGCACAGGAGGTGAGTGAGTGGCATGTTTCTATTGTAACCACGACTGAAAGGACAGGTGGGGCTCGGGGGGTGGGGGGCGCTGGGAAGGAGGAGGTGGATAATCTGGGAGCGGTGCTGGCAGTGCTGCGGACCATCAAGGCGGCCAGCCCGGTTGCCAACAGTGTTGCACAGGAGGCGAGTGGGGGGTTGAGATGGCACAAACAAGCAGTACCCGGGAACCGTGCTGACATTTCTTTTCTCCTCCTGCCACCTTCCTTTCTCTCCCATTTTCTATTCATCTCTCCCTCACTCGCACTGTTTTGGATACATGACTCCCCTTGATATGAATTTCTGGTTCGGACCCTGAACCAATTTCTGTTCTTCTCTTCCCTCCCCATTTCCCTCCCCCTCGCACACTTCCCTCGATTTGCCCCCTTACCAGAAGCTAGCAGCAGTGTGCGACATTGGCATTGCGATAGCCAAGGCCATTGGCAGGACTCGTCCCTTCACGCTCACCTACTCGCAGCCAGTGCCTCTCCCCTCTGCACTCTTCAAAAGCCCTGATACCTCGCCGTCCCCTGCTGCTGCTGCTGCTGCTGCTTCTGCTGGAGCAATCACACCTGCAGCAGCAGGAGCAAAAGCAGGAGGGGGAGGAGAAGGGGGGGCAGCAGGGACAGAGAACGGGGCTGGGAAGACTGAAACTCCTGAACCTACGCCTTCTTCCGAGTTGCCACTCACTCCCCTGGTTAGTGCCTGTCTGCCCCCAGCTTCCCCTTTCCTTGCTCCCACCCCTCATTTCACTCACGTTCTCCCTTCATGTCTTACTCCCCTCACTCCCTTCCCTTCCCGCACTCCGCACTCCCAGCCTCACTCCTCAATCCCTCCCCTCAGTTTTCACTCCTCCCTCACTCGCCGCGCTCGCTCACCTCACTTCTCACTGCAGTCGCTCACTCCCTTCACACCCTCCTCTCGCCCCACTCTTGCTGCCGCATTCCTACTCCTCTCTCACAGCCGGACGGCAGCAATCTCCCGGCCTGCCTGTCTGACCTAGAGACCCCGTTCGTGGTGCAAGTGAATCCCCTTGCTTCTGAGGCGCCTAAGCCGTCTCTTGCTGCCCTTCCCATCCCTCTCTCTCCCACCCACAGCCGGACGGCAGCAATCTCCCGGCCTGCCTGTCTGATCTAGAGACCCAGTTCGTGGTGCAAGTGAAGCCCCTTGCGTCTCCTGCCGCCAAAGCACGGCACCATGTGAGTGTTCCAAGGGGGAAAGGAACTGGAGGAAGGAGGGGGGGGGGGGGGATGAGAGCGGGATGGTTGGGGGAGGGGGCGGCTGTAGTGCTCTGTGAACGTTCTGTGCTCCAGGGTTGTTGGGTCACACGTTGGGGCGTTGCAGGGTGATGTGCGGAGGGCTTGCTTGCTCAGCCGTTTTATATGCTCTGCCCGCTCGTTTACCTGGTACGTAGGCAGTAGCTTTCTACCTACCTTGTTGTTCACTCCTCATGCTGCAGCAGCCATGCTGCATGACTGAGTCCTGTGACACGTTGAAAGAGGTAGACACCTTATTCCAACCGCTTTTTGAGGCGCCTTCTTGGTGCCTATCTCTCCCTTCCCCCCCTCCCGTCCTTTCCCCTCTTCCTGTTTGTAACCGTTTTTTCTTTCTAGGCTGCCCGTGCCGGCGGAAAGGGTAAGAGGCCTTCAAGAAGTGCTACTAGGAGGAGGCTGGATGGGCGAGGAGAGGAGGAGGAGGGCGACGAGGAGGAGGATGAAGAGGCAGAGGAGGTGGGAGGGGACGAGGAGGGCGAGGAGGAGGAGGAGGAGGATGATGACGGGGTGAAGGTGTTATCTGAGGAAGGTGTTACTGTTGTGGGGGAGGCGAGGGGGCGGAAGGGGAGGAAGGAATCGGGTGCTGCGGAATCGGCGAGAAAGAAAGCGAAAGTGGCTGTAGAGGAGGTAACTCCTGGGAGGGGGAGAAGTGGGGATAGGCGGAAGGGGGGGAGGAAAGGAGGAGGACGGGAGGGAGCAGCAGAGGAAGAGGAGGAGGAGGAAGCAGAGGGCGGGGAGGAGGAGGAGGAGGAGGCAGGGGAGGGGGATGACGAGGAAGGGGGGGAAGAGGGAACACCAGTTGGGAAGGGAGGGAAGGGAGCAGGGACAGGGGGAGGGAGGAAAGTGGCCAAGGGTCCGGCTAGAGGGGCTGGTACTTCACCTGCTGCTGCTGCTGCTGCTGCTGCTGCAACGGCTACTCCTGTCGCTTCGAAGGGGGGCAAGCAGGGGCCGTCAGTTAGCCATAAGAAGGTACGGAATGAGTGCGTTTTTGAGTCGACTAAAAAGCATGCTGCTGCAATGGCTGCGCCTGTCGATTCGAAGGGGGGCGGGCAAGCAGGGGGCGTCAGTTAGCCATAAGAAGGTACGGATTGAGTGCTGTAGGTGCTTGTGAATGGTTTTCCTCTTTGAGTGTGAATGAATCTTGAAATTACCTCTAGAATGGCAAGAGTGGTGGTGCCATGGAAGCTGGAGTGTGCGTGCTGACAGCACTGGTGGTTCTCATTCTCACGTGCCTTGTTCCCTCCCTCCCTCCCTCCCTCCCTCCCTCCCTCCCTCCCCGCCCTCTCCCCCCCCCCCCCCCCCCCCCCCCCCCCTCTCCCTCCCTCCCTCCCTCCCTCCCTTGCCTCTCGCACGTGTTCTCATCTCATCAGAAAGTACCAGCAACGCCAGCAGCTGCGCCGGCAGGGGCGAGCGAGATTGCGCTGCGCAAGGCGTATGTGGGGCGGCGCATCAAAGTGTGGTGGCCGCTAGACAAAGCGTGAGTAGCAACACGAGATTGGGGCAAATATCGTGGTGGATTTTTGAACTCCGTTTCGATAGGTTGTGGATTTCAGTTAGGTATGGTATGCTGAGAACCACTTAACCAGACGTGCACTTGCTGCCTGTTGCTCTAATTGCACAAAACTAAAACCCTTCCTCCCTCCCTTCCCATCCTCCGTTCTCTCCTGCGCAGCTACTATAAGGGCGTAATCAAGTCATACCAAGTCAAGACCGAGAAGCACACGGTATGGATGCTAGGTGCCAATCCTGATCAAAGCCTGTGCAAACTCTACTTGCAAATCATCAATCCGGGCCGCTTAGAAATGCACGCACTTCTTGTGATGCAATAGTGAACGGACTGTTTGTGGGAGAACGCACTGTGAGACGCTTAGAAAGCCTAGCACATCATCCATTCATCCCTCCATCTCCCTATCTCCCCATCCCCTTTGTCGGTCCACGCCCACAGGTGCGGTACGACGATGGGGACAAGGAGGATCTGCTGCTGCACCGGGAGAAGTTTGAGTTCATTGACGGGCTGCCTCAAAGAGACAGTCTTTTACCGTGTCCTTGTGATTGCCTGCTCCAACTGTCCATCTCCCCATCCTTCCATCCCTCCATTTCTCCATCCCCTCTGTCCGCCCACGCCCACAGGTGCGGTACGACGATGGGGACAAGGAGGATCTGCTGCTGCACCGGGAGAAGTTTGAGTTCATTGACGGGCTGCCTCAAAGAGACGGTCTTTTACCGTGTCCTTTGTGATTGCCTGCTCCAACTGTCCATCTCCCCATCCTTCCATCCCTCCATTTCTCCATCCCCTCTGTCCGCCCACGCCCACCAGGTGCGGTACGACGATGGCGACAAGGAGGATCTGCTGCTGCACCGGGAGAAGTTTGAGTTCATTGACGGGCTGCCTCCCCCCACCGCCGCTTCCGCTGAGGTTCGTTCGTTGCAGTCCCATTCTCCTGTGACAGGGAGGGATTGTCGGACTGTCAGCTTGTCGATGTTCCTTTGTCTGGCGCCGCTGCTTTCATAATTGGTGAGACAAGCAATGCGGATCTTCCTTTGTGGCTATGACGTCTCTTGGTTTTGCTACCTCTGGTGGAGCAACCATTTCTGAATTCTTGACTGTATTTATTTTTCACGACTGTTATCTTTTTGTCTGTCTGACTTTCTGTCTGTTCATTCTACAGAAGCCGGCAACTTCTGCTCCTGAATCTGCCAGCAAAGGAAAGACTGCAGGGTCACACAGAAAGGGCGCGGAGGCAGCAGGTGCTGACGGAGCCACCAGCGTTAGCAAGTAAGAACATCCGTAACTCGTTAGGTTAATATCTTCCAGCATACGTGGGTGTGCAACGGTTGTTTCCCATCCCACTTCGCGTGATCTCTGTATGTGTTAATCACTTTGACCTTGGCCTTTTTTCGTTCTTTTCAGTTTTGTAGCTATTCTGTATTGCACTAGCATTGGGCAGCGGCATTGGACTTGATGTTGAGTGGCTGAATTGCATTTTGACCCTTTCAGGCATCAAATTGCCTCCGCTTTTCCTCGTCTTTGCTCGGCCCCTTTTCTGCAGATCTCACAAGAAAAAGGTTCCTCCTCCTGCTCCTGCTGCTGACCCTCCTGCTCCCGCTCCCTCTGCTGCTGCGACTGGCGCTGCTGCTAAGGCAGATGGGGGGAAGGCCAAGGGTGCAAGCACACCTGCAGCGGATAGGGGGGCTGGCAAAGGGAAAGGGACTTCTGCTGCTGCCACTGCTGGTGGTGGGAGAGTAGGTGGATCAGCTGAGAAGGGAGGGAGAGGGAAGAGAAAGGCAGACAAGGTTGTGGGCGATGAGGAGAGAGAGGGAGGGGAGAGGGAGGGGGAGGGAGAGGGGGATGAGACGGGGAGAGAAGGGAAGGAGGAGGGAGGGAAGAGAGGGAAGGGGGCGAAGAGAGGGAAGGGAGCTGGGGGGAAGGACGATGAGGGAGGGGAGAGCAGTGAGCAGGGGGATGTGGAAATGGTTGATGCTGATGAGGTCGATGGGGGGGAAGAGAAGGGCAAGATGGGAGAGAAGGAAGGGAAGGGTGAGAAGAGTGGGAAGGCGGAGAAAGGGGAGGAGGAGAAAAAGGAGGAGGATGCAGAGAAAAAGGGGGAGACTGAGAAGAAGGGTGGGGAGAGTGAGAAGGGGGCTGAGGAGGTGAGTGAAAAGAAGCAGGAGAAGGAGGAGGAGAAGAAAAGCGGTGAGGAGGGGGAGAAGGGGGAGGGAAAGGCTGGGGCGAAAAAAGCAGTGAAGGCAAGTGTAGGCATTGCTGCTAGTGTTCCTGTAGCTGCGAATGCGGCTGATGCCAAGGCTACTGCCAAGACTGCTGATGCTAAGAGTGCAGAGGCCGAGAACAAAGGGACTGAGGCCGAAAAAACGGAGAAGACCGATGTGGGGAAGAAGGGCGGGGAGAAGAGGGGGAAGGCTGATGGGGAGGAGGAAGGGGAGGAGCGCAATGGGGCTAATAAGAAGCAGAAAGCGTCAGGGGATGGTGAGGGAGAGGGCGAGGGGGCAGCAAAGGGAGAGAAGGATGAGGGTAGGGCGGAAGAGAGTGCTAGAGGGAAGGCTGAGAAGGACGGGGAGAAGGCAGGGGCAAAGGCAGGGGATAAGGAAGGAGGTAAGGCCAAGGAGAGTACTGCTGTAAATGGGAACTCGGCTGGTGAGGAGGATGAGAAGGAGAGGAAGGAGGAGGAGGAGGCAGAGAAGGGGAAGGAGAAGGAGCAGGAGGCAGGTGAAGGGGGAGATGGGAAGGCAGGAGCAGCAGCGCAGGGGGGTCGAGCGAGGAAGGTGTCTATTGGCATTGCAGTGGGTGCGCAGGAAGAGAAGAAAGCAGGGGGAACAGCAGGAGAAGGGGAGGAGAAGAAAGCAGCAAAGGAAGCAGAGGGGGAGGCTGCTGGGGCTGGAGGGTCTGGAGGCGAGTCAGACGGGAAGGACAAGGTGTGCAAGCTCAGATTTTCTATACTTACCCCTGCAAATCACTTCAATTTTTGTTTTTGTTCCCCTCCTTCCCAGCCCTCTCCCCCCCCTACACCTCTCAGGAACTTCCATTTCTGCACCTGTCCTCTCTATTTGTTTGTTTTATTTTCTTCTGCTGTTTATTTTCTTTTATGTTCTTCACCCCCTTGTTCCGTCTGCTGCTGCAGAGGCAGCTGAGGGAGCGTCGGACTCGCGGCAAGTCATAGAAGCAAAGGTTGAAACGGTGGTGTGTTGTGAGTCATGACTTCTGACTTGCTAGCTCGTACTCCTGTTGTTGCAGCTCCCGCCACCACTCCTCCTGCTGTTGGTTTGGTCTTGGGATTGTGGCAGTAGTTACTGGTTACTGACAATCCAACAACACTGCTTCTGTGGCGTTAGAGCTAGAAACAACACTAAATAGGCCACAAAGGACAACAGCATGACTACAGTCTAGGATAAGTGATTCGCTCAAGATTGGAATCAAGGTAGGAGTTTAACTGTTTTAACTAGGTACTTGCAATATTTGACTTGTTGATTGCCTTGGAGCGATAAGCCGTATATTGATAGAGCATAAAAGTTCCATAAAGGCGGTTAGGCAAAGTGGAAATCTATTTTGACGGGGATGTTTTTCTTTTTAACTTTTCTGACAAAGCCTGCAAACCTGCAGTTTACACCCTCTGACTTCGTCAGTGCCTGTGACAGCTGCGCTCCGCGCTGGATTTTCCTTCGGATTCGCGAAAACAAAGTTTTCCCCTAATGGGTAGAACTGCCACCAATTCTTTTGACTTCATGATTCCTCACAACCATTTTATTTCGGTTATGTACAGAACGTGCCCCAAAAATAGTTTGGGGTATAGATAAGAACTACCCCAAACAGCACAAATTGACGAATGGTACTCGACATCGACCCAACCCAAGCCCCTGTTACCTTCTCTTTTTCCCAAGTCCTAGGCGTGATGGTGGGACGCGGGACATGGTTTTTCTTGGGTTTAGCATTTGAGCCCACTTATTCCATCTTTTCCCACACCAGTTTCGTGGCCTCAAACGCTCGGTGGAACTCTGAAAATCCGCAAATTCTTTTGCTAGCTTTGCTAGATGAATGAGGGCATCTGCCAAAACTTTTTCAATGTATTAGTGTTAGTTGCTATGGAACTCCTAGCCAGAAACGAGCCATGTTCTCGGATATGTGCCATGAAATTCAATCCCAAGACAAGCATCCACAAGTTTTATGGATTCCCTCGCCGGCAGTGTGTCAGATGCTACGGTCCGACCGACAAATTTCTCTCACATGCCGACGGACACAACGCAGCGCGGCAATGTGCGTGAAATGAATGGGCTGGTCGGTTGGTTGGGTCTCCTCCGCCAACGGTGCACGCGACCGCGTGTTTTTGGTATTCATGATTCCCCCCAACCAAATTCCCCCATTCCCTTATTCCCCTCTCCTGATTCCCCCAATTTCCTCGCGCTCTGAATCTCTGATGCATCATGGTAATACTGTACTTGCCCGCGGTGCCAGTTACCCGCCAGCAGCACGCGGCTGACTGCAACTGCGTGGCCGCTCACCCCACCTGTTCCCCCCCATCATTCGTCCCCCCTCCGCTCCCCCACCAACCCCCATTTTCCATCTTTCTTTCCCCACACCCACCCATCCACCTTCTTCCCCTCCTCCTCTCCCCGCCTTTCCTCCCCAACCGCCTGTCCGCCATTCTCCTCTACTCACCCCGCCGTTCCCCTTTCCGATTCTCCGCCTTTCCCAACTTCCCTTCTACGCCTCTCCCCTTTTCCCCTCTCCGCCAGCGTCACGTACTGTACCGCCGAACCCAACCGCACCGCAGTACGCCTTCCTCCCCATTTCCAATCCGACGACACCCACGTCTCGCTGCCTCTCCCCCACCTTCCCCCACCGCGTTTTCCGGCGCACAGGGCCATGGGCCATGACCAGCCGCCGCGACAGCGAGGCCGAAACAGAGCACCAGATGCATCCGTTCGGTGTAGGCTCAACTGGGAGAGGAGAGGAGAGGAATCATCGACGGGGCGGCCCGTTGATTTCAGGTGGAGGAGGAGGCGCAGCGGCGTTTGGTTGGAGTGTTTACATGTCTCGTTGTAGGCCGACCGATGATGATTTATTCATTATTTACGTTTTTCCCCAGACCAGAAGCAGCCAGTACATTGACGCGCAGACAGCGAAGCTTACGCACACTGATTGCGCACCAACTGTGGTGCACGTCGTAGCCCCCCCCCCCCCCCCCCTCCTCACAGTTTCAGTAAAGTAGTGAGCGTTTTCAATCCGCGAGACACGCAAAGCAAGCCTTCAGCAGCGCTTGAGCTGAAGCAGGATTCTTTCGTCGAGCCTCGTACACTTGTGAGAATTCTCAGTAGCGAATCTGATACAGCGAGAGCGGAGGTTCGGGTCAGTTCCCTCCGTCCAGACAGATCGATAATTTTTTATTGATAGTTATTCATCTAGTTTCCAGCCTGCGGGCCCCACGTGCGCGTGGTGCAATTATTGAGTTACTGACTTCTTGCCTAGACCACCTCTTACAATTCTGAACAATTGACCGCTGACCCGAGTCGCCAAAGGCCAAGGAAGGGCATTTAGTTTATTCATTTTATTCTTGACGGCAAACCTAGCCGTGCCAGCTGGACAGACGGTAACGCGAACCTTCGCAAGCGTCCCAGGTGTTACGACTACGGGGGCGGCGGGGAACGCAGCGACTGCGGAGACGGCGCGCGGAAACGACGTTATGACGCGGGATTCTACCACAGCAGGGAAGCACCGCCGTCTCATAGGCGCGCGGAAACCGGGTCCGCGGAGTTTGAGCTGGCGGAGTAGGGGAAGATTGCGCGCATCGTTCACACTCTCCGCGAATACGTTCTCCGCCGCGTGCGCGTGGCTACTGTTAGCGCTGATTGCTTCCGCCTTATGCGCGCAAACGGCGTCCGCGAAGCCCTTCTCACGTACGTGCGCAAGATGGCTTCACACATGGCCAGTTCCCCCCCCCCCCCCCCCCCCCCGCAACCCCCTCCCACCTCCCGTTCCCCGCTCTCCTTCATCCTTCCTTCCCTCCCTCTCCCACCCCCACCTCCGACTCCCCCCCTCCCCCGCCGCGCCCTCCCTCCTCCCCTCCAACTTACGTCCCTTCCGCATGTCGGCCTTCGCGAGGTCCTCCGCCCTTCCCCTCTCCCCCCACCCCGGATCCCCCTTCCCTGCCGGTCCGCCGTCCTCCTTTCCCGTTTCCCCTTCTCATTCCCCCTGTTCGCCTCTACCATTCCACCAATCCTCTCCCCGCCATCCTCCCCCCCTCCCCCTTCCCCCTCGTCCGCTCCCCCAGGCTCCCTTCTCCGCAACGGCGGGTTCGACAAACTAGGCGCCGCGCTAGAAGACCTAATTAAGCGCTCCGGAGGGCGACTAGGCCGCGTGGTTCGCGGCGTGAAAGAGGTGCCGGGCTGGAAGGCGTCCAAAGGCGGCGTTAATCTGCTCCGCGTATCGGGGGATATACAGTGCGCAGCCACCGGGGGAACGGCGGGCGGAGCGCAGCGGAGCGCCAATGGCACGTGCACGCCGAGCGGAGAGAGCGCGCCCCGGTATAGCGTACAGATTCCCGCGGTTCCCGCGCGGTCCATCTTCCAGTCGTTAGAGACTGTAGCGGGGTGTGACTATAGCGGGTCGTTCGCGATGCGCGCGCCGACGCTGCGGCACGGCGACCCGGCGTCCGTGCTTCTGACCGTCGTCGACGCCGCGACTGGCGCTGAGCTACTATTCGACGTGTTCACGGAGAAGATGGTGAGTCTTGAACGCACGGAAAGGATGGTGAGGCGGCCTTTTGAGGCGCCCCAAACGGCGTCCGTACTTTCAGACTGACTGACTGACTGGCGCTGAGCTTCTGCTATTCGACGTGTTCACGGAGAAGATGGTGAGTCCTGAACGGACGGTGAGAGTGAGAGGCGACGCGGATCTTACCCCCTCCAATCCGCTCCGCTTGCCCTCACTCACTTTCCGCCCTTTCCCCTCGCTCCCCGTTCCCCACGCGCCCCCGATCCCCCTGTCCCCCGCCTTCGTCCCTCGCACCAACTGCTCCGCGTTTCCCGACAACGCTCCTTCTGACGTTTGCCCATTTCCCCCTTCCCTATTCCCCCCATCCCCCACCCCCACCCCGCCTCACCTCCCCTCTCTCTCCCCTTCTTCCTCCCCCTCCGCCTCCCCTCCCCCCCCCCCCCATGCGCGCAACAGACGACCAACTGGGTGCGCAAGTCGTTCGCGTTCCGCGCGGCGAGCGCGGAGAGCCTGCTGACGTTCGGCGCGGGCCCGCTGAACGGCACCGCTGACGTGGACGCGGGGAACGGCGTCGCGATCGACGCGGTGAAGGTCGAAAACGACGGATGCTCCTCGCAGTGCGTGCACAGAAAGTGGCGGGGAGGAGTGGGAGGAAACGGGGGGAAATAAGGGGATCTAAACGGATCGGGGGAGACTGAGGGGGAGATGGGGGGAAATCGGGGGAGACCGGGGGGTGGGCGGGAGGGGGAGATAGTGGGATGAAACCGTCGGATGCTCCTCGCAGTGCGTGCGACACGGTGGTGGGGAAGAGCGGGGATTGCGGGAAGAGAGAGAGAGTCTGTCTATAAGCCGCCTCACTCACATATCGTCCAGCATCCGAGCTGCTCTTTTGAGAATTCTCAAAAGTTCTCCCTTTCACCCAATCACCCGTTCTCCCTTTCTTCCCTCCTTTTCTCCCCTTTTCCCCTTCACCTCTTTTCCCCTTCACCTCTTTTCCCCTTCACCCGGCCTGGTGTGTTGGATTGTGTTTCAGAGAGGGTCGGCTGGCTCTGGAGAGAGCAGAGGCAACGAGAAGGGGGCTAGGAGAGGTGGATGAGGACGAGGAGGAGGGAGAGAAGGAGGAGGAGGGGGAGGGAGAGACGGAGGAGGGGAAGGAGGAGGAGAAGCAGGAGGAGGTGGAAGCAAGGCAAGTTACAGCGGATGAGGAGGAGGAGGAGCAGGAGGAGCAGGAGGAGCAGGAGGAAAGGGAGGAGGCGGAGAAAGAGGAAGAGGGTATTACTGAAGGCGATGGCATGAGTGAGAGGAGAGAGAGGGTGTTACGTTCCTCCCCACCGCCCTCCTCCTCCTCTCTAGTCTCGTCTCTCACTCAACAGCTCCAGAAGCGCCTCAATAACCTCTTGAAGCGCAAGAGAAAAGCCCCTCCCCCTCCCCCTCCCACTAGCAGCGCCGGCAGCAGCAGCGGCAGCAGCAGTGGTAGCGACAGCGGGAGCAGCGGGGGGAGTGGGGGCACTGGGGGGACGGGCTTGGGCGGAACTCTAGGCACTGCGCCCCCGTCTCCGCCTCCCCCTCCGCCCCCGTCCCCCCCCGCCCCGCCCTCGTGGTATGGCATGTTCAGTGCGGGGAAGCCGCTGAACTCGATCCTGATTGACTATAACGCGGATAATGCTGCCGTGTCTGGGAATTCGGTTACCATCACGCAGAAGAGCGACACTGGAGGTGAGAGAGGGGACGGGGAGAGAGAGAGCAAGAGTAGTCACGTGTATGAAGATTTGTTTTGAGACGTCTCAAAACGAATTCGGTTACCATCACGCACAAGAGCGACACTGGAGGTGAGAGAGAGGGGACGGGGAGAGAGGGAAGGGAGAAAGGGGGGAGGGTGGAAGAACGAAGGGAGAGGGAAGTTAGAGGGAAAGAGGAGGGAGAGGGAATGGAGAAGGAATCATGTGTCGCCATCTCTCAGACGAACTTTTTTGTTTGGTCCACCCTCTTGGGTTCTCCCACTTGGGTCCTCTCCCCTCTCCCTACTTCCTTCCCACTCCCCTTTCCCCTCTCTCCCTCCTTCCCCGCATCTCCCCGCACAACAGAGTCCAGGTGGCAGGCAGTGACCAGTCCATGCAGTGGAGAAGGTCACTGCAGAGGGTCACTGTGGGCGGTGGAGACACAACAGGGTTCATGTGGCAGGCAGTCCATGCAATCCATGCAGTCCATGCAGTCCAGGCAATGCTCTTCACAGCCCCCCGCCCGCCCACACTCACGCTCTTCCTTTGTCACCCTCTCTCCCCTCCCCACTGGTCTCCCCCGCATCACAGGGTCCAGATGGCAGTCCATGCAGTTCACATCAGGCCTGTTCCGTGCGCTTGCCTCGTTCCCCTTTTGAGGCGCCTCAAAAGTCGCCTCGTTCCTCAACCCCTCACGTTCACACTCTTCCCTTCTCGCCCATTCTCTCTGTGCCGCTCCCCTCTTCCCCCCTCTCTCCCCTCCCCACTGGTCTCCCCCGCATCACAGGGTCCAGATGGCAGTCCATGCAGTTCACATCGGGCGTGTTCCGTGCGTCCATGCAGTGCTCCTCTGCCGACACCTCTGGCCTCATGTACTCCTTCTACGTGAGTGTCTCGCGCGCGCTCCTCTCCCCTTCTATTCTCTCTCCCCTGCGGTTGGTGGTGCTCGTTCTGCGCGTGCGAGACGGCGCTCCGTCCGTGCGGCCATGCAATGCTCTTCTGCCGACACGACACCTCTGGCCTCATGTACTCCTTCTATGTGAGTGCCTCCTGTGTTTCTGAGGCGCCTCAAAAATAAATAATTCTGAGGCGCCTCAAAAATGTACTCCTTCTATGTGAGTGTCTCCTGTGTTTCCCCTCTGCTCCTTCCTTCCCCCTTCACCCCCCTCTGCACCTGTGTTTCCCCCCTGCCTCTGCAGACACCTCTAGCCTCATGTACTCGTACGTGACTCTCGCGCTCTCTGCCCCTGAACTTGCGCTTCCCCCCTGCACCTCCCCTTTTGCACCTCCCCACTGCACCTCACCCTGGATTTCCCCCCTACGCACTCACTCACTCCTCACCATGCCCTCCTCTCCCCCTCGCACGCCATCAGTTGGACTCGAGTGCGCGCATAGGCGCCAACTCAGGCCTGGGGTGGGACTTTGTGCCTTATGTGCCCCTCTCTCTCTCCCCAATTTCCACTCTCCCCATGCCCCCCTCTCCCCCGGTAACACCACCAGCTGGACTCGAGCGCGCGAATCGACGCTAACTCAGGCCTGGGGTGGGACTTTGTGGGCACTCACTCACTCACCTATCCCATCTCTCTTATTTGTCATGCTCCTTTCTACCACTGCTACCAGCTGGACTCAAGCGCGCGCATAGGCGCCAACTCAGGCCTGGGGTGGGACTTTGTGCCTTATGTGCCTCTCTCCCCAATTTCCACTCTCCCCATGCCCCCCTCTCCCCCGGTAACACCACCAGCTGGACTCGAGCGCGCGAATCGGCGCTAACTCAGGCTTGGGGTGGGACTTTGTACAGCCCACTTAATGCGCCACCTCACCAACTCGCTCACTCACCAGTATAATTTCCATGCTCCTCTCCCCATCCCCCTCTCTTCCCCCCTGTAACACCACCAGCTGGACTCGAGCGCGCGAATCGGCGCTAACTCAGGCCTGGGGTGGGACTTTGTGGGCAACAACAAGACGACGGCCCTCGCCACGTACCACGTGAATGGGGTGGTTTACCCTCAGAAAATCAGCCTGGGGTTCCACTGCGCGGAGGCCCCGCACGTGTTCACCATCTACTGGGACGCCAACTATGCTGCGTGCGTTGGGGGCGAAGGGGGAAATGGGGGATTCGGGGGTTCGGGGCTTGTGCAATTGGGGGAAGAGTGTTTGGGAGGGGGGGGGGGGGGGGGGGGGGGTGTTGTGTGCGGTTGATTTTGAGAATTCTCAAAATCAACCTCAAACAAAGGGGGGGGGGGGGGTTGTTGCGTGCTAGCCTGTATGACGATTTTTGAGGCGCCTCAAAAATCGTTTGGGGGGCGGGGGGTTGTTGTGTGCTAGCCTGTTGTATGACGTAAGGCAGGCCCCCCATGTGTTATCCATCTATGGGACGCCAACTATGCCGCGCGCGTGCGTTGGGGGGAAAAGGGGGAGGATTTGGGGGGTTGAGGGCTTGTGTGGTTGGTGGGAGGGTGTTGTGTTGTGTTGTGTGCGAGCCAGCAAAACTCAAGCCCCCCCACATGTTCTCCATTCACTGAGACGCCAACCATGCCTCGTGTTTTTTGTGGGGAAGGCGGGGAGGGAGGTGTTGTGTTGGGGTGAAAAGGGGGAGGTGTTGGCCGGTTGGAGGTTTTTGTGGAATTGCTTTGCATTTGTGAAGGCCTGTTGGAATATGTTGAGTTGAACCCCCAATCCTTTCTCGATCTTCTCTACCCTTCTCTCGATCTTCTCTACCCTTCTCTCAATCTTCTCCACCCACCCTTATTTCGATGTTCCCCACCCACCCGTATTTCGATGTTCCCCACCCCACCTGTTCTTGAACCCTCCTCAGGTGGTATGTTGACGGCAAGCTGGCACGAGTGCTGGTGAAGCAGCAGGGGCAGCCGTACCCGTTCCGCCCCATGTTCCTATACGGCACGCTGGCCGCTGCTGCCGGGACAAGCATGGAGCGATACGCCGGCGCGTATACCCCCAGCACCACCGTTTACACTGCTGCTTGGACTGGTGCGTTCCGCTGGGAGGCTCTGGTTTGATTGGGGAAGGGTGAGAGAGGGTTGGGAAAGGGCTGGGGCGTGCGGTGGGCAGGGCACCACCATGCAGCGCTACGCCGGCGCGTCGAAATCACTTCTGAGAGAGAGAGTTCTCGAAAGTGATTCCAATATAAGGGCTGGGGCGTGCGGTGGGCAGGGCACCACCAGCACCATGCAGCGATACGCCGGCACGTATACTCTCATCCCAGCACCACCGTCTACACTGCCGCCTGGACTGGTGCGTTGCGTGCTGTGGAGCAGGGTGGAGTCGGGTGGAGTGGGGTGGAGTGGGGGAGGTTCTGGTTTGATTGTGAAAGGGTAGGCGAGGGTTGGGAAGGGGCTAGTGCGTGCAGTGGAGGGTTGGAGGGTTGATTTCCCCCCTGATGGCGGAGGTGGGGCAACCATCCAACCCGTCGCCCCCTGCCCCCCTGCCCCTGCAACATACCCTGCCAACCAAACCCTTTTCCGTGCAACACACCCTCCCCGCCTTCGCCCTCCTCCCCCAGGCATCACGGTGATTTCCTTTCCCCTCTGATGGCGGAGGTGGGGCAGCCATCCGCACGAAGAAATGGGTTCAACCCCGCGCCCCCTCCCCCTTGCAACGTGCCCTGCCAGCATAGCGCCGGTGACGCTGACGCCCCTGCTTGTCCCCACTCCCCTTCTTCCCCACCCTCTCTTCCCCCTCGTCCCCCAGGCATCACGGTGATTTCCCCCCTGATGGCGGAGGTGGGGCAGCCATCCAACCCCGCGCCCCCTGCCCCTGCAACGTACCCCGCAAGCATAGCGCCGGTGACGCTGACGCCCCTGGCGGTGGATTATTGCGATGACCACTGCATTGGGTGCAGCAGCAGCACAGACGGCAGCGCCTCAATCAAGATGGACAACTCCTGTGGTGCGTTCGGAGGGAGAAGGGGGGATATGGGGACTGTTGCGGCTGTTGGGGCTGTTGGGATTGCGCTGTGCTCTTGAGCCGCCATACGATGACCACTGCGTGGGGTGGGGTGCAGCAGCAGCGCGGACGGCAGCGCCTCGATCAAGATGGACAACTCCTGTGGTGCGTTGATGGTGTGAGGGATGGGTTTAGGGATTTTCAGGGTTGTGCTGCACTGGGTGCAGCAGCAACAGCGCGGACGGCAGCGCCTCGATCAAGATGGACAACTCCTGTGGTAAGCACAAGAAGAGAGCCCGGGGAGGTTGTGGGCCTGGGTGGGTGTTGTGGGAATTGTGCTGTGCTGTGGTGTGCTGTGCGCTTGTCGGCTTGCTTGTGATGACCACTGCGTGGGGTGCAGCAGCAGCACGGACGGCAATGCCACGATCAAGATGGACAACAGTTGCGGTGGGTTTGGAGGGAAGGGGAGTGAGTGTGAGGAAGGGAGTGTGAGTAAGTTTTAGGGAGGAGGGTCAGCGCCTAAGGTTGTGGGGTTTCTGGGGTTGTGCTGTGCTGCGGAGGTGGGTTGGGAAGGCCACGTGTAGAAAGAAGAGTTTTGAGACGGGTTTTGAGACGTCTCAAAACTCTTCTTTCTACACTGGGGTTGTGCTGTGCTGTGGAGGTGATTTTTGAGTCGACTCAAAAATCGCCTCATCACACGTGGGGTTTCTGGGGTTGTGCTGTGCTGTGGAGGTGGGTTGGGAAGGCCACGTGCGCCCCTCCCTTTTCTCAGTATTGGCTTACACTGCCCGCAGACTCCTACTCTTTCCAACCCCTTATCTCTCTCACCGCACCGGACTGCACCACACCACACCCCACCCCACGCCACCAACCCAGCAGGCTCTCGTTTCCGCTCGTCCCTATCGCACAGCTTCGGGTTCTTCAGTGTGGACTACCATTTTCTGCACACTCATAACCTCTCCACCCCAACCCCCATCTCTCCCACCGCACCTCAAACCCCCCCACCGCAGGGTCCCGTTTCCGCTCGTCCCTGCCCAACAGATTTGGGTTCTTCAGTGTGGACTATCAGTGCCCGCACACTGCTAATCTGTCTCCTCCCTTTTCTCTCCCACCCCACCCCGCCACACTCCACCGCACTCCACCGCACTCCACCGCAGGTTCTCGCTTCCGCTCGTCCCTGCCCAACAGCTTTGGGTTCTTCAGTGTGGACTATCGGTGCCCGCACACTGCTAATCTGTCTCCTCCCTCTCCCACCCCACCCCACCACACTCCACCGCACTCCACCGCAGGTTCTCGCTTCCGCTCGTCCCTGCCCAACAGCTTTGGGTTCTTCAGTGTGGACTACCGCTGCCCGCAGGGGAAGGGCAGCGGCCTCGTCTCCAGCTTCTACGTGAGTCCAGCGGCCTCCCTGCTGCCCTTAGAGTTGTTATGTGTCCAGCGGCCTCCCTGCTGCCCTTAGAGTTGTTATGCTGCGTTGCGTCGCTTCTTCAGGCAGGTCTAGGCAGGTCAAGCGGAGGGGAAGGGCAGCGGCCTCGTCTCCAGCTTCTACGTGAGTCCAGCGGCCTCCCTGAGCGCTCTTGAGGTGCCTCAAAAGTCCTTTGAGCGCCTTGAGGTTTCCCTGTCTTGTGAGGTGTTCTGCTGCCTTGTCAGGGTGCAAGTTGTCGTCGGTTTGTTTCCTTGTCAGATGTTTGTTTGATTGTTTGCTTGTGTGTTTGTTTGTGTGTTTGTGTGTTTGTGTGTGTGTGTTTAATTTTCGGAATGGGTGCACACACGCACAGCGTGCAGTGTGCAGAGTTACGTGACTTGTGTGTGTGTGTGTGTGTGTCAGCTCCGACAGCTCTCGAAGAACTGTCATTCCTTAGGTGCAAGCAACCACACACTTAAGAACTGTCAAGAGCTCCCCCCCTCCGAAACCATCCGACAGTTATCATCGCAGGAGGGCAGCAAGGTGCAGGACGAGATCGACTTTGAGTGGCTGGGCAAGAACAACACGGTCGTGCAGACCAACTTCTATGTGCGCGGGGTGGGCGGCAACGAGAAACTCGTCACCCTGGGCCATGACTGCTCTGCTGCATTCCATAACTACGCGCTGTACTGGACCAACAAGCAGCTCATGTACGTGCGGAAATGGGGGGGGAGGAGGAGGGTTGGGGATGGTATAGGGTAGCCTGGGCCACGGCTGTTCTGCCACGTTCCATAACTATGCGCTGTATTGGACCAACAAGCAGCTCATGTACGTGCGGAAATGGGGGGAACGGGGGGGGTGGTATTGGGTAGCCTGGGCCACGACTGCTCTGCTGCGCTCCACAACTACGCACTCTACTGGACCAACAAGCAGCTCATGTACGTGCTGAACGGGGGGGGTGTGGAAGGGGAGGGGTGGGCGTGGTATTGGGTAGCCTGGGCCACGGCTGCTCCGCTGCGTTCCACAACTATGCGCTGTACTGGACCAACAAGCAGCTCATGTGCGTGTGGGGGAGGGAGGAGGGGATGGGGTTCTGTGGGGTGGGTGGATAAGGGGTAGGAGAACGGGAGGGAAAGGGGGCTGGTATAGGGGGTGGCTAGCCGGGCCATGACTGCTCTGCTGCGTTCCATAACTATGCCCACTACTGAACCAGCAAGTAGCTCATGTAAGTGCTGACGGAGAGAGGGGGGGGGGGGGGGGGGGGTGGAGGGGAGGTGTGGATGGTATCGGGTAGCCTGGGCCACGGCTGCTCCGCTGCGTTTCACAACTAAGCGCCCTACTGGGCACGCCATGGCATAGGGTAGCCTGGGTTTTGAGAATTCTCAAGAACCAGCTCGCATAGGGTAGCCTTGGGCGCACCGACATCGATTCTGTACCTGAATGTCGTTCTGTTCTTATCGCCCCCCTCCCTCTCCCGTATGCCCCTCCTCTCCCCCCCCATCCCCTCCCCCCCCCTCCTCCTCCCCCCCCTCCCCCCCTCTGCAGTTGGTACATTGACTTTGTGCAGGTGCGGGTTCTCCTCAACACCACGGACATGGACGGGGCACCTGAATGCCGTTCTTCTCCCACCATCCCAACCTTCCACTTCTCCCACCCTTGTGCCCCCACCCCCCCTGCAGTTGGTACATTGACTTTGTGCCGGTGAGAGTGCTTCTCAACACCACGGACATGGACGGGGCACCTGAATGACATTCTCTTCCCACCATCCCATTCTTCTCCCTCCCTCCCTCATTCCCTCTTCCCTCACCCCCCCCTGCAGCTGGTACATTGACGTTGTGCCTGTGAGAGTGCTGCTCAACACCACCGACATAGACAGGGCGCCGTACCCCTCCAAGCCCTCCTCACCCTCCCTCGCCCTCCCCTTCCTGCCCTCCCCCGCTCTCACCCTCCCCCCCCCCCAGTTGGTACATTGACTTTGTGCCTGTGCGAGTGCTCCTCAACACCACCGCCATAGACGGCGCACCGTACCCATCCAAGCCCTCCTTCCTCTACGCCAGTGTGTGGGACGCCAGTGGCATCTGCAACGGCTGCTGGGCGGGCAACAGAAACCCACACATTCACTTGGTGCCTGAACCTTGTTTCTTCCCACCCTTCGCCCCCTTTCCCTCCTTCCCTCCCTCCCTCGCTCCCACCCGCCTTCTCTTCCCCTCCCCCCGTGCAGATGGTACATTGACTTTGTGCCTGTGCGGGTTCTACTCAACACCACCGCCATAGACGGCGCGCCGTACCCATCCAAGCCCTCCTTCCTCTACGCCAGTGTGTGGGACGCCAGTGGCATCTGCAACGGCTGCTGGGCGGGCAACAGGGACCCTGGCACTGCCACCGACCCCACCTGGCAGGTGTTTGCGGAGTACAGGAACATGACTGTACGCTCGCCGCTCTGGGGATGATTGGAGGGAGTCTCACTGCTTTGGGGGGGAGGCGAGCAGCAGGGGGGGGGGGGAGGGGAGGGAGGCTTTTGAGGCGTCTGGAGAACCCACGTGGCAGGTCTTTGCAGAGTACAAGAACATGACTGTGCGCTCGCCGCTGTGGGGGTGATAGGAGTCTCACCACTTTGGGGGGGTGGGGGGAGGGGTGGCGAGCGGCAGGCGAGCGGCTTTTGATGTCTTTGCAGAGTACAAGAACATGACAGTGCGCTCACCGCTTTGGGGGTGAGGTGAGGTGAGGTGAGGTGAGGTGAGGTGAGGTGAGGTGAGGTGAGGTGAGCAGCAGTCGGGCGAGTTTTGAGATGTCTGCGGAACCCACCTGGCAGGTGTTTGCGCAGTGCCGCAGCATGACTGTGCGTTCTCCGTTCTGGGGGTGAGGTGAGCGACGGGGGGCGACTTATGAGACGTCTGAAACACTCACCTGGCAGGTGTTTGCGGCGTACTGAAGCATTACTGTGCTGTGCTGTGGTGTGCTCTCCACATGGGGGATGAGTGGCGGGCAGTGGTGGTGGCCTCCTTGTCCTCGTTGTAAGGATTTCGTTTTCGGCGGCAGTGAGGAGGACGGCAGGGTAGCAAAATATGGCAGCTGTTTCCATTATTTAGGTTAGGCCAGTTGCAGCTTCTGCTGCTGCGGTGGCGTTTCCTACATTGGTTATCCGGCTCCTGAGTGGAGTGCTGTTGATTAGAGAGTAGGTGTAGGATGTGCCTGTCATGCAACCTAGCTCGGCTGTTCTGCTAGGTTTGCAACCTGGCACTGCTTTGTGCCATTGTTAATTCCAGATTTTGTACAAACTAATTCTCCTTGTTACGTGCGATCATAAGGTAGAGGTACTTTTGCTGGCTGCTTCCAATGTCTGTTTCTTTGGGGGGTTCATTTTTTGTATGGATCGGGCACTACGCGAATTGGCCGGCCAACTGGCCAACGTGTTTTTTTTTTTTTTTTTTTTTGGAGGTGTAAATATATTATCAAATATAGATACATCCGCAGTCGTAACTGTATATCTTGGAGGGTCTAGGCCACGCCTTGTGGGCGCCGCACCGCCCCCCTATGGCATGCTACGGAGGCTGATAGAAAGTGCGCGGGTTGCGCCAGATGGAGAGGAAAGGAGCCGCCCAAATTGTTGGCCCACCATCACCGCAAATCTTCTGAAGCTGCAACTTCTCATCCGCAGCCACATGGCTCCAGTTGTCTGTCTTCCAGAAACTTCTCCCTTCATCGGCCGCTGCCAGCCTTCCCCTTGCTGCCAGCACCACCCTCGCATGCGTCATGAAGTCCAGCACAGCACATCTCCCCACCTTCTTTCTCTCGAAAGGAGCTGCGCGCCAAACTGCATTGCATCGCGCCAACCAGATCTGCCTAAGCACCACTGATGTCAGCGTCATCTCCGGAAAACCTGACGCTGTGCCCTTTTCGCCAAACAGTAGGTCCCCCAGACAGTCCACCGACCTGCCCGGGTTCAGCATGTGCAACGTCCGCTTCAGCGCGCCAATGATCGGTTGTATGACCGGGCAGCTGTAGAGACAATGTGCTAGGGTTTCCTCCTCTCCACAGTGCACACATGCTATCTTGTTCTGGAAGAAATCCAGCCTCCCCCCAACCTGCAGGTTCATGCTGTGAACCCTTAGTAGGACGTCCCTCGCCTTGCCCGGTACATTTATCGAGTCTCTGGTCTCAATGACCTTCCGCCGTCAATCTTTTTTCCCCACACGTCCTCCCACTCCGCTTGTCTCCAAGAACGCCCTTTCGCCTTGGATAGTGCGGCCCTTACCCCGCGTAGCGGCACCAATTCTCCCCCAGCGAACAGTCCTGGTAGAGACAGCAACCGCACCTTTGGATCTCCCACGGGGCCAAGCAGTATTCCTTTCTGAACCGCCATCGGTTGGAGTCTGCACGCTTCGAAACACGTTTTCTCCGCTCTTGCTTTTTTCCCTATTCTCCCGTCTTCACCGAGGGACATGCTGGACGCGACCACCTTCCTGCCGTCCACCCCGTCCACTGCCCATGGGAGTCTAGCCGGTTGCCCTTGCAGGATGTACCTCACCACTCCCGATGCTTTCACCACAGCTTCGGCCGTTGCCGGCTCCTCGATCAATTTCCTCCACTCCGGCGGCATGGCCCCGTATGCCTTCCTTGCCATGACCGCCGCCTCCTTGCTTCCCAGTTCAATCGTCAGCACCTCTTCTTCTTTCACCCCCCTCCGTCCCCCTGGCCCGTCCGTGAGCAGGTCCCGAACGCGCGTGGTGATGAGGGCCGCTGTGCCTATTTGGTGACCGAAAGGGCTCTCCCCTCGATGCATGATGTTTCTGTTGAAACAAATAAACTCCTCTTCCACCTCCCACCTGCTCCTTGGTGCCGGCAGTGTCGCGAAAGGTGATTTCCAGAACACTTTTGCCGCCGCCTTCCATCGTTCGCTACCGTGCTGCCACTGCTTTATTGCCGACGGGTGCGCGTACAGCGTGGCCAGCCCTTGCGGGAAAGCCGCCGCCTTCTCTGCCAGCCAGCGGCGCGTTCCGTCCGGCTCCTTCAGAAACTTTCCGATCCTGCGGATCGCCAGCCCGTCCAGGCAAAGCTTCGGGTCCAGCTGCCCCAGACCTCCATCCTTCAGCGGCAGACACGCCAGGTACGCGCTCCACAGGATTAATATTTTTTCTTCTGCCGCCTCCCCTGCCGATACGAACGCGTGACATAATTTCCTGATTTTTTCCCACGTCTCCTTTGGCGGCGAGTAGACTTGGGTTTGGAACATCAGTACTGGCAGGACATAGCAGCTAATCACTGCCACTCTTACCGTGGTTGTTAGATATTGCGCTTCCCACTTCCTCAGCTCCTCTTTTATCCTTTCGTACGCCCTCTTCCAGGATGGATCCGGGTCACCGTTGGGCGTTATCCACACCCCCAAGAGCCTCTCCGGCTCTCCCTGCTCCGACCATTTATACGGGACGTCTGCCGGCGCCGGCTCTCCCCGGTTGCTTCCCAGCGGTACCACCACTGACTTTTCACAATTCACCTTCAGCCCTGACTGTTTCCCGAAGGTGCCCAAGACCTCCACCACCTTCCGCAGTTGGGCTTCTCCATTCAGCAGAAATGATGTGTCGTCGGCGTATCCCACGTATGCAAGCGGCTCCTTCCCGACCGGTCCGATGCCCAGCTTCTCCCGCTGCGTGGCTCTGCATAACGGCTCGAGTGCGCAAAGAAACAGGTATGGCGCCAGTGGGCACCCCTGCCTGACCCCTCTGTTCATCTCCACCCTGTCGCTTAACCACCCATTAATTATGACCCTTGTCCCTGCGTCTGCATGCAGGCCCCTGGTCCAGCCGATGAAATTGTCAGGCACCCCCAGCTCCTTCATGACCCTGAAAAGGAAGACCCTCGAGACCGTGTCATAGGCCTTCTGGAAATCTACCAGCAGCAGTAGCCAATCTTCCTTGCCGCTGTTCGCTGCTTCCACCGCATCCGCTACCACTGATACTGCGTCCGCCAGGCTTTTCCCCGGTAAGAAGCCGTGCTGTTCTTTTGACAGGACTTTGCCCAGCACCTTTTTGAGCCTTGTAGCCATAACTTTTGTAACCACCTTGTACATGACTGACAGAAGTGTGATGGGGCGGTAGTTCCCCAGTTGATCTGTTGGCCCCTTCTTATGCAGCAGGACGGTCACCGCTGTCGATAAGCTCTCCGGCATACTCGCCTTCCTGGCGAATTCCCCGACAAAACTCATCACATGTGCTTTCAGTAGATCCCAGTGCAGAATGAAATATTACGCGGGCAAGCTGTCCTGCCCGGGAGATTTCCTCTTCGGGAGGCTCTCCAGCGCCTGCTTGACCTCCTCCTCCGTCCAGTCTGTGCCACGGAGCGCTGCATCCGTCTCCGAGAATCTGGCGCCTTCCGAGAAAGCCCCCCAGTCCACCTCTTCCTCTGGTAGCACCTCGCCAAAAGCAGCTTTGAAATGGTCCGCTGCCACCTTCAGCACCTCCTTTGTCCCCTGGTACACCACTCCATGGTGAGAGATCTCGCGCACCACCGTCCGTTTCTTCCGTACTTTGATTCTGGCCGACAAGTATGGCGATGGGACTTCTCCGGTGAGCTCCACCTTGATTCCCGCTAACACTTGCATCCGATCTTTGCAGCTCTGGAGATAAGCCCCTAGGTGCGCCTCCTTCCGCATCAACCTGTTTTGTGCTCTCTTGTCTCCCGGATATCGCATCACTTTGTGCCTCAGTCGCTCCACCACTACCTCCAGGTGCTGCACCGTCGCCTTCACCCTCTTTCGCTCCTCCCGTGAGTATTCTCTCAGGCCCATGCTGAGCAGTTTCAGCTTCTTTCCCAGGTCCATCTCTTCCTCGTTCTCCAATTTCTTAAGGATGTTAGCTGTCACCGTCTTAACTCCTCTCCGTCGTGCTTGCTTTGCCTGCATCCTCCACATGCCAGGGCCCTGATCTTCCGGCGCCGACACCGCGAGCGCTACCTTAATGCCGAACCAGTGGTCCGACAGCCCCCTTGGGATCTTGACGTGGCGCGCATCCGCCAGTAGCCCGAGCAACGAGAACGACACCAAGCTCCTGTCGATGCGAGTGCTCGCCTTTGTCGCCCTGTCTCTAAAGGTGTACTCCGGACGGCTCGGATGCAGGACCCGGAATGCGTCTCTGAGGTCCTCTGCTCTCCAGAAACTCAGCAGCCTTTGGTTTTCATTCCCCGAGCCCGAGCGCGATGTTTTGTCCAGGTCGGGGTCCTCCACTAGATTCAGGTCTCCCAGAACCACCAGGTGAGAGTGCGCCGGCTGAGCCTGGACAAACAGCGGGAGGCAGCTCCAGAAAAAGACTCCTCTGGCACACGGCTGCGCCGGGAGGTACATCGCTATCAGCCTGAAGGAGATCTGCGGGCACGACACCGTGACTCCCACCAATCTCCCCGACGGGTGAGTAATCGCCTCTGTGAGCTTAATCTCCTCATTGAAAGACAACACCGCCACCCCTCCTGCTCGTTCACTGTTTCCCACCACCGCTACCGAGGCGGGTTTAAACTGCGTCCAGAAATTGTGATCTTCTCTGATTCTCGTGTCTGTGAGCACCACCACGTCTGCAACTGTTCTGATCCACTTTGCGTGTGCAGTTCTTTTGCCGTTGCTTCCGAGGCCATTGACATTGACCTCGCACAGTGTGAGATTGCGGGTGTTATCCATTAATCCACTGAGACAGGGCCCCTTCGCATCCACGGGCTTGGTACAACAAAACTCCTACGCACATCCTCGCACCACGATCAGGTAACCTCCTTACTTCTCGCTTGTCACGTCTGCCTCGGTCATGAATACTCCGGACAGCCGTCTTTCCCTGCACTGTCTCCTTTACAGCCCAAACTCCTTGCGAATCGGAAGGAAATTCATTTTCCCCCTGCTCTTCCTGCTTGCTGCGTCCCCCTGCAGGATAGCTGTACAGTGCTGCACCGACTTCACATGCGCTAGCGCCTGCGTAAAACTGGATCCGTGCGCCTTGCCGCACGCCTCCTGGACGCACAGCCAATCCTCCCTGCTTCCTCCCGTGGAGACCAAAACAACCGCAGGATCGCGCAAAATCTTCTTCACCCGCACGTCTAAAGGCAGGGACGCAGCTGCTCAGGTATAAGGCGACGAGACCGTCAGCAGGGACGAACAGGACCCCAACAGCCTGAAAAGCAAGGTTAGTGGTTGATGGTTTACCGTTGATCGCGTGCAGACGCTCGAGAGTCAGGTTCCACTTGCCGATGTTCTCCTGCCGCTCCGTAACAAAATCATCGTGAAACTTCGTCATATGCATGCCAGCGCAGAAATCACAGGTGAGCGAGGGGTAATGCACGAGGAGCTGCTTGTGATGCACTGAGTCGACCAACAAATGCCACCAGCGATACTTATCCCCCGGGTGTCCCTTAACCAGACCCCGAATCTTGTCAGTGTCTGCGCCGGTAACCGGATCCACCACCCTGTGGAAGGCAGCCTCACTGAGGAACGGCGTCTGACCCCGCTTCTCCAACACCGTCTTCACCAGGTATTCATACACCATTTCCGACGTAATAGCCGCCGGGACACTCTTCAGCAGCACTTCGATGGAGTCCGGGTTAGTCGCTCGCTCCTGAATGTAGACCGGGTTTTCCGGGTGCTGCCAGTCCAGGTAAATGCTCTCCTCATTCAACATCTTGTGCTGGATCTGACGACACCACACGTAGTTCGCGTCCGATGCTTGCTGGAAAGTGACTTGCATCCTCCCATACCGCTTCTTTGACAGCCACGCCGGCAAGAGGACTTGGCACCTTGTCGTCGTCAGTACGTGAGCCGACATAAACTTCCTCCACAACGCAAGGAGTCCCTTGACCGTGTCGATAGTACGGGGAACCTCCTCCTCGTACTTGATCGGAACCAGCAGCGTGATGGAGAAACCCGCGCGCGCAGCAATTTCTCCAGCTTTCACCGGGTCAAAACGCTCCTCAGGATCATCACTGAGATACCCGTCATCCTCTTCTTCCTCGTCTTCACTTCCCTCCTCAGGTGCATCAGGAGCAGCGGTCGGCGATTTCACCTCTTCCTCTTTTCCTTGTCCTTCGTTAGCGTTGTTGTCCCCATCTCCAACAGGCGCATCCGAAGAAGGAAACTTAAGTGCCGACAGCCTCTTCGCCAGCGATGCGCGCACACCACCGTCAAAAGGACCTTCTACATCCTTCAACTGCGGCTTCGGCGTAGCCGGCTCTGACTGATGTCCCTTAGCTGCCAGATCCATCACTTCAGAAACCGCAGACTTGGTTACCGGCTTGACAGTCTTCTTCGTCACACGCGGCATGGTGCGATGATGAGAGCTGGAGAAACTGCGACCGAGGCTTGATGAAGCACGCGTAAATGTGTGGTTTAAACTGACTGCTCTGAGCACCGTTCTCTTATAGCCGCGATGTAGCTGCAAATGCCTTATTTTCTTCCTTGGCTGATGATGCATGAAACCGTTGTCCTTGGTAGTTGAGTGTTCCTTGGTATTAGTTAATCGCGGTAGAATCTTTGTTGTGTCTGATGTCTCCTCGGGAATATAAGTTTCTGACATTAGCATAGGGAAAACCTTCTGGGGATCACTTCCAGTAGTTAACAACGGGGGTGACGGAGTGCCTGACAAAAAACTTGAAGTTACAATGCTCGACATTTGAGCACATAAAGAGTATCTTCTTGTTTGTCTTGTCATGTAGATTCCGAATCCGCGTTTAGAATTAGTAACTGATAGGAAATTGATAGACATTGAGGCTTCCTTAGTGCCTGACAGAATCCATGGCGGAGAGACACTTCGTGTCTGACACGAGGTAGGAATTGGCCAACGTGTTTGTTTCGTGTACCAAGGGCACCTTTGAATTTTGAAGGTTTACAGTTGGGTACAGTACCTAGGCGACCATTTCTGTGATCCCTGATTTGAAGGGCAAAATGACCTAGTTGCCCTCTACGCGTGGTTCGAACTTGGAATTATCAGCCCCGCACTGCTGACATTCAGTTCAGTTCAGAGACCCAGTCCTGCGCGCCCCAGCCCCCCAAAAAAAAACAGAGGGTGGGGAGAATCCAGACGAGAGTTCGCGTAAAACAAATGAGATTTTACTGTGCGCTTGCTGAAGCAGCTAAGCGGACCGAACCGAGCTGACAAGTTTGGAAGTACGAAATCGTTACGGTACGAATGGGGTTTGCGTGTACCGTGTACCGTACGAGGCAAAAATATATCAACTTTTGTAACATGCGTGGCAGAACTGTCCAACCAGGTGACAGCACGTTGGCTGGACAACATTTCGTGATGCTGGTTGAAGTGATGCTGCTATTGCTGTACAACAAGTCGGTGCGTGGGTACACTTCTCGTTTCATCTGTAATGCGAGATTGCAGGGGCGGTGGCGCGCCGCGTAGGGCACACCCCCTTCCACTTGGCGTGCGAAGCGAACCCGCATCTGTGTACGCGTCAGATGCGCGACCCCTCAATTTACGGCTGGGGGCACTGCATTCACAGGCGCGCGTTTACGTGATGCTGGAAACCAATGCTGTAAGGGTAATTACTCAATGAGAATATGAGCTGGCTGGCTTTGCACCTGTAGTATTTCATTTTTCAGGATTCCCACCCTGAGAGCCAGCATTGGTATTGCAAAGCTTCCAGCGCTATCGTCGCTCCTTTTCCAGCGTTGTGGATTGTCCTGTCACACTGATCGTTGTCTTGTACCATATGCGATAGTCTGAAAACAGTGGTATGGCAACTACCCATTGTATTTTGCTTGCCCGGCGACTACGTACAGGCTGTATCTGGTCACAAAATGGCCCCACAGTACAGTGACAACCCCTCTGTTGACAGACTGGCATTCCACAATTGCGGAGGACCTCATGGAGTCGACCCAAAACATTTCAAATCATCCTACCCGTCATAACATGTTTGGAACAGTATCTTATTGCTGCACAGAAGGTGATATGCCAGCCAGCCACCTTTCCCAAGGCGGGAATGTGAGTGGTACGATTCCACGGGCATTGCTTGTACGTTCATGTTGACACGTACACCCCACAAGACAATGGGATTGTACTTGTACTGTGCTTCTGCTGCCCATCCTTCCCATCCCTCAAATTCAGGGATAACTGGTCCTATCACCACCGAAAACAAGCCAACCTAACCCGAACCATCTGAACCGATATGAACTTGCTGCAAAACCAGGCCCTGCCTCATGATGATGATATAAGAGCAATCCAATCTCATGGCGCGAAAATCAACTTGTTCCAACAGGGTGCTTGCAAAGAAGCAGCCAACGAAATTGCCTGCCAAAGAGGTTCCTCCTTGGACAGCCCAGAAATTCATATTTGCATACTGCTCAAGTTTGCTTCGCGTGGAAATGGCTTCTTTGATGCCCTTTTAGTACTAGTACTATTAGTAGCACCGACACATGTTAGTACAAGTTGCAGTGCCTTCATAACAGATTCGAACCCATCGGCGGCAGGCCCGGCCGCGCGCAGGTCTCAGAGCGTCAGCCGTCAACCAGGCAAATTTCGTTGATGAAAGGCGATTGAGAGAGGCTTTTGCATCATGCTCATGATGCGCCGGCTGATGCCCAGTCAGTCAGTGTGGCCCTGATGGATCATCATGATATGATATGATGGAGCAAGTCACCATGACAAGCTTCGGCCGACGTCACGCCCCTATACTCACAAATCCCGCCTCCGCGCCCTCTCCTGCTGCCCCAGCTTCCACTGCTGCTGTCACGCGTCCCCATGATACTCCTCAAGAGGCAGCCGGCGCAGCGGCAGGCCAGCAGAAGATTTCTTCTGCAGCTGTTGTTGTTGGTGCTTCTTCCTCCCATCGTCCTGCTGAGTGGCCTTCTGCCATTTCCAAAACTGATTCCCGTGACGCTATAATGACCACCATTTCTTCAGGAAAAATACGGTCGGATCGGGACTCGTTTCCACTGACAGAGCCCGTGGACAGGGAACCGCCGGCGGTACTACTAAGCAGAAAGAGTATGAAGAGGAAAAGGGAAGGGGATGATGATGGGGTGAATGGAGAGCAGGGGGAACTGGAGGAGGGTGAATTGCCAACTTCAGTGATAAAGGAGCCGCCGGATCATGAGGAGAGGGATGAAGAGGAGGCGGAGGATGCGGAGGCGGGCTACTTGGAAGAAGGGACGCTGGGGAGGAGAGAGAGGAGGAAAGACGGGAGGGTCGTGGGAATGCATTCTCCAGTGGAGAGGAAAAGCAATAGAAATGTCAAAATGATGGTGCCACTGGCAGTAGTAGTAGGAGAGGAGATGCAGAAAGTAGGAGACGGAAGAGATCAAGAAAGGGAAGAAGAAGAAGAAGAAGAAGAAGAAGAAGAAGAAGAAGAAGAAGAAGAAGAAGAAGAAGAAGAAGAAGAAGAAGAAGAAGAAGAAGAAGAAGAAGAAGAAGAAGAAGAAGAAGAAGAAGAAGAAGAAGAAGAAGAAGAAGAAGAAGAAGAAGAAGAAGAAGAAGAAGAAGAAGAAGAAGAAGAAGAAGAAGAAGAAGAAGAAGAAGAAGAAGAAGAAGAAGAAGAAGAAGAAGAAGAAGAAGAAGAAGAAGAAGAAGAAGAAGAAGAAGAAGAAGAAGAAGAAGAAGAAGAAGAAGAAGAAGAAGAAGAAGAAGAAGAAGAAGAAGAAGAAGAAGAAGAAGAAGAAGAAGAAGAAGAAGAAGAAGAAGAAGAAGAAGAAGAAGAAGAAGAAGAAGAAGAAGAAGAAGAAGAAGAAGAAGAAGAAGAAGAAGAAGAAGAAGAAGAAGAAGAAGAAGAAGAAGAAGAAGAAGAAGAAGAAGAAGAAGAAGAAGAAGAAGAAGAAGAAGAAGAAGAAGAAGAAGAAGAAGAAGAAGAAGAAGAAGAAGAAGAAGAAGAAGAAGAAGAAGAAGAAGAAGAAGAAGAAGAAGAAGAAGACGAGGGAGAGGAAGCAGGGCACGAAGGAGGGGAGAGGCGGAGGAAGGGGGTGAGTGGAAGGACGGCGGCAGTGAGCACAACCACTGGGTTGAAGGAAAGTAGAGAGGGGGAGATGAGAGAGATGATGGAATGTGGAGGAGGGGCAGAGGCAGGAGCACGGGCGATGGGGGAGGGGAGGGGAGGAGAGAAAGAGGAAACGGATGAGGTGGCTGTTGGGCTAGTAGTGGCAGCAGCAGGTGGGAGAGGGGTGTGTGCAGGGAGAGAGAGTACCACGGCAGCAGGGAGAGAAGTACTAGGAGGAGGTTCGGCAGGCACAGGTATAGGATCAGGAACAGGCACAGGAACAGGATCAGGAACAGGCACAGGAACAAGAGCAAGAACAGGAACAGGATCAGGATCAGGATCAGGATCAGAATCAGGATCAGGATCAGGATCAGGATCGGGATCGGGATCAGGATCAGGATCAGGAACAGCTCAAGCAACAGTAGCACTGGTTGTAGCATCAGCAGCACCTGCACCACAACCAGCAGCCGCGGGAGCACTAGCAGCAGCAGCACCACCATCACTACCATCGCAACCAGCAGCAGCAGCGGCAGCAACAGAGCCATCATCAGCAGTAGCAGCACAGCCATCACCAGCAGCAGCAGTAGCAGCAGAGTCACAGGTAGACTCAGCTCTGGCAAGAAAAGCCCTACACGCAGCTCTGGCTGCTGAAGCAGCAGCAGGAAGAACAGCAGGAGAAACAGTCATTACAGGAACAGCAGCAGCAGTAGCAGGAGCAGCAGGATCAGGAGCAGCAGGATCAGGAGCAACAGGGGCAGCACGATTAGGAGCAGCAGGGGCAGCACGATTAGGAGCAGCAGGGGTAGCAGTATGTGGAGCAGCAGGGGCAACAACAAGGTTCACTAACCAAGAGGGCGAAGGAGGCGAACCCCCTCCCCCAGGCATAGATTGCCCGCACGCCTTCTCGTCCTCTCCGTTCCCTTCAGGACATGATCGCCCCTTCTCGACCTCTCTGCCTCACACCCATCCCTCACATCACCTCTCCCCCCAAGCCTCCCCCTACGCCTTCCCTCTTACCTCCTCCTTTCCTTTTCCTCTTCCCACCGCCAATCCCATTCCCCATCCCTCCGCTCATCCTCCCTTCCATCCCTCCGCCTATCCTTCCCCTTATCCTTCCGCCAATCCTCCCCCCCATTCCGCTCCCCACTCCTGCGCACATTCCTGCACAGCTAATCCCCACTTTCAAGCATTCAACCATCTCGCCCTCCATTCATCCTCTCTTCCCACTATCCATCCCTGCGCCCATCCTCCCCCTCATCCTCCCACCCATTCCCCCTCCCATCCTCCCACCCATCCTCCCGCCCATCCTCCCCACCATCCTCCCCTCCATCCTCCCCCCCATCCTGCCCCCTATTCCTCCTCCCATCCCTCAGCTCACCACTCAGAAAATCTCCCCCCGCATCACTCCCCCTGTTCCGCTAATCCCCCCTGCGCGCACTTCCCCCCCGCCCCTCCCGCCCATTACACCTCCCCTCATTGGATTCAGACCGCTCAGATCTCCCTCCCTTGGTCTGCTTCTCCTATCCTTCTGCTTGTTCTGCAACCACCACCTGCTGCCGATCATTCTCACTCTGCTGCCATCCACCCTGTCTCCTATCCTCACCCTCACCCGTCCTACCAGTCTCTCCCTTCCAGGCTCCCCCCCTCTCTCCCCTCCTCCGTCCCCGTTTCACTTCCCCCCGCATTCCCCCCAGTTTGCTGCCCTCCTCGTCCCCCTCCTCTCCCACTTTCCTCTGGCCCCGTCGCAGCTGCTGTCACCGCGACCATGCATCCCACTGCATGCACTCCCGCACCTCTTATGCCGCTCCCCATGCACCAACCCTCGTTTCCATCAGCAGTAGCGCCAGCAGCAGCAGCCGCACCAGCAGCAGCGCCAGCAGCAGCAGCAGCAGCAGCAGCAGCAGCAACAGCAGCAGTAGCAGCAGCAGCACTACAGGCACCAGTGGGGTCAGCTTCGTGTCGTTCCTGCCCGTTTGCTTTCCACCACTGCCCTTGCTGCCCCAACTACACTGCGGCTGCTCCAACAGGAGCGCACCAGAACCAGCAGCACGTGACAGTGCTAGAAGCAACAGCAGCAGCAGCACCATCAGTCATTCCAGAAACACACGCAGCAGAAGCAGCAGCAAAGGCTGTGGCATCAGCCTCAGGAGTGGTTCCATTGGAACAGCAGCAGCGGGCGGCAGAGAGGCAGTTGTGGCACAGTCAACCGCGGTCAACGAGAGGTCAACCGGAGCAGCCAACGAGAAGTCAACCACAGCAGTCAACGGGCAGTCAACAACAGCACACCCAACAGATTCTGTTACGCCAGCAACATCACCAGCCAGTCTTGTCTCTGGAGCACTGTCAGCAAGGTAAGCCGCGCTGTTCAGTTCAGACCAAGCATTGCATTGTAAGTCAGACTCAAAAGTCTTGTCGTACCTCCTGGTCAGATGTGTTCTTGGAAGGCATGAGCAACCGGTGTGGTCGGGCCTAGTTAACCCGACCCAACCCAGGGTTATGGCCAGGCCGGGTAGGGTCGTTCCTCTGGTGGCCTCGACCCGACCCAACCCGGCCTGACCCGACCCAACCCGACCCGACCCGACCCGACTCTTGGGTAGAGATTTGCCGATCTGAACCGACCAGACCCCGGATATATCATATATGCTGACCCAACCCTTTAAACCATGGCGAGGTCAGGCAAATTCTCCGGCCTTCCCGACCAGGAACAACCTGACCCGACCCGGCCTGAGAAAAATTAGGTCGGGTCAGTTCGGGCTGACCCGTTAATTCCTCCTCCTGCGTATCTCCACTTGTGCGGCTTTCTTGAATTCTCTTCCAACTCACTCCCCCAACAACCCACCCTCCCACTTCCATCCCCCACCCACGTTTGCATGGCCTTCTTATTATCCTCCTTTCTGCAACTCCTAGCCTTGTGGTGTGTCCTCACCCTACCTACGTTTTCTTTTACTCCTCAAAACAAGAACCAAATAGAGAAGAAGGTTTGGAGAGGAGATTCGATCTCTCCCTTCTCTCTTTTCCCGTGTCCTTAGCAAGTGACCATCAGACGGCGTTGCCCTCTCTCCACCCCTCACATGCACCAAGGCTAGCCGCACACACACAATTTTATTTTCCAGCTGTTCCAACACACACAAACGCTCGTGGGCGGCGCACGCGTGCGCGCGCGGGCGCACACACACATACACACACATGCACGCACAGGTATACATACGCATGGACGTGCACAGGCATGTGCATAAACAAATGCCTTTCTTCCTCCTCCTCCACTTACCTTTCCCCCACCACACCCACCAGATGACCTCACTCTTACCCTGTCTCTCACACCAAGGGCCATCAGAGAGTCTCCAACCCCTCCGCTTCTCCACACACTCCGTCTTGATCCTGAGCACAAGCAGAAGCAGCAGAAGCAGCAGCATCAGCAGCAGCATCAGCAGCAGCAGCAGCAGCAGCAGCAGCAGCAGCAGCAGCAGCAGCAGCAGCAGCAGCAGCAGCAGCAGCAGCAGCAGCAGCAGCAGCAGCAGCAGCAGCAGCAGCAGCAGCAGCAAACAGGCACCGTCTCTGTCGCTGCTTCTGCTGCATGTCTACCATCTGACCTGGGAGCTTCTGCTGCTGTGCTACCATGTGCGGTGGGTGTCAAGAAGAGAGAGGTCTTTCCTGCAGCAGGCTTCCCATTCAAAGGCTCTCCATTGGAACGTGGAGCGGAGGAGAGGAGGGATACGAGTGGGGGTGACGGAGAGACTGGGGAGGGAGAAAGGGGAGGGAAGGAGACACAGCTAGAAGCGCTGCTGGAGGGAGGGGAGGGAGGAGAAGGAGAAGGAGGAGGAGGAGGAGGAGGAGGAGGAGGAGGAGGAGGAGGAGGAGGAGGAGGAGGAGGAGGAGGAGGAGGAGGAGGAGGAGGAGGAGGAGGAGGAGGAGGCAGGGGAGGAGCAAAGATACGAGGAGAGGGAGGATGCGGAGGTTCACACCACTGGTTGACATTCCCACACCCTGTGAAACCACTAGGAGAAGACTCAATAACCTTAGTAAAGCCATTGGAAGAGCCAAATGCCAACTCTGCTCATGACTCTGCTCATGCAGCGAGTGATGCCCGTGTGCGGGAGAGACCTCAGGCACTTTCAAGGCATCGCGCTGTCCCTCCTCCTGGCGACCCCTTGGGAATGGCGACTGAGTTGGCTCCTAGGAAGAGGGAGAGGGAGGGGGAGAGGGAGATGGAGACGGAGAGAAAGAGTTGCACTGAGGCGGGGATGCCTGTTCCTGATGCGCCTCACACACAAGAACCAAGGACAGGCATGGATGATTCAGAGGCGCATGAGAAGCAAAACGCAAGTTCCAAGGAGCCTCTCCCTTCCCCAATGGGGTTTTTTGAGCCCATGGGGATTGAGCCGACTCAGAAGCCCCCTCCAAAGCCCATGAGATCAAGAAGTTCCTCCCCTGTAGCCCTATCTCTGTCCCTCAGTCGCTCAGTTTCCTCCCCCATCTCCCTCTCCTCATCAGCCTTCTCGGGACGTTTCAAGGACAGTGGCAAGGTGGCTTCTGAGGTGCCTCAGAATACAATTGAGTCGACGCAAACGGGAGCTTTGCAAACTGCCGAAGCAGCGGCGGTAGCAAGGACAGCAGAAGCGGCATCATTTTGTGCACAACCGCAAGCACAGCCAGAGCCACTGCTACAGCCTCAATCACAGCCAGCACAACCAGCAGCAACAGAGGCAACAGCGGCAGCAGCAGCAGCACGAGCAGCACCAGCACCAGCAGCTGCACCACCACCACCATTACCCGCCCCAAGTCGTGTGAACACACCATTGCTCGTCCTTCCATCCACCTCCTCCCTAAACTCCCCCACAAGACCGGTGCCTCCCAGAGCAGTTAGTAACGCACAGCTGGGCTGCGGAGGCCTTCCATCCACCTCCTCCCTATGCTCTCCTACAAGACCAGTTCTGCCCAGGGCACTTCTTTCCATGGCATCTCTCCTCCCTCCTGCAACCCACGCGGGTACAACAGGAGGGGGACAGGAGGAGCCCGGCAATGCTCCCACTACCCACACCAGTTCAGCAGGACCGGGTGCCACAAAGGGGGAAGGACGAGTGCTGGAGAGAGGAGCAGATGGAGGAGTGGATGGAAGAGTGGAGCAAGGAAGGGAGCGAGGCAGGGAGGGAGGAGGAGAGGAGAGAGGAGAAGGAAGGGGCATCAGCTTGCTACAATACCCACCTTTTCCAGCCACAGCCTCCCTCAATTCGGGTCAAGGGAGCAGAGCAGGCGAAAGGATGAGGAGTGCAGCATTGGTGGGGGGAATCGTAAGGAGTGGGAGCATGGAGGGAAAGAGTTCGCTGGGAGGAGCGTTGTTGGGAGCTACATGTGTTGCAGGTGCTGCTGCTTTTCCTGCTGCTCCTGCTGATGCTGCCACTCCTGCTGCTGCGGCGCCTACTGCTGGTGCAGCGGCTACTGCTGCTGCTACGTCCGGTTGCAACTCGTTCATGTATGGGCCTGGTGGTGGGAATGCGGTGGCACATGGTGCTGCTGGTGCGAGTGCGGTGGGACATGGTGCTGCTAGTGCGGGAGCAGTGGCACATGGACCCACCAATTCGACAGCAGCACTGCATGTGACTGCTCCGTCTCGTGTGCGGGTTACTTGCTCGAGCTACGCTGGACAGCAGATTGGTGCGTTGCTCAGCTGCTTTACACCGTTTCTTACCCTGCTCTTGTAACCTCTTCTCTTCAACCCTCTTCTCTTTATCCCTCTTCTCTTCGTCCCTCTTCTCTCAATCCCTGTGCCTGCACGCAGAGGGGGAGTTGCAGGAGACAGAAGGCGGTCGACTTGTGATTCGCTGCGACTGCCATGCCGCGCAAATGTCGCTCACTCGCTTCACACAGGTACACATCCCGGGATTTCAGTGCGGTCCAAAGTGGTTCAGATGGATAGAGCACGATGCAGGCAGACTGGGGGAGAGGAGCAGGGGCGTCCTGCCGAATAAGGGAATGGATGATCACTGAGTCTCTGCTCAGATGAGATGGTATTGTTCCCAGCAACAGCTCCCAGTAATGAGCTGGTAACTATTTTTCAGGACGTTTTTGGTACCTCAGAAAAGGACGTGTGTTTTGAGTCGACTGAAAACAGTATTAAGATGGTCACTGTTGTTGAGGACGTTTGCAGTACGTCAGAAAAGGCCTGCTTCCCTCACTCTGTCTTCTCTTTCTCATTCGTGCCGCTTCCAGCACGCAGGGAGGGAGGACCGCAACCCTGGAACGACGATATTTGTGGAAGGCAAGACACTGGCGCAGTGGCGCAAGGAGAGACGCAGCAGCCTCGCTCCCCCCTGCACCCCTCCCCATGCTGCCGCTGCCGCCGCTGCTTCTGCTGCAGCTTCTTCGGCTGCTGCCGCTTCGGCTGCTGCTGCTGCTGCCTGCCCTCCATCTCTTCCTCCCCCCTCCCCGCTTGCCTTTCCTGCTCCTCCCCCTCCTGCATCTGCTGCGTTTGCCACGGCTTCTGCTGCCGCTGCTGCTCCTCCCACTCACCCACCACCCCTGGCAGCATATTTTCCAGCTCCGCCCCACTTCCCACCTCCCTCCTTCCCCCCGCCACCTCAACCTTTCCCTGAGCCAACCCTCCAGTCGCCTCAAAACTTCCCCACTCCACTGCGAATGCCACCTCCCTCTCCTTTCCCTCCGCCTCACCCGGCCTCTCCCGCCCTGCTTTCTCCATGCCACTCGCATCCTCTTACACCCTCCTTTCACCCTCACCACACAGACCACTGCCTGCAATCGCCCGACGTGAAACCGAGTATCCTCATGCACACTCTGACCAGCAGCACCAGCTTGACTGAATCGACGATTGCCAGAGCCAGCAGTTGCAGTGGGGCTGCTCCTGTCTCTTCTCCGCTTGCTGCCTCTCCTGCTACTGCTACTGCTCCTGCTCCTCCTCCTCCTGCCCCTGCTCCTGCCTTTGCTGATTGTGTGACAGGACATGGCACTACTGTTCATCCTCCCTCCTTCCATTTCCCTGCTCATACTCCCACCGCTCACTTCTCTCCCATTCCGTTCATCTCCCTCGCTCCACCTGACACCGCTGCTGCCCACGTCGCTCCTTCGGTCCCAGCAATCCCAGCAGCCCCAGCAACCACTGCTGCTGAAGCTGCTGCTCCTGCTGCTGCTGAGACTGCTGCTCCTGCTGTTTCTGTCGCAGCTGCTGCTGTTGCTGCCACATCACCATCTGCGTGTGGTGATTGCTGGCCTCTCAGCCTCTCCTGTTCTCCTCGCTCCTCCGACATTTGAGGCCCTGAGAGTGCTGAGGCAGCACTTGGCTGAAGCAGATACAGGGATATGGCATGGCATGGCCTTGCATGTCAGGGCATAGCATTCCATGGCATGTCAGGACAGCGCATGGCATGGCATGGCATGGCATGTCAGGGCTGGGCAGGGCATGGCATGGCATGCATGGCATGTCAGGGCTGGGCAGGGCATGGCATGGCATGCATGGCACGGCATGGCATGGCATGGCATGGCAGGGCATGGCATTTCATGGCGTGGCATGGCATGGCATGGCATGGTATGGCATGTCATGTCATGTCATTTCATGTCATCGCATGGCATGTCAGGGCATGGCATGGCATGTCAGGGCATGGCATGGCATGGCATGGCATGGATGGCATGGGATGGCATGTAAGGGCAGCGCATGGCATGGCATGGCATGGAATCGCATGGCAGGGCATGGCAGGGCATGGCAGGGCATGGCATCATCACCGTTTCTAAGGCATGCCATGCATGTACATATCATACCATGATACCACTTACCTGCCATCTACCATGTACCATTTACCAATTACGGTACCGTCTATCATCTGGCATAGATAGAGTACTCTAGCATCTAGCATCTAGCATCCAGCACCTAGTATCTAGCATGTGCCACCCCTCCCACACGAGTGTAGCATCATTCTTTCATTCCAAGGCATCTGGATCCATCACCTACCGTACCTATGTATTACACTGAAACAAATTTAGCCTACCGTAAAATGTGTGTGGCTAAAACTAGTAGTTAGGTGAAACAATGCACGAAGTTTTGCTTTGACTGGCAAGACGATCCAAAATGATGGTGATGAAAAAGCAGTAAGGCGAGGCAACACAACACACGAAGTTGTGACATGCTGAGGAACAAAACATGAAGCAGCTCAAGAAAACACACGCTTGGAGAGCATTCCAGAGCCGTGGAGAGTGATGGAGAGTGGTGGAGAGGAGGGGTTGTAGAGAGGTAGAAGGATGCGTCTTGGAATAAACTCGAAAGTTACCTCAACCGGGAACCTTGTGTTCCATGCGATTACATTTCAGGTGCTTCGGAAGTCCTAAAAAAATTGTTTCTTCGTGGTGCAGCATGCGCGCGTGCATGTGCCCTGTGTATGGAGTGTTTGAGAATATTTAAAAACACCATGCAACAAGCTATCTTCTATCATGACGCCTGTCAGCATTCTAGTCCAATAGAATGTAAAATAGAAAACGTGCACACGCACACAAACGCACGCACACACACGCACGCACACACACACGCACACACACGCACACACACACGCATACACACACACATACACATACACACACACAACCACACACACACACACACACACACACACACACACACACACATACACACACACACACACACCCACACTTTTCCCCCCTTCCCCCGTCCCAACGAGATTCACTCTTTCCACTCACCCGTTGCGATATGTATAGATATGCCAACCAGCGCACCATATCTAAATCCTGCCCACGCAGGCGGCCTTACACCACCTCCTAAGGCTCAGTTGAGTCAGTGGAGGGACGGTCCGAGGGTATTATCACATTCACCTGCCGGCCAACCCCACGGGCAGGGGGTGCCTGCCTCAGCTTAGTCAGCTCAACCACCCGTCCCCGCAGCCAGTCACTCTACGTCAAAGATAGGGGTTGTTGTGTCTGAATTGCTGGCGCTCCAAAGCCCTAGCTTCCCCCTTGCTGCCCCATCCTTCTAGGTGGCATCTTCCCACCAGCTGTGGCTGCCCCTGAACCCTGAACCCCTATCTTTGAAACCCTGTGGTTCTAAACCCTGAACCAACTACCCATCATCTAGGACCGACTATCCATCCCCACACCCACACCCCTTGCTGATAGCATAAATATAGAGGGGGGAATCCCTCGCTCCTTTGGTGTAAGTGTTCTTCTCTCCCTATGCATGCACCTGCGCCCTCCCCACCCCCTGTACACCCTACTTACTCCGGTTGGTTCTCCCTACTTCAAGGCGTGAGCATGGTCGGGCCTCATCACCTCTATTTCCGGTTGGTAAGCATACCACAGTTGTAGAGACCGATCTACTCCCGCCACCGTCTTCCACTCCCTTGGCGACACCACAAATCACCCCCCAAACGGCCAGAACACCGGTGCCTGTGAGGGATCCGGACGCACAGAGTGAGTACGCCATCACCGACACCACTAAGGAATCCCCACGGCTTCATGCCTCTAGCGCGAGACCCATGCACGCTGGATCCCAACCCCCCTTCTTCCCCACCACGTGCAGGAAAAAAAAAAAAAAAAAAAAAAAAAAAAAAAAAAAAAAACAACAACAACAACAACAACAACAACAACAACAACAACAACAACAACAACAACAACAACAACAACAACAACAACAACAACAACAACAACAACAACAACCTACCTCAATCCACGCTCAGAATGGCGAAATCACACCCTACCAGATTGTGGGCCGGATTGTGAGGATCGAAAATTGAATTCAGTAAAAATATTATTGTTTACATTGCTATATATAGGCACGATACAGGGCATGTAACCAGGATGTTACATGAATGTTCCGTGCATTGGGAATCGTCGGGAACGGAACCTTTCCGAATTTGGTAGAAGAATTTCGGCCGAAATCACGCGCACGCAAAGTCATGCGGGATTAACCGAAATTCAACCGAATTCGGTGCACGCAACATAATTCGGTGCTATAACTATACTAAATGTTGGAAAGCAACGAATCTAGGAAAACAAGCATAAAATGATAATAGAAAATATAAATATGCACGAATGAGTAAGAACGGTCGCTGTACTCTCACACGGATGTGGACCACTCATCTCGCATGTATAAGGCACCACACTGGCTGACAATTGGGACGTGACTTCTTCGATTGTACAGGAGGCCAGCTGCTGCCCCGTTTCAGCCCGCTTCCTCCCATGCGAGTGGGAACCCCTTCTGTCGGAGGCACTCCGCTGTCGCATGCCCCTCCCCTACCACTCCTCATGACGTATATATGTTGCCTCCCTTACCAAAGATGGTCGCGCTTTGAACATTGACTCCTTTTTGCAGCGTGGAGTGAGACCTTTGCGTATGCGTAGCCTGGCGACGAAGGACCCGAACAAATCATGCAATACAAGACTGATTGCCCACTTTCCACTAGAAGGCTCCCAATCTAGGTATCACATACATTCATCGAGCCATTTTCACCACCCCCGAAGATCGTGGCGAGGACCTACAGGGTGGGTTGCGGAGCATCTCTACAATATGTTCATTGCATTCCCGAAGAGCCTGATGTCTCTCTCTCATCTCTCTTCCGGCTATGGCTTTAGGGAGGATGCACTCCTTCTCGCTCCCTTATGGCGTCGCCCAGCCTTGTCGCACTCTCGAAGCCCAACTACGACGTGCGCCCGATCAACATTGAGGAGGTCCTGGTTCGCGTCATCTTGCGAGTGGTCCGTCTTCAGCTCCGATACCATATTTCTTGAGTGCTTCAGACATCTCCTCAGACTACCCATGCTGGCTCGGAGGTTGTGATTAGCGGCGTGAACTCTGCTCTGACTAACTACCTAGGCTTGTTGAAGTTAGTCGTGGCCAGCGCCTTTAACTTTTCTACCGAGATGTAATGTTCGAGGCCCGTCTGGGGAGCCCAGGGTTCCAATGTCTTACTCCATTCATTTGGCTCTTCCACAACTTCCTTTCTGATCCTTTTCTGCATGACAAGCACAGAAGTCATCATTAACCTCTCTGAGAAAGGCATGTACCAGGGAGCCCTGCAGAACCATTTTCTCTACGTGGTAACGCAACGCAGTCCATTACATATAGTCATAGGAGAGAGCGTCATCCAACTCTGGTCCTACATGGATGACACAAATACGAGGCCTGCGTGATAGGGTGCTACACCACTTCGAAGAGATTGTGGACCCGCTTGCGCGAGATGGGTCTTCCTATGAAGTCGGACAAGTGTCTAGCCTATCACTTTTCTGCAATCTCTCCAAAAGATGTGGAGGGTTTCACAGGACGAATGATTGATTTTGTGCGCATGGGGCCGCTAACGGTAGCAATGTGTGCCACTAGGCATCCCCGATTTTGTAGAAGATGCAGTTCCCTTAACGTCTAGACAGGATGGCATATGTTATTCCCACGACTCCCGGAGTTGCGGCAGCCATAGACAGCAGCTCGCCTACTCTCAACTTGTATCAGCGCCCGATTACAATATACGGCTTGAACGATTCCCCCTTTTCTGGCTATACGCTCGAGATTGTCAAGTGGTACGCCCGAGATTGTCAAGTGGGATTGTGGGCTAGAGGAGGCCTTCCATAAAATTTTCGTGCTAAGAACTTGGACATGCGAAGAGGAAGTGTGTAAGGCTGCTGGCAGAGCAACCTTCATTCCTATTCTCTTGCAGGCTTCGACATCCGCCGCATTTAGCTGTGGGATTGGCCTCGAGTTCGGTTGGAGGGGCTACAAGTAGAAGGACATGGTTGGTGAGGTGGGTCAGCTCGCCCACGCAT